AGCACTCCCCACCCCAGCAGCGACCCCCACCGCTGGTTGAGCTTCTGAATCATGCCCGCCTTGGTCTCTGGGAAGCTGGAAAAGACCAGGATGAAGAGTGGGGGTGAGGTGGAGGAACAAGAGTGATGGGCTGGGTGTTAGTATGCACGGCAGCCCTCCCCACCCCAGCAGTGCTCCCCACCGCTGGTTGAACTTCTGAATCATGCCTGCCTTGTTCTCTGGGAAGCTGCGAAGTGCATGGGGGGGAGAGGGGAGAGGGAAGAGGCGTTACGATGGTAAACTGAACAGCAGTGCCCCCCACCGCTGGTTCAGCTTCTGAATCAGGCCCGCCTCAATCTCAGGGAGACTGGAAGGACACAGGGGGTGGGCGCATGTGAAGGACGAAGAAGGTGATAGGTGGTAATTGGTGGTCATAAGTGGTGATAGGTGGTGATCAGGGTTTCAGGGCGAGACATCAGCAATCGGACAGAAGACTGTCAAGAGAAAATCACAGGGATCTTTGAAAAAGCGACGTCCCATGATAAAGCGAAAGCACTCGACTTTTGAGACGTCTCGAAAGTCGTCTACTTACACGTGGACTTTTAATACGTCTCGAACTACACCGGGATCTTCAATAAAGGGACGTCCCATCCCATGATAGGGAAAAGCTCTCACAGGGATTTTCGAAAGAGGGAAACTTGGGGGAACTACAAAGAGAGTAGGGATGATAACTTCAGGGGGTCCGATCCTTAAGTCAAGGGAAGCACTGACAGGAAGTAGGGGAACTTGGGGGATGCGAAGATGGCGGGGCGACCGTCGGATCCTCGCCTCACATGGCCGACAGCTGTCAGCTCGTGATTGATCGGCAGCACCCTCTCGTCCGTGCGCAGGCCCACCTGGGGAAGGTACATATGGAGAGTGGTGGTCGTACATTCATACGTGCAATGGGAACATGGAGAAAAAAGGCCTCGTTACAAGCACATGCATGCCAGGATCTCCACTGCGCAGTTTGCAGAGTAAAGGCGCCCAATATAAGCACATCAAGAATATGCACATCCCATGTATGAAAGTATACTCACTGTAAGGAGCTTCCCTATAAGCATGTGCAAGGCCTTATAAAGTGTAAACACCCACCGGAAGGCGCTTCCTTATAAGCACGTGCAAAGCTTATAAAGAGAAAACTCACCGGCAAGCGCTTCCCTATAAGCACATGCAGGGCAGTGGCGCCCCATGAAGGGTCGGCCTTTTGCATGTGACTGTACACGGTGTGGAGCGGCAGTGGCTGTGTGGCGCCGACCAATGATATGTCGACACGTGGCGCTAACGGGTGGGAGGTGTCAGCTAAAGAGAAAGGGACCTGCGGAGAGGCGAGGGGGAGAGGAGGAGGATGGGGAGAATGGGGGATTAAGGAGAGGAGAGTTAGGAGCAGCGGGAAAGGGCGACAGCGACATGAGAGAGGTGTGTCCGGAATGGCTAACTCGGAAAACACACACACACACACACACACACACACACACACACACACACACACACACACACACACACACACACACACACACACACACACACACACACACACACACAAATGAATGGGAGGAAAGGGATGGGTTGGAGGCAAGGGATGGGAAAGAACTCACGGATTGTCTGACTAGGTTGACCTGATCTGACTTTATGACCCAGCCCAGCAGCGGGTGCAGCTCCGAGTATAGCATCTGATGAAAGAAGTGGGGTGGAGGCAGGGAAGGGAGCCAGCTCACAGATTGCCTGACAAGGTTGACTTGCTCTGATTCAATGACCCAGCCCAGCAGCGGGTGCAGCTCTGAGTATAGCATCTGGTGGGAGTGAGTGAGGGAAAGGCCGGAATGGCTCAAAGAATGTCAGATCTGTGTGGAAGCAGCTAATGAGAAGGAGGAGCCAGGACTTGACAATGACCCAGCCCAGCAGCGGGAGCAGCTCCAAGTGTAGCATATGACGCCAGGCAAGGCACCAGCACGTGGCTTTGACTTTTGAGACGTCTCAAAAGTCCAAGTGTAGCATATGACGCCAGGCAAAGCAAGAGCACGTGGCTTTGAAAGGATGTCTGGTTTGCTTAGAAACGGATGACGGTGATGCTGATGAGGGGCGGACGGGCCAAGAATCAAGAATGACCCAGCCCAGCAGCGGGTGCAGCTCCAAGTACATCGTCTGAAGCAAGCAAGACAAGGCAGAGTGCCAAACAGAATAAAAGGCAGAGTATTTTGAGAAGGTGCCGGGGCGAATCCAAACCCAGACCTCCGTAACCCCGTCTTTTTTCCCCCTTTCCACCCACTCACCAAAGGACTCCCTCGCCCATCCTGATTTGAGTCGACTCAAATCTGCTTCTTTCCCCCTTTCGACTTGTGTTGAGGCAGGATGTATTGAAATCACTTTTGAGAATTCTCAAATCTGCTTCTTTCCCCCTTTCGACTTGTGTTGAGGCAGGATACCCATCCACCAAAGGACTCCCACGCCCATCCTGCCTCTCACCCACCCAATCACCACGTCTGATCGTTCCATGACGGCGCATGGGAGCTTAGCGCCAGCACAATGGGTAGACGGGGAGGAATGATCAGACGGGCATGCATGGGCAGCAATGAGGAGCATCCCGGCACAGAGAAGAGAACCTGGCAAGTGGCCCTCGACTCGAGTCAAGGAACTCCCACGCACCCATCTCCACACCTACTCACCACGTCCGACCGCTCCACCACAGCGCATGGCTGCTTGGCCCCGTGCATGGTCAGAAGGGGTGAGCACAGCACAGAGCATTTGCACTCATTCTCACACCTCCTTACCACGTCCGACCGTTCCACCACAGCGCATGGCTGCTTGGCCCCGTGCATGGTCAGCAGGGGTGAGCACAGCACAGAGCATTTGCACTCATTCTCACACCTCCTTACCACGTCCGACCGCTCCACCACAGCGCATGGCTGCTTGGCCCCGTGCATGGTCAGCAGGGGTGCGCAGCCCGACCCAGCTACGGCCACAGACCCTTTTCCCACCCCAGGCCGGGGGAACGGGGGGAAGGAGAGTGAGGAGGAAGCAGAGGAGGAGGAGGCGGGGGGGGGGGAGGAGGCGGAAGACGAGGAGGTGGAGGAGAGAGAAGGGGAGGAGGAGAGCTGCACGGAGCCTCGGACCAGCACCAACTCGTGGGGGTTGGTGTAATCTGCTAGCTCGCTTGCATCTGACGGCCCCTGGCCCAGCTCCCGTTGCCCACCCTGCTGTTGCGGCTGGCTCTGCTGCAGTCCCCGCTGCCCCCATGCTGCTGCTGACTGGCTTGACGACCCGTCACCGCTCTTGCTTCTACCCACGGGTAACAGCCATTTCAACCCGCCACTGCTGCTGCTGCTCCCGCTGCTGCTGCTGCTGCTGCTGCCACCACCGCTGGTGTCGCTGCGGGCGCTGAGACTGCTGCTATCATCCTTCCCTGGTCTGCTCTCTCGGCCTCCATTCCCCCGCCATAGGCGCGTGAAATACCCACTACTTACACTGCTGCCACTGCTCCTGTTATCCCCGTCACTGCTGCTACCTCCCGCTCCGTCAAAATTCTCCCCGCCTGACCCGCTGGCCTGCTCCGGCGCGCGCCTGAACCACCGCCACCACCCGCCGCTTCCGCCAGCCTTACCCTCCCCCGCGCGGGGAACCTCCGAAGCTCCGCCTCCGCCGCCCGCCGGCGGAATCCCGTTGAGTTCCGCGATGGTCGTTTCGCGCGCGGGTTTGAGCGCTTTGAGCGAGCGCGACACACCGTAGAGCTGCCACCAGGCCTGCGTCGCGCTCCCGGCGATTAAGATGCCGAATAATACCTCCTCCTGCGCGAGAAGCGCGCGGAGGAGCGCTACCCAGCTTCCGCCGCCGCCTGACGCGCCGTAATCTGCGCCGCCGGACGACGCCATTCACGAGGGAGACGTTTGGGTTACAGAAAGGACGAATATTTCTCGTCTACTGATTCGAAAAACAAGAACGAGACCGCTCTGTACAGTTACTCAATATACCTTACTTGGCTAGCTACATGTAGTGTACCGTACATGACTAATATATGTAATATATCGTATACGGCTACTATATGTTACACTTAGAGCCTGGATGGAAAGCCTTGGGATTCACGGCGGCGAGCGACGCGACTAAGATGCCAAGGCTAAACCTACCAGTCTGACGCGAAACATTGAGAAGAGAGAAAAAAGCGTATACGACGTCACGGACGAAGCGTGATACCCGTTGAATGAAGCGAAACGGGACACAAGCAAGCAAACGGCAGTAGAAACGAGCTAGGAGGAAATGCAAACGCGAATGGCGGCGGCCTTTCAGGCGTTTCCTCTGGGCAAATACTTGACCTCACCCGGGACCGCGGGCGCATTCCCAGCATCGCTTCTGACATCTCCACCACATCACGTTCAGTTCAAACTGCGACACAAGACGAAATTAGCTAGAGAATCGACATCTGCACCGCACAATACCGGTCAATAAGAACGCGAGATGTTTGAGACGCCGAGGTATCGTTGGTTGAAATAGATGCGAATATTTCCGCTCCTCCCTCAATTTCAGCTTATTAGGGGTTTCTCGCCCTTGATTTCGGATCGTTAGGACGCGGTGAAGTGGAGAATCGATCGCCTCAGGTTCGTTTTTTCGCGCGTTTGTAAACGGTTGTGTACCTTTCGTATGCAAAACGCGGGGTTTCAGTGCGGTGACCGGATCGATCTCCCCCCGAACCAGCACTTTCACCGCGTCCTTTTGCTCGTTTCGTGTCGAGACAACGTACCCCCGCTTTTTGTTTGGTGCGCTGCGTTTCAAAGCGGTGACTTAACATTGAAAGCAGGTAAAACAAAATAAAAATGTTTGTCTACTTGAGAGGGTACTACTAGACTACAGTTTCCACCTAAATGTTTCTCGTAAATGGCATATACACAAATTATGAGAAGCACGGTGCACGGAGGCATGACATCTTATGAGCAATGCAAAAAGGGAGTCAAACATATGTAAGAGAGGGGATCGGAGAAGATGAAAGCCCTTCAAGGTGCCCCAACAGTGGCTAGTGCATTCCCATCCGTCAATGCAGGGATGGAGTCCAGCATCGGCAAGAACTGGGGTGGAAGAGGAGGAGAGAGCACTTGCGCCGTGTGACCGATGGCATTCTTCTCTCGAAGCTCACGCAGGTCTGCCTTCTCTGCAGCCATGCGTGCCTGTGGAGGTTGGAAGTGGACGGCGGAAAGAGAGGAGGGGAGGGGAGAAAACGGGGTGTGACTGATGGCGTTTTTCTCTCAAAGCTCACACAGGTCTGCCTTCTCTACAGCCATGCGCGCCTGTGGAGGACAGGAAAGGACGTTCTTCCGAAGCTCACGCAGGTCTGCCTTCTCTGCTGCCATGCGCGCCTGTGGAGGATGGGAGAGGACAGAGACAAGAGGGACGGGGAGGGCAGAAAAAAAGGGTTGAGAGAGATGAGGGGAGAAACATCGGGCGAGGGAGGGTACAGGAAATAGCGGCAGGCAGAGGAACAAAAAGGGGATGTGCACAGTGAGCAAGAGAGTCGCCAAGGAACTAAAATCTCACAATCATCCAGAGAAGGAAAGGCACCAACCTTTTTTCGACGCTCGGAATCTCCCTGAGTCATCAGCCCATCTTTCGGTTCTAAAAAACAAACAGTGCAGGTGAAAATTCAAGCACAGCTACTCACCTGGAACTTGAGGTCGCTGATCTCATCCTCTGCAGCCTTGATTCTAAACTTGAGCGCGTTCAGAGCTGCAAGGGCTGCGCCCGATGGGTCCGCACCTAACGACCCCTCTCCCACACTGCTGTCACTGCCATTCTCTGGATCACGCCCATCCGAAACAGCTGCATGGTCGTTTGCTGTACCCTCAGTGATCTGCATGGGCAGAGACTCACAGTGGGAGGAGAGCAGAGTGCCATGTGAAACTCAAAGAAATCTCCACACGTAGCAGCATCAGCATGTGAAATCCAAGTCAAAGCAACGAGCTCAGTTGAAGCGAGGTGACTCCTAGCGAGAGTAATGCATCTGGGTCGTGAAGACGTGGCACTGACCTGGAGGACAGCGTGGCAGACAGTGAGCAGCTTCTGTGCCACGTCAGCACTGCCCCTCTCCACCTCCTGCATTACAATGGAACCGGGGTGTGCAGGCAGGGTGAAGATAACCACAGTTTGACCAAATGGGCAGCTTGGGAGGGTCTTCAGCTCTTTTGGGGCAGAGTGGAGGGGGGGAGGTAGCAGTTAGACCGCCACCACCCACATCCAGTCGCTTCTGTAACCTCACCTCCTCATCATAATCAATCTTCTCTGCCTTCCCCACCTTGATCTCGTGCTAGCCTCTCATTCCCACACTACCCTCCCAACACCACCACACCACTGCTTACCTCCAATCGCTGCTGCAGCCTCGCCTCCTCATCATAATCAATCTTCTCTGCTTGCCCCGCCTTGCGCCTGTGCTGCCCCACCTCCTGTGCGAACCCTACCAGCACCAGCACCAGCACCATCACCATCACAACTCACCTCCAGTCTTTGTTGCAGCCTCGCCTCCTCATCATAATCAATCTTCTCCACCTGCCCCGCCTTCTTCCTGTGCCGCCCCACCTCCGCCTCCAACCGTCTCACCCGCCCCTCCATGCGCTTCACTGCTGCTCCTAGCTCCTCGTTCTGCGCCCTCAGAGTGCTGTTATCCAACTGCGCAGGTGGAAAAGGTGATGGAAAGGGAAAGGCAGGAAGGTTTGAGATAAGCAATTTATTCGCCCCTCCATGCGCTTCAATGCTGCTGCATTCTGCGCCCTCAGAATGCTGTTATCCAACTGTGCAAGAGGACATTGTACAGTGAAAGGTGGGATGGAAGAGGGGTGGGAAGTGAAGAGGCAGGAAGATATGAGTTATGAGACAGCGGGGGTGATGGAAGAGGGGTGGGAAGGGAAGAGGCAGGAAGATATGAGTTATGAGACAGTGGCCTCACCCACCCCTCCATTCATTTCACTGCTGCTCCCAGCTCCTCGTTCTGCGCCCTCAGAGTGCTGTTATCCACCCGAGTAGGTGGAGAGACGAGGCGAAATGGAGGTGGAAGGGGAAAGCATGGGAATTAGAGACGGTGTGGATTCATGTTCCCAGCTCAACACACCCTCAACTTGGAAAGCACTTGCGCTGGTTCAGGCTTTGATACCCCACCAGCCTCCACACCCCAACACACCTTGACCTTGTCGAACATGTGAATGCGCTGCTTCAGGTTGTGCTGCCCCACCAGCCTCGCCAGCTCGCCCTCTACCCTCTCCAGCTGCTGCTGCACGCCCTCCAGTTGTTGCTGGCGGGGGAGAAAGAGAAGATTCAAGGGAAAAAAACGGGTGACGGATGAGCCAAGCCTGAGTACCAGCCTCGCCAGTTCGCCCTCCGCCCTATCCAGCTGCTGCTGCATGCCCTCCTCCAGTTGTTCCTGGGGTGGGGGGGGGGAAAAGGGCCAAGGAAGGTTAAGAGAAGGAATAGAAGAAAGGATGACGGGATGAACGGGACGTCAGTCAGCCATGCTCCTCTGCAGCACAGTCTCTGACTGCTGCACTGCCTGTTGCTGCACTGCCTGTTGCTGCACTGGTTGTTTCTGCACTGGTTGTTGCTGCTGCACTAAGAAACTGTTTCTGAGGAGTTGTAGAAACACAATCTCACCTTGAGGTGAGCGTTCTCTTGGGTTCGTCTGCAGGCACTTGTCCGTCATGCTCCTCTGCAGCACTGCTTTGACCGCATTCGCTGCTGCTGCCCTGGCTGTTGCTGCACTAAAAGACGGTTTCTGAGGCACATCACAAACACAATCTCACCTTGAGGTGGGCGTTCTCCTGAGAGAGCGTGTGGTTCTTCTGCAGGCACTTGTCCGCCATGCTCCTATGCAGCACTGCCTCTGACCGCATTTGCTGCATCTCCACAAGAAACCTGGGTGATTAGGATGGGGCGGAAAGAAAACACTAGGGAATTTGTGGGACACGGAAACCACAATGCATAGCAGCACCACCACATGAAAACCGCAGTGCGTAGCAGCAGCACCACATGAAACTGCGCTTCCTGCACGCTAAATCTCCACTGCCAAAATTTACAGTAAACAGATGATGGGGAAGCACAGACGAACAGACAAGGAGTCCCTCCCTAATACCTTGTAAGCGGTTGTTGAGAAATTTAAAAAGAAGCAGCCAGTGAAAGAATGTTTCCAGAAGTGCAAGCTTTTTAAAGCTTGGTGCAAGCAACACGAACGGAGTGGGGAATGGATGAAATGAGGAGTGTGCGGCCAAGTGGAGCAGAGAGTCGAATGAGGAATGGTTGAGGTGTGTCTCTCTCTCAGAATGAGAGGGGTCAGAGCAGAGAGAGCAGGTGGGGAGAAAAGGGCGACGCACATCTTGTTCCCAAAAATGAGAAAGTTCAGAGCAGAGAGGGCAGGCTTTTGAGGCGCCTCAAATGTTCAGAGCAGAGAGGGCAAGTGAGAAGGCAAGGGCGACATACTTGTCTTTCTCGTGAAGGAGGAGGTCTTGCTGCGTGCGCAGCTGGCGAATCTCGTTATCCTGGCAGAAGAAGCAACAAGGAGGAGAGGAGAGGTTGCAAGGAAAGGGACGGGGAAGGGAAGGGAGAAGAGTTGGCAGAAAAGCTATGGTCCTGATGGAGGCGAGGCGACGAGGAGAGGATGAGAGCGCGTGGGCGGAGGGAAAACTTGCCACTGTGGCAGGGTTGCTGATTGAAGGAGCCATGTGTGCCACGTGAAGTGCATGATTGAGGAGAGCACACAACATTCTAGGAGAGGGAGTGACAACCAAGGCAACAAACCCACCTGTGCTGTAAATCACCTGATTCTTGAATCGACTAAAACAACTGTGCCACGTGCTGTGCATGATTGAGGAGAGCATGGAACATGCTGGGAGCAGGAGTAGCAACCAAGGCCACCACCAACCCAGTTAATGCATCACCTGTTTGCTGAGGCGCCTCAACACCTAACCTGAGCACGGCAACCCCCACCTTTTGCAGCACTTGCTGGTGCCTCCTCAATGCCTTAGCCTTTAGCAGCTCCACTGCTGCCCCTCCTGCTGCTGCACCTGCTGCATCAGGCGAGCCTCCCCCATCCGCGGCCGCTTCACTGCCTCCAATACCCGACTCTGATGCCAATCCGGTTGTTTCAAGAATGGAGCCCATGCCCATTCCCTTGCTCATGCTCATATCCGTCGCCCCAGGTGACCCCTCTTGTGTGCTTTGTCTACTCCTTGCCCGCGTGGGCGCTGGAGTGCTCATGGCAGCGAGTGACCCCCGCACTGACTGCTCTGACGCACACAGCTGGGTGTGAAGCAGGCGGTTCTGGGAGGGATGGGAGGGATGGGATGGATAGGGGCATGGGAAGAGGGATGGGGGCATCGGAAGAGGGATGGGGGCATGGGAAGAGGGATGGGGGCATGGGAGGGATGGGGGCATGGGAAGAGGAATGGGGTCATGGGAGGATGGATGGGGGCATGGGAGGGATGGGGGCATGGTAGGGATGGGGGCATGGGAGGATGGATGGGGGCATGGGAGGGATTGAAGAATGCTCGAATTGAAAACGAGGCTTCCACAAAGCAGCACTAAAAGGTGAAAGTTTTTATGGGATGTCTCCCAAGCACGCACCTCCTTCTGAAGAACTTCAATCTGCTTCACCAGCTGCTTCACCAGCTGCTTCACCTCGCCCTCCTTCCTCTCCATCTCCCTTACCCGCTCCCTCTCCCTCTCCATCCTCCTGCTCCACCACTCATCACCACTCCCCACCGCTCCCTCTCTCCCACTCTCCAACCCGCTAGCAGCACACACCACACTTCCATCTAAACGCGCAGGCAAGCTCATTCTCCCACCCTGCCTTCCTCTCCCCAGTTTACGAGATGCCGAGAAGAGCACTGGAGTGGCATGTGGCTGTTGAGACGCCTCAAAATCCGGGGTGGCATATGGCTGCTGCACGCTCACTGCTGACACCCCATCTGTTTCCACGTCAGCAGCACGAACAGGAGTACACAGAATCCCCGTCCCATGCTCCTCCCCACATTCTTCAAACCCAAGCCCTTCCCCATCTCCCTTCTCCTCCTCGTTCCTCCTTTCCCCCTCATCCTCTCCTTTCCCCGTTTCCTCCTCCCCATTCTCCTTCTCCCTCTCCACCTTCTCCTCCACCCCAGACTCCCCCCTCTGATCCAGCAGCCACCTCTCCCGCTCCAGAACCTCCCTTACTGCTCGCATCTGCTCCACCTCCCTCCTCTGCTTCTCCCTCTCCGCCCTAAACCCTGCCAGTTCAGCATCCATCTGTGCCCCCTGCTCCTCCAGCGCTGCACACGAGGCCTTCAGCTGCTCCTCCTCCATTCTCCTCTCATCCTCCGTCTGCCTCCTCCTCTTCTTCGCTTGCTGCCCTTCCCCCTCTGCCTTCACCGCCGGTGTAATCTCCCCCATCTCCCCCATCTCCCCCATCTCCCCCATCTCCCCCATCTCCCCCATTTCCTCCACCTCCTCCTGATCGTTTCTCTCCGCTTCGATAGCCTCCAAGCCTGATGGAATCTCATCTTGATCCTTCTCTCCCTGCATATCTTCATCACCCGCCTCTTCATCCTCCCTCGACTCCTCATCCCCCCTCCTCTCCTCATCCCCCCTTTGCTCCTCATCCTTCCTCCTCTCCGCATTCCCCCTCTTCTCCTCCACCTCCCTCCTCCTCTCCTCCACCACCCTCCTCGCCCTCTCCACCCTCCGTTCCTCCCCTTCCAACTCCCTCTCCTTCACCCTCCCATCCCAGATCCTCGCTCCTATCGCACCAATCGCAAGCTCAAAGCTCTCCCTCCTCCCCTTCCCCGGCACTGCCACCAAATCCCCTTCCACCAACCCCAACAACCCCCTCAGCACCGCATTCTCATCCACCAAAGCCCTCACCTCCTGCTCCGCCCTCCACACTGCCTCATCCGCCTCTCTCCTCTTCTCCTCCACTCTCCTTCCCCTCCCGCACCATCCTCAACTCTCTCTGAACCAGCTCCAGAACCACCCTCCCCCAGTTATACCTCACGCCCATGTCATACCAGCTTCCCCCTTGATACTGCACCTCTTGCCGGTGAGTCTCCCAGGCCCCCCACGTGTCCTCCCACACTCCCAGCTTCACCGTCACCTCTTCCAACTCCCGTTGACTCCTCTCCAACTCCTCCTTTTGCCTCCGGATCACCTCCTCTTTCCCCTCAACCTCCTCTCGTACCCGCGACAACTCCCTCACCAGCTCTTCCTGACCAAGCCCCTGCTTCAGCCCCCCTTCTCCTTCCATCTTCACCATTCCAAACCGACCCATACCTTCCAAATCTTCCAATATCCCCTGCAGCAGCATCACCTCTGCATTCGCCCTGACTGCTTCTGATTCCTCACTCTGCATCAGACCCTCTAGCACCTCCGCTCTCCCCCTCAATCTCTCCCCCTCCCCCAGCCTCTCTCTCAATCTCTCCCCTGCCAAAGCAGCTTCTTTCTGCGCCTCGTGTACCTTCCTCGCTGCTTCCTCCAGTCTCAGCGTATCCTCTTCCGCTTTCCTCTCAGCCTCCCGCCCCTTCGCCTCCAATTCCTCGACCCTCCTCATAAGTTCATCCACCAGCCTTTGAGCCTGCTCCTTCTCTTCCCTCACCCTCTCTACCTCCTCTCCCTCCCTCGCCCTCTCCTCTCCCTCCCTCACACTCTCCTCTGCCCCTACCACCTCACTCCCCTCATCCACCTTATCACCCTCCCCACCTGCCACCTCATCTCCCTCAACACTCCCCCCAACTCCCCCCTCCACCACCTCACCTACAGCACCCACCACTCCACCCTCCCTCACCCTCCTCTCAGCCTCTTCCGCCCTCTCCACCGCACTCAACACCTGCGCCCTCACCGCACCCAACTCCTCCCTCATCCTCTCCAACGCCTTCTCATCCTCCACCTTCTGTTCAGCCGCCTGCACCAGCCTCTGCAGAGCCGCCCTTAGCTCATGCTTCAGCCTCACATACTTCGCCCTCGTCTCTTCCGAGTCATCCAGCAACCCCCTCAGATTCTTCGCCTCATCCATAGTCCTCTGAAGGCTCCTCTCAGCAGCAATCCTCCTAGCAGTCGCCTCTTGAGTCTTCTTCCACTCAGCCTCCGCCAACTGAGCCGCCTCCTCCCCCAAATCCCGCTCCCTCCTTAGTGCCTCTTCCAAATCCCTCCTCTCCTCCTCGCTCCGCTCCTCCCTACCCTGGAGCTCCCGAACCTGTTCCTGAATCGCACGCAGCTGTTCCTCCACAGCAGCTTTCTCCCGAGCCAGCGCCGCAGCCGCGGCGGCCGCCTCCCGAACCTCTCTCTCCGCCTCTTCCGCCAGCCTCTCCGCTTCACGCCTCCTCCCCTCCTCGGTCTGCATCCTCTCTACAAGCTCCCTCGCTTCCTGCTCTTGAAGCTTCAGATTCGCCTTGAGCGCACTGTTAGCCCACTCAGCCTCCAGCTTCCCTTTGATAGCCGAGTCCAAATCCAACCTCTGCTGCCTGAACCTATCCTGATCCTTGCCCACATGCCTGAGAGACGACCTACAGTCAACCACACACTCCGCACCTCCACTCCCCCTCCTCCTCCGCCTCCGCCTCTTCCTGCTGCAGCCTTCCCTCTAGTTGAAAGCGGAGTCTCAAACCCCTTGGCACCAGAAAACGCCTCTTCGAGGTTCCTGTTGATGCCTGCCCCCAGGCCGGTACCAAAGCCGCCGCTGCTGGGAGTAGCAGCACGAGCGCCCCTTGTGGTGGTGACCAGAGGCGTGGGAATGAGGGTGCTGGGAGCAGCAGCACGCGCGGCCGATGGGATGGGAGTGGGCGCGATTTCCTTGTTGGCAGCTTTCAACGCCTTGATTTGCTCCTCCAGGGAGAGGTTCTGCGCAGCCAGCAGCTGCATCTCCGCCTCCATCTGTTTTGTTTGTCTGCCGGTTAGAGGGATGGAGTAATGGGGGGTGAGGGGCAGGAATTGAGACGTTTAGCAGTTAGTAGTTGTCTCTCCACCTCGATCTCCTGCGTTTGCCTGTTAAATTGGGAGATGGAGGGATGGAGGGATGGACGGATGAAGGGATGGACGGGTGGAGGGATGAAGGTGCCCTTACTACTGCCCTTCCTTCCTTGCTGCCACCCACTGCCATTCTCTCACCTCGCGCCTGAATTTGATTTTACCCACTGCCCTCGTCTCTCACCTCACGAATTGCTTATTAGCGGCGATGGCCCGCATTGGACAGCTGAAAGTGCCCCCTGCACTGGCCCAGCTTTTTGTCGACTCAAGACCCATCCACTTCTCGACTCTCACCTCGCCAGCTGCTCGTTAGCAGCATCAGACAGCCTTAGGTGTTCCCTGCAGCGACCCAGCTCTTCCCGTGCGCCCTGCAGCTCGTGTGTGAGCTCCTCTATGCGCGCCTGAGCGTGGCCGCCGCCCGCTGCTGCCTTCTGCACCAACAGCTCCTGCACCTGGCGGTTGCTCATGCGGTGAGAATGGAGGGAAGGAGGGCATAGTGAGGGGAATTTTTGAGGTGAGGGGATTGTTTCAGTGAGGGTAATTTGTGAGGTGAGGGGATTGTTTCAGTGAGGGGAGTTTTTGAGGTGAGGGGATTGTCTCAGTGAGGGGATTTTTTGAGGTGAGGGGATTGTTTCAGTGAGGGGAATTTTTAAGGTGAGGGGATTGTTTCAGTGAGGGGAATTCTTGAGGTGAGGGGATTGTTTCAGTGAGGGGATTTTTTGAGGTGAGGGGATTGTTTCAGTGAGGGAAATTTTTGAGGTGAGGGGATTGTTTCAGTGAGGGGAATTTTTGAGGTGAGGGGATTGTTTCAGTGAGGGGAATTTGTGAGGTGAGGGGATTGTTTCAGTGAGGGGAATTTTTGAGGTGAGGGGATTGTTTCAGTGAGGGGAATTTTTGAGGTGAGGGGATTGTTTCAGTGAGGGGAATTTTGTAGGTGAGGGGATTGTTTCTGTGAGGGGATTTTTTGAGGTGAGGGGATTGTTTCAGTGAGGGGAATTTTTGAGGTGAGGGGATTGTTTCAGTGAGGGGATTTTTTGAGGTGAGGGGATTGTTTCAGTGAGGGGAATTTTTGAGGTGAGGGGATTGTTTCAGTGAGGGGAATTTTGTAGGTGAGGGGATTGTTTCAGTGAGGGGAGGGCAGAGTGGGCAAGGAGGGAGGAAGACAGGGAGGGCAGGGAGGGGATCAGACAGCCTTAGGTGCTCCCTGCATCGAGCCAGGTCCGTCCGTGCGCCATCAGCTCGTGTGCGAGCTCATCTATGCGCGCCTGCGCTTGCCCGCCGCCCGCTGCTGCCTTCTGCACCAACAGCTCCGCCACCTGGTGAAGAGTAAAGTCAGCATGGGCGGGAAGGGAGCGTGAGGATGGCAGGGAAGGGGTAAATAGTGCTGCCCCTTGCTGCTGCCTTCTGCACCAACAACTCGCCACCTGGTGATCGTACGTGTTGGAGAAACGAAGACAGGGAGGACAGGGACGGCAGGGAGGAGTGGAAATGGATGTATTCTGTGCGCGCTGAACTCAACTCGTGCTGCTCCCCACCTCTCTCTAATCTGCGCTCACCTGATCCTTGAGAGTCGCCATATCCTCCGACCTACTTCCCTCCTCCTCCACCTCCTCCTCCTCCCCCTCCTCTACAGTCTCCAGCCTCCCCACCATCCCCTCTCCCTCACCCATCCCCTCCACTTCCTCAGCCCCAGCAGAACCATCACCACCAGCAACACCAGCACCAGCAGCACCACCCCCAGCACCACCACGAGCAGCAGCAGCAGCAGCAGCAGCAGCAGCAGCAGCGAGCTGCTTCCTCAGCTTGGCATTCTCGCCCCTCAGAACGCCCACTTCCCGCTCCAGCTCCCTCTCCCTGCGCAAGCACCCAGCCAGTGTCCGCTCCAGCCGCTCAATCTCCCCCAGCAGCTGCACATGCCTGGGGGAGTTCGCCCTCTCCTGCAATGCCATTGCCAGTGGGGAGCAGGCAGCAGCGCTGGTGGAGGTACCAGCAGCATTGGTGGCAGGGTTGCGGGGTGTTCTGGGTGTGGTGGTGCGGGAGTGAGGGAGGGCGAAGGGAGGCGAGGAGGAGGAGGAGGCAGGGAGGAGCAGACGGGCCTCGCAGGTGCAGAGCTTATACAGTCGATGAAGCTCGTCCTGTGTGGGGATGGTGGAGATGGTGGAGATAAAAAGGGTTAAGGAGGGAGGAAGCATGGTTGAGGAGAGGAGGGAGGGGAGCGAGGGTAGAACGACAGGAGAAGACGAGGTAAGAGGAATCAAGGGAGGCCAGGTGAGGATCCATCAGACAAGGCTCACTGTCCGCCTCACCTTGAACACTGTGAGAACCACCGTGAGCATTACTGTGAGCATCACCGTGAGCACTTCGAACCATATAAGAAGGCAGGGAGTGTCACAACTTGAGCCTGGCGATCTCCTCCTTAAGAGCGTCATTCCCGCCCTCCGCATCCTCATTCACCACCGCCTTGTTGTGCATTCTGACTCGACTCAGATTGCACCTAAGCATCACACCTTAAGCCATGTTAGGGCAGGGAGCATCACACCTAAAGCCATGTTAGGGCAGGGAGCATCACACCTTAAGCCATGTTAGGGCAGGGAGCATCACACCTTGAGCCTGGCAATCTCCTTCTTGAGGGCGTCCTTCTCGCCCTCTGCAGCCTCATTCACCACTGCCTTGTTGTGCACCAGCTTAGCCCGCTGCGCAAACTTGAGCGTGCTGTGCGACTCCCTGAACGACCTGTGGGTGCAGTCACACATGAGACAGGGTAACAAAAGTTGATGCATGTGAGCGGAGGCATCTCAAGAACTGGTGATCATGTGACAGCACCACACATAATCAGTGCGTACCCAGCAAATGGACTGATGCACGCGATTATGGTGGTCATGTGACAGCAGCAAACATCACCAGTGCTTACCCGGCAAATGGACTGATGCACGCGTTTATGGTGGTCATGTGACAGCAACAAACATCACCAGTGCTTACCCAGCAAATGGACTGATGCACGCGATTATGGTGGTCATGTGACAGCAGCAAACATCACCAGTGCTTACCCGGCAAATGGACTGATGCACGCGATTATGGTGGTCATGTGACAGCAGCAAACATCACCAGTGCTTACCCAGCAAATGGACTGATGCACGCGATTATGGTGGTCATGTGACAGCAGCAAATATCACCAGTGCTTACCCAGCGAATGGGCTGATGCATGCGATGATGGTGGTCTTGGAGTTGCCTCCCAGAGAGTCCTGCACCCATAGTTTTTCATTGCAACGAAACCATGGCACATAACTTGGGTGTCCCAGTGGAGTTGGAATCATAATCACCTCCCAGCGAGTCGTGCTCACGGGGTGTTGAATGGAAGGGACGTGGCGTCGGGAAAGGGAAAGGGGAAAGTCACATTCTTTTTTAGACGTCACAAGAGAAACAGGCATCAGGAAATTACACGACAGAGTAATTGTCAGCAGTTAATTTTTGCAGGAAGAACCCCCTTGGCCATACTTTCTCCAACTTTAACAAAAGCCAGGGTATCCACCTGAAGGAGGAAGGTTAGGTAGGAGTCGCGGTAGGGCACGTGCCGAGGCTTGTTCTCCCTCAGTGACTCCACCAGCACCATGATCACCTTGCTGTGAGACCAAGGCATGATGCACACAGGCATGAACACAGGCACAGGCACAGTCACAGGCACGACGAACACACAGGAGTGAATGGTTTTGCAAGGCTTGTCCTCCCTCAGCAACTCCACCTGCACCATGATCACCTTGCTGTGAGACCAACACATACACACTGGAAAGAAACTTCTATGATGGAGAGTGACGAATTGTTGGAGCTTGCCTCCTTGAGCTGCACGGCATGCACAGCCAACGGCGAGAGGCAACATACCCCAGCTGGGAGAGCGACGTGTTGATGGAGCTCGCCTCCTTGAGCCGCTCTCCTGTCGCCCCTGAAGACTTCTGCCTGCCAGGGGTGGAGAGAGGTGGTGAGGGTGGGAGGGTGGTATAGACGGGTGAGAATGGGGTGGGAATGGGAAAGAGTGGATGCGAGGTACCATTGGAATTGAGGGTACCTCTCAGAGCCTCAAAGGGCAAGACATGGAAAGAGGGAGGACATGGCAAGACATGGGAAGAGGGAAGGCATGGCAAGACATGGCTAGAGGGAAGGCATGGCAAGACATGGCAAGAGGGAAGGCATGGCAAGACATGGGAAGAGGGAATGGGACGAGGTACCTCTCAGAGCCCGCGAGGTCAACGAGGTTGAGTTGACCAAAGCGCCGGTTGTTGATGCCCTCAACCGTCCACTGCAGTGGTGGGGTGGGGAGAGACATGGGAGACATGGTGACACATGATGAGACACGCATGTATCTGCATGCTTGCACATATGCGCACACACGCATGATGTTGCGTGACGCATACATGAGGGAATGTAAGCATGGAAGAGGCACCCACTGAGTGTGCCCACTGTGGTATCAACGCTCACATTGTACTCTCTCATTTTGCCAGCTATGTGTTGCCATCTGTGCATGTGTGTGTGTGAAGCAGCAGCAGTGCACTCTCTCAATGCTGCCAGTGGCACTCTCAGTTCTACTCCACAAGCCTGCCAGGACCAGCACTGGACTTACCGTGCTCTCAATGTTTGCATGTGAAGACGCTGTGGGACCGGCTGCTCTCCCGGTTCATGTTCGTCCCCGCCACCCGCCGGTTCTTCGCCCCCTGCACACACACACACACACACACACACACACACACACACACACACACACACACACACACACACACACACACACACGCCAATGTCAACACTCTGTTACAACCTTGAGCCGACTCAAAAGCCATCTCTGTGCATAAGAGCAAGCCACCACCTTGACTCAACTCAGCTCAACTCAACTCAGCTCAACTCAACTCAACTCAGCTCAACTCAACTCAACTCAACTCACCCGCTGAATTAGCTCCATGACTTGAGCAAAGCAGGTGACCGGCTGCTTGGTAAGATTCTCGACATACACGCCATTGGGGCCCTCTCGGATCTGAGGGGGACAAAAGGGGGAGGGAGGGTGTGGGAAAAGGGGGGAAAGGGAAAACAGGAAGGTGTGTTTAAGAGGCATGTGAACGTGTGTGACAGGACTGGATAGGCGAATAAAGACTGGCTTGTAAATATCCAGGAATGAGCACGTGCATATGAACGCGAGGCGCTCACCCTGGACTCACATGCAGGTTGCAGCGCTTGGGGTCCAACAGATCATAAAAGTGCTCGTTGTAAAATCTCCAGGAAGGAGCACGTGCAGGTGAACGTGAGTCATGAGTCGTCTCAAACCCCATGCACCCTACACCTTAAACCCTAAGCCCTCATCCTTGCTCTCACGTGCAGGTTACAGCGCTTGGGGTCCAGCAGGTCGTAGAAGTGCTCGTTCTAGATTTCCAGGAACGAGCAGGTGCAGATGAACGTGAGACGCTCGCCCGCCCTCTGCTGCTTCCCCTGGCAAGACGGACGGATGGGGCGAGAAGGAAGGGAGGGAAAAAAGGGGGGGGAGGAGAAGAGGGGTGGGGTGGGAAGAAGGGAGTGAAACGGGCAGCACGGGTAAGGCGCGGGCAGAATAAAAGAGCAGCTGCTGCATCAGAGCGAAAACAAGCTGGAAGGCCCGTGCTGCAGGTGGGCTGCAAGCAAGGCACAGGAAGCAAGATGTTTGGGCAGCACGATTCGCACCTGTTGCATGAGGGCGAAGACCAGCTGGAAGACTCGCGGGATCATCCCCCACCTCGACCCCACTTCCACGTCAGCGTTATCCCCTCGCAATCTGTCCACGTCAGCCTTGTCCACGTCAGCTCCAAACATGGTGTAGGTCTTCCCGCTGCCCGTCTGAGATGCGTGGGAAAGAATGACATGAGAGCATGCAAAAAGGTTGGAACGGGATAAGAAAGAATGACATCCGAGACAGATGAGAGAAATGAACGGGAGGGGATATGGCATGAATCAGAATGCTGGGAATGCTGTCAGGGGTCAGAGAAGAGAGAAGAGACAAGAGGGACAGGTGGGGTATTACGAGCAACAAGCATGGGGTGACGAGCAAGCAAGGTGTTCTGACATGAGAGCTCTCATGTGATGAGTCGATTTTTGAGTCGACTCAAAAATCGACTCATCACACAAGGTGTTCTGACATGAGAGCTCTCAGAAACACCCTGCATTAAGCACGGTGTACCCCAATCAAGTCCCTGGCATATACAACGAACCTGGCCATATGCAAACATGGTGCTGTTGTACCCGGCAAGTCAATTCTCCAGGAGACTCGAAAATACCACACAACATGGCATATACAACGAACCTGGCCATACGCGAACATGGTGCTGTTGTATCCAGCAAGACAGTTCTCGACTATGGGCCTCCCTGCCAGCTCAAACAAGTCCTCCTGCAGGAAGAGTCAAGGGAGAGGGACGGAGGCGGGGGAAGGGGGCGGGGGAAAGGGGAAGGGGAGAAAAGGGGCCGGGTTCAGAGCGATGGGGGGTTGACTGCATTCGGCATCGCCCACACCCACACTGAGCAAGGATCACACAACCACCGTAAACTCATGGCACTTGTGGTCCATACCCACCACGACCGTGTGCTCGTTCCCAATTCAACAGCACCCATCCCCAAGCGTTGATCTCATGTGCATGTGTACCTGCGACGCGCTCTCCCCTGCCACATGGTCGAACATGAGCTGCTCCGCTGCGCCAGCCCTGTTCATGAGGAATAGCGACCAGGGGCTGTCCTGTGACCCCAATCCCACGCGTATCTTCAATGCCCTCAACCTCATGCCCACCTGCGTCGCGCTCTCCCCTGCCACGTGGTCGAATGTGAACTGCTCCGCTGCACCTCCCCTGTCCGGATTCACCAGGAAGAGCCATCGAGGGCCGTCCTGCACCCCCATTCCCATGCGTACCTTTGATGCGCCCTACCCCGACCATCATTTCACGTGCTCCGCTACTCTCATCCCCATGTCCCACCTGCATTGCGCTCTCCCCTGCCACGTGGTCGAACGTGAACTGCTCCGCCGCACCCGCCCTGTCCGGGTTCACCAGGAACAGCGACCGGGGCCATCCTGTGCCTGGCACACACCAGCACCCCCTCCCTTACATTACAGAAGCACACGTCCCCACGCCTACCTGCAACACGCTCTCCCCCGACATGCCCACCAGCTCAGCTACTCGTCTACCCATACCCAACTGCCACATGTCCACTCCCATGCCCTCCTGCCACTCGCTCTCCCCATGCCTACCTGCGATGCGCTCTCCCCTGCCACGTGGTCGAATGTAAACTGCTCCGCCGCGCCCGCCCTGTCCGGGTTCACCAGGAACAGCGACTTGGGGCCGTCCTGAGCCACACACTTCCCCCCGGGGTACCCCGTCAGCTCAGGACCTGCTGGCGGCCGCACCCTCACGATCACCTGATCGTGAGCAATTGGGGTGGGAAGGGGGGAGAGAGTGAGGACAGAAGGAAAACGGAGGTGAAGTTTAAGTCGAGTCGAGAGCGATCGGGGGCCGTCCTGTGCCACACACTTTGCCCCGGGGTACCCCGTAACCTCAGGGCCTGCTGGCGGCCGCACCCTCACGATTACCTCACGGTGCAGTGGTTGGGGTTGTGGGAGGGAGAGAGAGAGCACGAAATGAAAATGGAGGTGAATTTCAAGTCATCTCAAGAGTGACCGGGGCCGTCCTGTGCCACACACCATCCCCCAGGTACCCCATTGTCAGCTCAGGGCCTGTTGGTGGTCGTATCCTCACGATCACCTGACGGCGCGGCGGGCGGTTGGGATGGGTGAAGAGAGCGGAAACGGATGAAGAAAGGGAGACGGACGCAGAGAGCCAGGGAAAGAGGACACAAAAGCGGCACACCTTTTTCCCCTCAAATGAGCGAGCGAGGATGGGCCGGCAGGCCTGCAGGCAAACTCACCTTCGAAGGTCTCCGAAACGCAACATCTCGCGCGGTGGATCCTCATTACCCCTCCAAAATTCGCCTAAATCTTCCATGCCTGAATCTTCGAATTCCCTCACTAAGTCCGGAATTGGAGGCATGCCTATCTTCCTTCAACGCCTTCAATGCCTGAATCTTCGAGTTTCCACACTATTTTTGAAATCACCGACAAGCAAATTTCCCCGGGGTCCTTACTTGTATGTTCGAATCGTCTGAAATCGCGGCTGATAGCCGCGTGGGGACGGGACGAGTCCTCGTGGCGGTGCTTGGAGTCTTGACAGCGATGGTGCGATCGCGATCTGCGGGTCGTGAGGGACGCACGTAGGGACAAACACATAAATGTTCAAATCGTCTGAAATTGCGGCTGACGCGTGGGTACGGGACGAGTCCTGGTGGCAGTGCTCGGAGTCTTGACAGCGATGGTGCGATCGCGATCTGCGGGTAGAGAGGGACGCACGTACGGATAACGCATGAACCAGGTGAACCAGACGCACGAGAGACTAAACTTGTTCTGAGACGCCTCACGCTGCTCGGACTCTTGACAGCAGTGGTGCGATCGCGATCTGCGTTAGATTGACGACTGGAAGGAAGGATAAACGCATGAATGTTTCGAATCGCCTGAAATTGCGGGCTGATAACCGCGTGGGGACGGGACGAGTCCTGGTGGTGTTGCTTGGAGTCTTGGCAGCGATGGAGCAATCACGATCTGCGGGTAGAGAGACGCACATAACGGTAACAGTAAATTGTTCGAATCGTCCGAGATCGAGGCTGCTAACAGCGTGGGGACGGGACGAGTAGTCGTGGCGGTGCTTGGAGTCTTGGCAGCGATGGAGCTATCGCGATCTGCGGGAAGAGGGACACACGGAAAGGTATTGCATGAATCAGGCGAACGAGTGACGCAGAAGAGTGAAATCGTGTTGAGACGCCTCGAGATGAATTTGCTTTCACGTTGCTCGGCAGTGATGGTGCGACCTCGGGACGTACGGAGGAATAAAGAAACGGGTCAACGAGAGGATTCACGTTTTTTTTTTTTTATATATATACGTATCGAAACAGATTCACTTTCACGTTTCTCGGAGTCCTGGTATAGAGAGACGCACGAAAGGATGTTGTGTGAATCACGGTCAACGAGAGGACTTTGAGTCAACTCCGAGACGAAAGCCAGATGCGGGTAGAGGGTCACATGGAAGGGTGGCGAATCAGGGTAGACAAGAGAGGGTCATATCGACATAAGAGGGTGATCGGAGCATCGTTCATATGCATTAAGCGTTTACTATGACTCGCATACTCACACGCCTGCGACTGCGGCGTGAGTACCTTTTCGAGGCATCTTATAAATGAGAGCAAATCACATCAGCCAAAGAGGGTAGCTGGAGCATCGTCTATATGCATCAAGCGTTACTATGACTCGTACACTCACAAGCCTGCGACTGCGGTGTGAGAACGTTGCCGGTCAGCGTCGCAAGCCCTGCTCTAGGCGTGCCTCGCTGCGACAACGCCGACGACGATCCCCCTGGCTGCGACAACGCCGACGACGATCCCCCTGGTTGCGACAACGCCGACGACGATCCCCCTGGCTGCGACGCCGACGACGACCATCCCCCTGCCTGCGACGACGAAGACGGTCCTCCTTGCAGCGGTGTCTGGCGGCTGAGAGAATCAGCCTTGTTGGGTCCGCTTTGCAGTCCCGAGGATCTGTGACGGCCTACTGAAGACGGCGATGGAGCAACGTTCTCCATTATGAAACTGGAAGAGAGGCGAGAAGAATGGAAGGTAAAAACAGGGAAAATCTAAGAGGTGAATTGTTAAATGTTGAGACTTGAAGTTTTGTTGTCCACTACTTGAACGATGCGTCAAATATTCATTTTCTGGAGGTATATTTTCCACGTGATTAACGCCGGCTGAGCCTTGACTGCGAAGTTCGTAAAGCTGCTATCACCTCATAACATTCATGCCGGAAGTTAAGGCCTTACAGCGTTAAAGCTGAATCGATTTTCTTGGTTGACGATTGGAGTCCTTAGCGTTCAGTTAGCAGTTAAACCGACGTCATCAGCTCAAAGGGCGATAAGGCCAGCGAGATGCTGGCGACCATAGAATGCCAGCCTACAAAGTAACGTTGAGCCGACTCAAACAACCAGCTTCTACTACGCTAAACAATAACGTCGAGACCGGAAGCCATGTAAGCTGATCAGTCATTTAAAAGGGATACGCTGAGCGACGACGTGCCAGTACCCTGAAGAGTATTAGAACTGATCAACTCGTGGGGTCTCTATCAGTAAGCCAACAGATACCTAGCGGGTCTCTAGCAGTTGTCTTGGACCTGCCTTGGAGTTGTCTAGAAGTTGGTCTAGGAGTTGTCTAGGAGTTGTCCTGGGTTTGAACTCCAGGGATGTGGTTCAAGGTTGGGTGGGAGGGAGGGATTGAATCGATCGAGAGAGGTTCCTTTGACCCGGGCTGCCCTTCCTACCAGTCTTTCACTGGTTCTGTTGTTTTCACGGCTATGCATGTTTTACTTCCTACAAAACGAGCCACAAAACTCCTCCTACAGCCTGACCAAAACGGAACCCGCAACCGCGACTGAACAAGGTCACCTCCATGCAATACCCGAGTGCTATGCAGAACGCACACAACACTGACCGAAAAGTTTTAGGGCAATAGTTCGAAACATGCGAAAAGCCTAGCTTGCTTCGCATCTCTGACGAGCCGCAGCAATGAACTGGAGTCGTCAGTTTCGAATTTTCGCGCGCGATGAACCCTAGAGGGCATATAAATAAACGCGCTAGACGCTCCCTCTGTAATCTAGATGTCATCCTTTCGCAAATACATTTCCTAACTGAAGAGCGAACGTTGAAGAGATTGTAACACCGCGCCAGTGGTGTCATCACCATGGCAGCAACCCAGATAACCAGGTACTGTTTCGCAAACACCTGCAGCACAAGAGCCGTGTACGAACTCCATCGATTTCTACAAGACCTCGCGAACTTCGCCACAGGGCCTCTCACCAGCTAGTTTTCCCATTCCAGCACCTCAGGACGACCCAACTGGGTTCGTCCCTGCGGCAGTTACTGCTATTCCACAGCATGATACCCTGCGTTAGGACCGTCATGATCTATTGCGACCATGGCTGGCCATAATTTCTTGCCTCGCGGGATTCGGGATCCTTGCTCGTCCAGCAGAAAAATGAGAGAAATTCGTGACTATCCCGACAACCGCTTGGTTTCCTCCTCTTCACCCGCCGCTGCTCTAAGCTCGTCCCTCCTCCTCAGTTCCTCTTCGTGTCCTCGTTTAGGCAGCAATATTAGAGAAAATCAGAACCAGCCTGACGACCGCTTCGTTTCCTACTCTTCACCCCCAACTGCCTTAAGCTCGTCGTTCCTTCCCGTTTCCTCTTCGTCTCCTCCTAGACCGCTCTCCGTCCCTTCCTCTCTTCCCGCTTCTACCTCCTCTTTCTCGTCCTCACTAGCAGCAAGGCAAGTTCAAGCCATGCTTATGAGAGAATTAGTGGAACCTGCACGGAAGCTTCTTCCCGCGTCGCCTTACCTGAATTCGAGCTCCAGCGGTCCATCGTCTAATCCACCTCCTAATCCCGAAGTACGTATTCTAACTCACCCTCCGTTAAGTCTTTTTTCCTCTCTCACTTTGCAAGAAGCAACCCCATACATAATTCTCTCACTCAGTATGCTTCGTTCTGGATATCAAGGCGGGAAGCTACCAAGACGGGCCACTCAGATGGGGACCTACCCGTGGCCGTCTGGAATCTCCGCTCACCATTCCCCGTTTCCCACTCCCTCTCTCCCCTCACGTTAAAAATCTTGTCATCTCGTCGCCATCAATCTCAAACTGACTTTTTCTACCCTTCTACTTCCCCCCCTCCCCTCCCATCAGGAGTCCCGCCATCTCCGCGCCACCGTCATCCAGGCTGTCTCTCGCTTCGTCGCCTCCTCATCCCACGTCAATCCCACACTGTCCTTCCCTTCTCCCCTCCCCCTCCCCTCTCCCCTTCCTCCCCTTCACCTCAGGAATCCCGCCATCTCCGCGCCACCATCATCCAGGCCGTCTCTCCGTTTCCTTTCCTCCTCATCCCACCCACATCAATCCCAAACTCTTTTCACTACCTTTCTACTCCCCCCATCTCACCGTCACCCTCCAGGAATCCCGCCATCTCCGCGCTACCATCATCCAGGCCATCTCTCGCTGCGGCAAGCCCTTCTCCTTTCCTACCGTTACCCCCCCCTTCCCGTTCCCCATCCCCCATTCCCTCCTCCCTCCCCCTCTTACCCCCCCCATCAGGACTCCCGCCATCTCCGTGCCACCATTATCCAGGCCGTCTCTCGCTTCGTCGCCTCCTCATCGCGTGTCAAGCCCTCCCAGCTGCCACTGCTCGTCGCTGCCTTCTTCATCCCACCCACCCCAACCGTTCCGAACCCAAGCCATGTCAAACTAAGCCGTTCTAGCTCTTCTGTCCCTTTAGCCGCCACCGCTCCTCCTGCTGCTTCTGATTCTGCTTCTCCTGTTGCTACTGCTGCTGTTGCGTCCGCCAATGCTGCTGCGCCTGCCCCTGCTGCTGCTCCCCGTACTGCTGCTCCTCCTTATCCTGCTGCTGCTTCTGTGCCCTGTCCAACTCCTGCTGATGCTCTGCTTGCTCTGCTCTTAGGAGAGCAGCCTGCAAGTAGCAGGACTGGTGAAGGGTGCACGGAGGTGGATTGCGTTGCTGCTGAGTGCGGGGCTGAATGCATTCGAGTGCTCACGAGGCCTGCTGCTTCCACCAAAGAAGCCAAGGTATGTTCCTTATCTTCCGCTTTCTCGCTTCCTATATTGTGCTGCTTTCAGTAAACTCAAAGGTCATTTCAAGTGCTCACGAGGCCTCCTGCCTCCCCACCCCACCAAAGAAGCCAAGTTACTTGTCACCTATACTCTCCTCTCACTCACCAACCTTCAGTTTCCAACCTTCGTTTGTTCTGCAAATTTACATAGCCGCAAGAAAATAATGTTGTTTTTTTTTTTTTTTTTTTTTTTTTTTTTTTTTTTTTTTTTTCCCACTCGCCAGGTGCGTGCCTCACCCTCATTTCCCTACAGCCCTCCCTCCCTTACGATTCCCCCCCCCCCCCCCCCCCCCTTTCCCCTTTCAGCTGCAGCACACTCTTGTCCCGCTTCTCCTTCACATCGCATCCCGCCTTGGTTCTGCTAAAAAAAACTTCATTCCCTTCCTATTTTCTTTGCTTCCTCCCTTCCCCCTTCCCTCTTCCTCCCTTCCCCATTCCCCATTCCCCCATTCCGCTGCAGCACACTCTCGTCCCGCTTCTCCTTCACATCGCATCCCGCCTTGTCACTGCCACAACAGACCCTTCCCACCCTCTCTCCCCAATTCCAACCAACACCAACGCCCATCCGCGTCCTCTGTCCACCACTCAAGCCCATCCGCTGTTTGCCACTCAGACCTATCTGGGCTGTGCATTCGACACGTGCCGGCATGCCCTTGCCCGCCTAGCTGCTGAACTCGGCCCCATGCAGTGTTGCCAGCAGCTGCTGCTGCACGCTGCCATTGTTGGTGCTCGTGATGTTGGTGCACCAGCAGCTGGTTCTGCTGCTGGTGCTGCTCCTGACGCCACAGCAACCACCCTTTTTGGTGTTCAATATATTGCTGTGTCCTCCTCTGCCTCTGCCTCTGCCACCGCCTCTGCCTCTGCCTCTGCCTCTGCCTCTGCCTCTGCCTCTGCCTCTGCCTCTGCCTCTGCCTCTGCCTCTGCCTCTGCCTCTTTCACTGCCTCAGCCTCTGCCTCTGCTGCTGCTCCCAACACCAAAGATACCGCCCCTTCTGCAACTCACTCTGCTGCAACTGCAGATCCTGCTATCACCACCAGCAGCAGTAGTGCAGTCTCGTCACTCTCCCTGCTGCTGCTCCAGTGCTTACAGCGCACAGTAGCTGCCATCCGAGCCTCCGCTACAGCGCCCCTGCTTACAGCACCTCCCGCCCAGTCTGAGAAAACAGCAGCTGCAGCGGCGGCGGCGGCAGGGGCAGGCGAGTCAGCACCAGCAGGGGAAGGAACAGCGACAGTAGCAGGGGAAGGAAGGGCAGCAGCAGCAGAGGAAGCAAGGGCAGCAGCAACCACGGAAGGAAAGATAACAGGAGAAAACGAGAGCAGCAAAAGCAACAAGGGAAGTGCCCCTGGTTACATGTCCACAAGGGAAGCGTGCGCACTCCTCTCCTCCCTCTCCTCCTCGCTCCCTGAGACTGACGTTGCCTTGCTCTCTTCATGTCTGCCTGTCCTTCTCCTCCTGCTGCCGCGTGAATCGATACCTCCCTCCTTGAGCGTGAATGAGCCTTTGTATGTGCCCTGGAATGGGCCTCTGAACGCATCCGGTTTGCCCTCCCACCAGCAAAAGCATTTAAAGCAACAGCAGAAAGAGCAGCAGCAGCAGCAGCAGCAGCAGGTGGAGCAGGAGGTGCAGCATGTACATAGATCGACTGCCCGTTCTTCATTGTTGCGGCCCATAGTGCCATCACAGCCCAAACATCAGCTCACATATTCGAAAGCAGCGCTAGTGCCCCCTCAGTCTCTCCCTTCTCAGCCTCTGTTGGAGCCCGTGCGGCAGTTATTGCCATCATTGGCCGCTGCAAAGCCATCAGTACGATCAGTACGACGGGCAGAGAGGGGAAACGGGCCACAAGGCAATGAACGGGCCGTGCAGAGGAGTAACACAGACTGGGATGCGTTTACAGTGCCCAATGGAGTACCAGATAGAGTGTCAGGGGGAGTACCTCCTTCTTCCGGTACCCATAGAATCAGAAAGAGACGGAAATTAGCTGCAGATGTTGATCAGGTGCCTTCAGGTGCCCCTGCAGTGCCTTCAGGTGGTTTTCAGGTGCTGTCAGGTACTTTTATGGTGCCTTCAGCTTCGGGTGTTTCTCAGGTGCCTTCAGATTCGTCAGGTGCTTTTCAGGTGCTGTCAGGTGGTGGTGGTGGAAGGCAGATGAAATCCGAACTTATTCAGAGCCAGGTGATTTCGGTGGGTGCTGACATGGCAGTTCCTGATAAGTCTGTTACCCAGCACTATAACTGTAGAGCAAAGTCAAGACTACCAGCAAAGAGGAGCATGGAAGCAACCGCAGCAGAAACGACAGCAGCAGCAAAGGCAGCAAGAATCTCTGGATCAGCAACCGCGTTGGCAACAGCGGCAGCAGTAGGAGTGACATTTAAGAGAGAAGCATGGAGTAGGAATACTGATGCTGTTCTCCCAGCATCAGCAACACCACAAGCAGTTCTGAGACCCTCCTCCCTCCACCCACACCCACACTCACACCCACACTCACACTCACACTCACACTCACACTCACACTCACACTCACACTCACACTCACACTCACACTCACACTCACACTCACACTCACACTCACACTCACAACGCTTGCACTCTTCTTCCTTGATCCACGTCTCCCTGCTCCTTTCCTCCTGTTCCGCCCTTCTCTCCTCTCTCCACACCTGCCTCCTCTCCTTCATCCCACTCCACCGCATACCACCACACGGGTTCCCCCTGCCTTGGCCCTTTGAACCCCCTCTCTCTCCAGAATCTTCTGGGAAGCTTCTTCGAGATAAATCTCAATTTGACCATCTAGTGACGCTGCTTGGAGCGCTGTATTCGGCTTCTTTTGCTGCCGCTGCTTGTGATGATGGTGCTGCTGCAGCCGCTGTTCCTGCTGCTTGTCCTGATGTTGATGGTGATGGTGATGGTGCTGCTGCTGCTGCTGCTGCTGCTAGTGATGCTTCTCCTGCTGCTACTGCCGCTGTTGCTGACGTAACTGCTGGTGGTGATGGTGCTGCTGTTGCTGCCACCGTTGATGCTGCTGCTGATGCTTCTGCAGCCGATGTTGCTGCGGATTCATTTCTATCAGCAACCAACACCTCTCCGTCTTCCTTCCCCCATCAGTTCCTCTCCTTCGCCTGTAAACATAGCCACATGCTCAGCCTTCTCTCTCAGCCTCTCTCGCGTGCTGCTCCTCCTCCTCGCTCCACCCCTCTCTCCTTCTCAACCGCACAACACCTCCCACTACCCTGCCATCTTCCACACGCACCCCTTTTCGGTCCCAGCCAATGTATCCCACCCAGGAATGCATTGATGAGGAGCTGCTAGAATGGACAAGGGAAGGAAGACCGCAGGAGGATAGTTGGAATGGTGGAAAGAACTGGAAGGATTGGAAGAATGGGATGGATGTGAAGGATGGAAATAAGGTAGCTATGCCATTTCCGGCATGGGAGGAGGTGCTGATGTATGGAAATCGAGGCATGCATCTTGCATGGATGCTGCAGCCACTAGAACGCATGTTTCCGTTTCCCTTCTCGGGCTGCAGTAGGATGAGTTGCGGAGCGGACGGAGAACGCAGGCGGGGTATTGATAGGAGGGGCGGGGACAGCAGTGGGAGCAGTGAGAGAAGTGGCGGCAGTGACAGCATTTGGGGCAGTGAAAGTAGTGGAAGTGAGCTGCTGAGTCAGGAGGGCAAGAGGAGCTGGGTGCAGTGGTGCTTGCCTCCCCCTCGGGATGACTACCGTGACAAGGAGTTCATTCAGGTGAGTGCTCTTGGTGTTGAGGGCGACGGGGGGAGGGGGGGGGGGGGGGAGGGGGGAGTGGGGAGGGGGACGCTAAAGGTGTCTTGAAAGCCCCCTCGGGATGACTACCGTGCATGTGTTTGTGTGTGTGTGATTGTGTGTTTATTGTGTGTCATGGCGTGTGATTGCTTTTGTGCGTGTGAATTAGCCCAACTAGCTCTGTATAAAATTCGCGTGAAACAAGACGGTTTGTTATCCCCTCAAAATCAAAGCCGCAATTATCTTTATCGTTGTGGCCATAGGCGCAGCACATCGAGCTGCTGGTCTCATCCCTTCCTAATCATCCTTTCAGCATCTCCTTCCGTCCCTCACTCTCAGATCGAACGAGGCCCCTTGGCCCTTCACCAGGCCTTCATTCACATCCTCTTCTCCACTGACCCATCGGCCCTCCAACCAGAGGCCTAAGTTTTGAAAGCATCCCCATTTCATCTCTCCTCCACTTCCCTTTCCTTTCTCTCCTCTCTTCTTCATCCTTTCAGATCGAACGAGGCCCATTGGCTCTTCACCAGGCCTTCATTCAAATCCTCTCCGCCGACCCAACAGCCCTCCGAACCGGAGGCTTGGACGTCCGGTTCACAGGCGAGGGCGGGGCCGCAGGTCCGGGAGTGCTTCGGGAGTTCTTCGCCTTCGTTCGGGCACACCTCTTCGACCCGAACCTGGGTCTCTTCTCTCCCGTACCTCACGACCCGAGCCGGTTCTCCCTCTCCCTGGCGTCCCGAGCCAACCCTGCCGAAGCCAAGGAGTACCTTCGGTTCGCTGGACGTATCCTGGCCCTTGCTTTGGCACATCAGGTCCCGTTGGGAGTGAAGCTGTCCCGGTGCTTGTTTGCGCTGCTTGCTGCTCGCACACCCTCCCTTGCTGATGCTTCTGATGATGATCCCCAGTTGGTGTCTAGCTGTCGGTCTTTGCTGGCTATGGCTGAAAGGGAGAGGGGAGAAGCAGCACAGGGAGGAGGAGGAGGAGGAGAAGGAGGAGGAGGAGGAGGAGGAGGAGGAGGAGGAGGAGGAGGAGGAGGAGAGGAGGAGGAGGAGGAGGAGGAGGAGGAGGAGGAGGAGGAGGAGGAGGAGGAGGACTAGAGTCACTGTGTCTCACCTTTGTCGCTTCGGTAGTGGATCCGATGGGGGGCCCGCCAATCGAAGCAGAGCTCGTGCCAGGTGGCAGCGAGCGAGCGGTTCTGTGCGGATGACGTGGCGGAGTTTGTGCAGCGGCTGGTGCAGTTCCGGGGTTTGTGGGTGGTGGAGGAGGAGGGAGAGAGGCGTTGCGGCGAGGCATGGAGGATATATTGGGGAGCGGAGGAGGGCGGGATGTGGCTCTAGGGAAGGGGGATGCGGCGGAAGGACGGGAAGGGACAGAAGGGAAAGTAGGGATGGACGGAAGTGTAAGGGGTCAGGGAGGCTGGGAGGTGGTGTTGGAAGAGGTAACATGGAAGGAGGAGATGGGCTGCTTGCACCAACCCAGAAAAGTGATTATTGTTGCATTGATTCGGTTGAAGGCGTGAGTCTTGCTGCTATGCTCGCCCCACTTTCATGTGACGATCTCAATCTGCTTCTCCACGGGGAGGATCGCCATGTGGCAGTCTCTGATTGGCAGGCGCACACGGTCTATCACGGGTATTGCCCGGAAGATCCCCAGGTTTTGTGGTTTTGGGAAGTTGTGGAGTCGCTTTCGGGTGAGCAGCGGAAGTCCCTGCTGTTTTTTGCGACAGCTGTTTCGAATCTGCCCGTGAATGGGTTCAAGGGGCTCACAATGGGGTTTCATCTGCATCGGGCAGATGTGGATCTTTCGCGCCTGCCCACGGCACACACGTGCTTTCACCAGTTTCTGCTTCCCCCATATGAGAGCATAGAGATGATGCGTACGCGTTTGCTCACTCTCGTGAGCTCGTCATATATTGTTCATAGCTTTGGATTTGCATGATACAAGCGCAGGCCGCTGAGTTGCTTGGTGGTTGGGATAAAGCACGTGGATGCATTAGTTTTATAATGCTTTCCAGTTCGTCAGAGGCGATTTTTCGGATAATGCATTCTTGTGTATCAGATGGTCTTGTGCGTTAGGCAGATGCCGTCTACACACATGCTTCTACCAGTTGTACCGTATCTGCCCACTATCACGAGATGCTGTATCAGGGCCTATTATATCAGGGTTTAGTGCGCTGATTCGGGCTGTGCCCTGCAATTCCAGGATTATAGGGTGTTGCTAGATTCAGTATAATAAGTGATTGTAAAGCGCCCTGGATTTTCGTAATGGTCAATAAGTTTTCCCCTGAGGGAGGACATTTGGGAAATCCGGATGTCTCGTATAGCGCGTATTTCAGGATAACAGCTTCGACGCATGCTAGGTGTTCTCGAGATTCGCAGCATGCAACAACAACACCCATACAATCACCACTTCACCAGCCATGGATTCGCAGATGCAGAACCGCCAGCGCTAGTTTACATCGCCAGTCCTTACACATCACCAGACTGAGAAAAAGGTGCTCTTTACCCGCGTCAGGCGCTTCAGCTTTTTTCCTTCTTCATCTTGGAGATAATGCGGTTACGTTGGCATCACGTGGATTATTACGCATTAGCGTCAATGAAGCAACAACAAAAACAAGATCGGCGAACATTGCCGTGTCCTAAGATTGTAGATGGTGGAGACGCCGCGTTACCCGATGACATACCGGTCGCATCGTTTCAGCTTCTAGCAAATGACAGCAAGAACCTTATTCATGGAGTCGATTATTCTGAGCTCTCCACGACCATCCTTCCGAAAGCAGCTGCTGCTTCCATTCTTACGCAGTTTCTTCCGCAAAAACAAGTGGTGTCGAAAACGTCAAGCTTGAGCACCATTGACTGGATGGTCGACAGTAACGAACTTAGCGATGTTGGACCCATTACTCCCTTCATGGCCAATTTTGAGGAACTGCTACTGCAGGATACGGATTTTCAGGTTTCTCTCGGTGTCCCTTTTGCTCCGTGTCTCACTTTTTTTTTTTTTTTTTTTTTTTTTTTTTTTTTTTTTTTTTTTTTTTTTTTTTTGTCCTCCCTGTTTTTCTGATAGCACCCACCTTATAACTCGTAACCATGCAGAAAATTGGAGAGGACGTATTTTACCAAATTGACTGTGATGCCTTGCCATTGGAAAACGTCGATCCTCCACCAGAGATGGTAAGCCTTTCACGCACTGAATGGAGTCGATATGGCTACTCGCTTTCTATGCTAAATCTTCTAAAAAATGGCAGAACGTCAGACGTGCGGAGGAGGACGCAGAACCCATCGCGATGGATTTTTCACCATTCAAGGAACATCTCGTTTCTTTATTGGACTTCGAAACAGCGTGCAATTCATCAACATCTTCGAAGCGCGGCAAGCCACACACGATGGACAATTTCTGTCCCATGGACCCTCCGTGTATCCTGGACGATCCCATTAATCCCGGTCGTTCCATGACGGATCCGTCGACGCTTATGAAGAAGATGGATCTGATGAAACCATCTGAAGACGCCATGAGTGGCCTTTTAAACAGCCGTATTAACATGATGTCGCTGCTGGGTCCAGGTCGAATGGCAATAGATCAAGTTAAGCCGACGTACACAGAGACACTATGCAAGGTTTTGGAGGAGCCAAGTACCTCTGCTCAAGGTGCAGTCACGAGCGAAGTTATTCCGCTGCTTGATGTGCCATTCCCATCACTCAGCCAGTCACCAATGGTTGAGAAGCTGGCTATGGAGTTGATTTGCAAAGAGAAGACACTTCGCCTTGACGCCCTTCCCTCCATGAGCGCGTCAATGAAAGACTTCAACGAGCTGGTTGTGGCTCCTCAGCTCACTTTCAACTGTGGTGGAATTCGATCTCTTCCAGTTCCACTTCTGCAGCAGGAGGAATTTCAAGGAGATGGCAATCTCCTACCTGTCACTGCGTTCTTATCTCTAAGCGAGTCGCTGAGGCCGAATCTGACAATGGCTTCTCGTGCAAGAGATTTCCTGTACCTGGATTGGCATCTGTCGCAAGATTTCAAGTCTTGCACTTCATGCAGTTGCTCCAATGCTGGCTGCAAGCTATCTTTTCAGAGAGTTAAGCTGCTCCAATCAGAGCCACCACAATCTGACTCGCTGTTTTCTCTGATTGATGATAGGATGCCGTGCATACCTGCACAAATTATCTCAGGGATTGAGGAAAGAATGATGCTGCCATCAGCCCTGGTTCAGATGGTGTATTCAGCTTCGATCTCTCCATCACAACATGCCTCTCATGTTGCTACTGCTCCACAGCCGCCATGCCAGCCTCAGGTTCGATATGCTGAACCTCAGACCGCACCAAAGCTTCACGCCCCAATTTCACATGCAAGATTCGCACCTTCACCCCAGCGTCAGCCTCAGCCTCAGCCATTGATCATCACACCACCCCCTGCTTCTCCAATGAATCTACCTCACAGTCGATTTGTGTCAATTCCATCGCCAGCTGATACTGCTGCTGCACCTGCCTCTGCTTCTGTCGCTGCTGCTGCTGCTGCTACCGCTATGTGTGCTTCTGTCGCTGCAGCTGCCGCCGCCGTTGCTGCCTGTGCCACAAACCGCCACCGCATCTCCTGCTGCTGTAATGCTGAAGAGTAACGAGGATAACCGACCAGACTCAGCTGCTAGAGAGGAGGGCAAATGGGTCGGGTTCCAGCACCAAGTCCAGAAAATGTCAAGCGAGCTCAATTTCTTCATGAATGCAAGGCAGGGAAAAGCACAGAGTCTTCAAGCAAGAACCACCTCAGGAGGTGGCAGCCGCGGTTGAGCCAACTAGACTTGTGGAAGAAGCCAGCTTCAGAGCACGTGATGAAGTTAGAGCTTTGGAAAAGGAGGTCGAGGATCTGACTGCTGTGCAACCGATTGGCTTTAAGTCCCCTCCAGCTGCACGGCAATCCTTGAAAGAATTGGATTCACAGGTCCACAGAGTGCAGATGTCACAAGACCTTGCAGATATCCTTGATATGGCCAAGGGAGAGTATCAGAATCTGCTGTGGTCGCTGAATAAGGAAGCCAAGACTTCTGTGAAGCCCTTTCGCCTGGAGCAGGAGGTCAGCCGATTTATTAAGGAAGAAATTTCTCGGCGGGCTTCCGGCAAGCCATCACAGGACCGTGTGCTGCAACAGCTGAAATGCTTGTACATGCTTCACCAGACTGCAATGCTCTGCTGGCAGTACGGTATCCGCGTCGCTCATCTGTTTCTGGAACAGGGGTTGGAAGTAGCCTCAATTGCTCACCTCGCACCGCTCTTCAAGAGGACCAGAGAAGCACTGGCATCAGCATTTGAGCTGGTGGAGGGTGGTGCAACGGTGGATCACCCGAAGCTCTCCATGCTGACCTCTATCCTCCGAGCCCATAAAAAGACCTGCCAGTTACTAGAGCCGAAGGGCTCTACAGCTTCCACAGGTTCTGCAAATGTGCTGATTGTTGCTGAGAACATGGCGTTCTTCACCATGTACAAGCTGCTGGGCACATGCCAGTTCCAGCCCTTCCAGCTTGGACGTGCTGGAGCGCTCAGTGGGATGGATGGGAGAGGGGTATCAGAGGGGAAGTGGGAGAGCATGCACCGGGAGGTGAACGAAGCACTTGAGGTTTCAGACTGTCTCCTGGTTTCACCCAAGTAAGTGTATGCTATATGTTCGTTCAGTCTTGTAATCCGTGACTTGGTTGTTTTAATTTGGATTTTATTGCTCTGCAGATATCTGGTGCCTTCGTTTCCACTGACCAAGTTCAGTATGGTCATTATTTACAGTGATATTGTGGAAGCACAAGACCTGCATGTCTTCAGTTCCATCAGCGAAAAAATCCATATTCTTTCTGTGGAAGACCCTGAAGAAGTATTGCTAACGAAGGTCAGGGTTGTCTCTCGTAACACTTGTCCCTCCTTTTTTGGTAAGATAGTAGTGATCATACCTTTTTCTTCTACCTGCAGACCATGCCTACACAAGCTGAAAAGAATGTGCACCCAATTACTGCTGAGAAGGTTCAGCACATAGAGCAACGGAAACCAGATCCTCCTACATTATTCACCTTGATAGCGAGCCAGAAGACTGTTATGATGAAATCGCCATAGCAGCAGAAGCTAAGACGCATCAATCCTCACTTGATTCGGGTTCTGCCCCATTCGCAACCGTTCAAGCACCTGCACTGGTTTCAGAGCCAAAGGAATGGAGACAAGAGCAGCATCTGTCACATCATTATCCAGTGGACGTGCCAGGAAAGAAGAAGGCTCCTGTGGAATACAAAAGGACTGTCATTGTCAACACCAGGGAACAATTTGACCCCATTGTGCTCAAAAGAAGGCAACTCTACGATAAGATTCTCCAGCTAGAGGAAAGCGGCATTCAGGTAATAAACCGTTTTTTTTGTGCTTTCCTCTTTTGCAGCATAAACAAATATCAGATTACATTCTTATCCACTTTTCAGATACTTGAAAGGGATCTGGTAGCACCAACAGAGATTGTGCTGAATGCATCAAGCTCACTGATCATCTATAACTCCCAGCGCCTGAAAGAAGTTCAGAAGCTGGCGGCAATGGATGGGCTCCCATCAAGTTCTCTCATGACCGTGTGCCTAGAAGCTGTTGTGGAAACCCACCTGAAGGCTCTCAGTTTTGCTTACCAGACTTGCTTCTTGGTAAGTCTTACACCTTTTCCGTTTAAATCCATTGCACAAAGTTTCTTGTGATGAATTTTGTCATGCTTGATGAAAATCCAGTTTTACTGAAGTAGTGCTTATCATATGGCAGGTGTTCGAGGGAACTGATGCATATCTGACACAAATTAAGCGCAACGTGGACGACCTTTATGCTGGGGGAGCAGCACTGGATCTGGACGTACAGTGTTTCTTCTCGTCATCTGAAACCGCAACCGAGAGATTGGTTCTCAGTCTGCTGACATCACCTTCTTTGCCTTCCACTGCTGAAAAATCAGGCTCTGATCCATCAGACTCCCAGCCCTTCCGCACCCCCCTGCCTGAATCCGAATCTCCCCAAGAGGCCTTCTTGTGCCGATTCCCATCCCTCAACCCACTCTCTGCACACATCATCATGACCTCAGGCTTTCCTCTGCCTGTGTTCATGTGTCTACACCACGAGCAGCAAGCATCAGCAACTGTTCCTCGCGGCCTTCCATCTTGCTCCCTCAGCCTCTTCCAGGCCCAGTGTCAACACAAGACTACGCCACAGCAGACCCCAGCCCCCATCCACATGCCTGTCCAGGGCTCACGGAATTCACCTCCATCAGAAGGAAACCAGTCAATATACCCGAGTGACATGAGGCAAACCGGTTATCATCCCAAAAGCGCATTTGCTGGCATTTCACCGCCTCATCAGGACATGCCTTTCAATTCAGATTCTCGGTATACTTCACGTCACGAGCACTCGATTCATCCTCCTCCTCCTGCTGTTGCTGCTGCTTCGTCTGCTGCATACTTGGGGTCTAGTTTTCCCTCTGGAAGGCGATCGAGGTCACCTCCAGATGCGCCCTGGGGCCATCAATCTGCTCGGTCAACAGCATCAGAAGCTGAAACCCTGGTGTTAAGCGATGATGATGATGATGGTGACCCTGGCCAGCATGGTGGCAGATGGAGAGGATATGAGCAGCAGCAGCCCCAGCAGCAGGATATCAGGCAGCAGCAGAGCAGATATCAGCAGCAGCCACAGCCACACGGGTTGTACCACAGACCAGGACCATCAGAGAGTTTGAATATGCCAGCGTCAGATTTGGATTGCTATTCATTCGGTGATGAACCTAGTGGCGTTCGAAGCTTCCCTTCTGCATTTGAGATTGAGCAAGCTGATGCAGCACTGCTTCTAGGGGATGAAGACTACTACCGCAACCACATGTCTCAAGCTCGCATGACCGATTCGCCAAGCAGCCTCTACACTGCTGCATCACCTGCAAGTAGCACATACTTCCAAGGTGTGTTCTTTTAGCCCTTTTTTTTTTTGGGGTGAATTTAGCTATAATATGCATGGAATTTTTGCAGATACCGTTATCTCAATCATAACTTCCGATTTCTTGGTGCAGGAGCAAGCGACTCAGAGCCTTCTCAAGCTCCTTCCGCTTCCAGTGGTGTTAGATCTGCCTTGCAAGGCTGGATGTCAAGAAGGCAATCAGCAGGTCACCAGAGTAACCCCACAGGCAGCTCATCCTTCCATTCACAAGTTCCCGCAGCTGGTACCCGTGGAAACCCGTATGGTGCAATGTCCTCCTCCCCTCAACTCTCACGCTATTCTGTCCCAAGGACTCGGCCTGACGACCGCCAATATCCATCAAGACACGATCCTCATCAGGCACAGCCCAGTCGGCCTGATTATTATCAGCAGCAACAGCAGCAGCAGCGCCCTTCTAACCCCAGTATTATCGGTCGCAGCAGCAGCCACTGCACAGCTCGCCAAGCCAGGACAGATGGGCTTCTCCACCAGCACCTCCTCAAACCAATAGGCAGTTTCCTGGCAGAGAGCAATCCACTAACTCTAACAAACGCGTCTGCGCGAGCCTCTTTCAAGATGACTCTGCAAGAAGGCGAGAGGAGGCTGATGCATCGCTGCAGAAGTTCCGGCACACAGGGAGCAAGATCCCCAGCATGTGCTGGTGAAGCGGAAGCTGCAGGGTGTGCAGGCGTCTGATCAAAGAGGGAGCTCTTCTAGCAGGGCGGAGGATTCACGGCTGTCTTGGACACCTAGTGACAAGAGAGCAAGAGAGGTAAGTGTTCCCTGACTGAATCCAACCTCATGGATGTATGCGTGTGCTGAGTGAGTGACAATGTGCTTAGATACTGACAAAGTTGTTATTTCATCGCAGGTTCTGGCATATGAACGAGCTGAAGGTGATGGGAAGCAGTGCAAATTGGTGTGGAAGAAGCCAAGAGCAAGCTTGGACTAGGCTGCTGGCTTGTCTTTGCTCCAATAGCAGTTCCACATAAACTTCATGGGTACTATGATGTGTTGTGAACACATTCGTTACTTTGACAATATTGACTGAATGGAGGCCACATGCAACAATGCTGATCCACGTCTTGAAGCATGCGGCAGTTTCAGCATGATCGAACATCTCTGGACTTTTCTGTACATGTACCCTCACCAAAATGCGCACCCTACTCCACCCAGGTCAGGGATCCGAATAGGAGAATCTTCCCTGGTAGTGGCCCTGGACTAGGTGCTATGAACATAAACTTGCCCTTAGCAATATCCACTTGTGTTATGCAGATGAATCCAGCAATGCTCCTGCGCCCCAAGGAAGAGTACAACCAAACACAGGAGCGATCAAAGCAAGTCGAACACTTGCGATGCAACGACTGCCGGAGAGCACAGCCAGCCAATCACCGATTAACGCCAAAATACACTAGCACTCTCAACCCAAACTAGCAGTACAGATACCACATGGCCACAGCAATCTCACCCAGTGACGGCGTCCTTCTCCTCCTTGGCATGTGAAACTGCCAGCACGTGGTGTTCCAGCTCCCGTGAAAGAACCACCGGGGCAGTGCGAAGCGGGTCCGAAACCCTCGCTGCTCCAATAGGCAGCGCTGACTGCGGTGCCTGCGGCCCTCCCCCTACTCTCAGCACCGTGTAATCTGACCAGCTGGCCGTGCTCGAATGAGGTGAGAATTGCCGCTCTGGCCCGTAGAAATACGCCTGATGCATGAGAAAGGAGAGAAAAAAAAAACAGCAGAAAGAGAGGTTACAGATCAGGTGTGCCGGGCTGGTTACCACATGATTAGAACCCGAAGAAAGTCTGTTTCCACGTTTATTTCAAATTGCTTCTTACCTTGATGACTGCTTGTCGCAGTCGCTGCCTGAACTTGGAAGCACGGGACACGGCACCTCCGGATCGCACAAGCTTCACCACCTCCACTGCTGCTGCATGGCTGCTGTTGCTGCTGCTGGCAGCGGTACCGTCAGTAGCAGCTGCTGCTGCTTTGCTTCTATAGTGCTCCGAGAGCATGCTGTAGAGCCGCTCCTGCCCCAGCACAAGCACCACGTTCGCCCGTAGGGCATCAATGGAGTGAAGCAGTAGCTGCAGAGGCAACGAGGAGAAACGGGTGAGAAAGGAAAGGAAAAGAAAAGAAAGAAAGAAAGAAAGAAAGAAAGAAAGAAAGAAAGAAAAAAGAAAGAAAGAAAGAAGAAAGAAAGAAAGAAAGAAAGAAAGAAAGAACAAGGTGGAATTGGTAACGACCACAGACCACTAGTATGATAACCAGTACGATACCTGGTAACCAGCCCCATCAACCCATCCCATGCTGTTAGCAATGATCCCCGCTGCTGCTGCCTCCACTGGAACCGCACCTATCGCTGCCGCCCCTCCTCCCTCCCTCCCTGCTCCTGCTCCTCCCCTATCCCCATCCCCTCCCCCTTCCTCCCCTCCCCCTCCTCCTCCCTCGCCCAAGGGAGTGATGCCAAGTCGCCTGTCTGTTGCCTCTGCCAGTGCCGTCACTAGAGCACGATATAGGTCAAGGTTGGCACTGGTAAGGGGGAACACAGGGGTAGAAGGGGAAAAGAATCTAGTGCGCTCACACGTGGCCTGCATGCCCAGTCGCCTGTCAGTTGCCTCTGCCAGTGCCGTCACTAGTGCTCGGTACAGGACAAGGTTCGCACTGGTAGGGAGAAAAACGAGGGGAAGTAGTTGTTTATACTAATATTAACCATACTTATTGTTCAACTTCCTGTCTGTTGCCTCTGCCAGTGCCTTTGCCAGTGCGCGGTATAGGTCAAGGTTCGCACTGGTAGGGGGAAAACTGGGGGTAAAGGGAGGGAAGAGGATGCAAACTCTAGTAAGCTCAAATGTTGCTTGCATTCGCCTGTCTGCTGCCTCTGCCAGTGCCGACACTAGGACTCTATACAGGTGACGTCAATGCCCACCCCCGTCAATGCCTGCCCCCTGCATGCACAGACACGCACAGCAAGGTACCTAAAAACACCCCATCTACGTGGATCTAGACGTGGCTCACAGCAGTGTCACTGTGCCCGGTGGCTGTGGCCGCCACTCCAGTGGAAGCACAGTGACACTGCTGTGAGCCACGTCTAGATCCATGTATGTGGGGTGCCCTTAGGTACCTTGCTCTTGTGCAACTGCCCCCTTGCACGCACCTGGGGTTAGTGTGTCCATAGAACAGCACTAGAGGCGCCTCCTCCACGCTCCTAGCATTCGGCTCCAGTGGTGCTTCCACCGCGGTGGCCGCTACTGCCCCCGGCACAGTGACACTGCTCTTAGCCTTCTGTGCATGTTTCCCTCACCCCATCGCACGCACCTGGGGTTGGTGTGCCCATAGAACAGCACCAAAGGTGCCTCCTCCACGGTTCTGGCATTGGCTTCCAGGGGTGCTTCCACAGGCGTGGCCGCCACAGCCCCCGGCACTGTCACACTACTGTGAGCCACGTCTAGATCCACATAGGTGGGGTGCCACTGCTGCCTGGCCGCCCAGCATAGCAGCATTCTGGCCAGGGTTGATTTTCCAGAGTCGGTCGGGCCGACTAGTAGGACCCTGGGCACCTGAACCAACGAAGAGGGAAGAGGAGGGACAGGGAGAGGGTGAGAGAGAGGGAACAGGGGAGGAACACTGACAGTGCTGTGAGCCACGTCTAGATCCATGTAGGTGGGATGCCACTGCTGCCTGGGCGCCCAGCATAGGAGCATGCGTGCTAGGGTTGATTTGCCCGAGTCTGTGGGACCCACTAGCAGAACCTTTGGCACCTGATGGGGTGGGAAGGCACAGTGACACTGCTGTGAGACACGTCTAGATCCACGTAGGTGGGATGCCACTGCTGCCTGGCCGGCCGCCAGCACAGCAGCATTCTGGGTAGGGTTGACTTGCCACTCTGCAGTGAGAGGTGGATGGAGACCTTTTTTCTTCTTCTTCTTCTTTATTCTAAAAAGGTGTACTTTAGGGTGCCTCAAAATACACCTCACTGCTCGCGGTAGTGAGAGGTGGATGGAGAACTGTTTTGAAAGAATTCTAAAGAGCACACTCTGCAGTGAGAGGTTGCGAGAGGTGGATGGAGAACTACCTTGGTGAGGACAGGAGAGTTCATCTTGTGCTCCAGCTTCTGCTTTTTGAGGCGCCTAAGAAACTGAAAAGTTTATGAGGCGTTTCTGAGAACGGAGGCATACTTATTAGACGCTGCAAAACGTGAGACAGACTTTGAAGAGCCTCAAAGGAAGAATCACCTTGGTGCGAACGAGGGAGTTGATCTTGTTCTCCAGCTGCTGCTTTGTTATCTGCCTCAAGAATTGAGACGACTATGAGTTGAAACAAGAATTGAGACAGTATCTTTGGATCACCTTGGTGAGAACGAGGGAGTTGATCTTGTTCTCCAGCTGCTGCTTTCTGCTGCGCCTCAAGCATTAAGAGAAAGTATTAGGCGCCCAAATTACCTTGTTGAGAACGAGGGAGTTAATCTTATTCTCCAGTTGCTGCTTGTGCCGCTGCAATCGCTGCAGCTGGTGCTGATACTGCTGCTGCTGATGAGGGTGCTGCTGCTGCCGTTGCTGATGCTGATACTGCAGCTGCTGTTGCTGCTGCTGCTGCAGCTGCGCCAGTTGCTGCTTGGCACGCATGAGGCTCCTTGCTGCCTCCACTCGCCGCACGTTCAGCACCGCATGGAGATTGAGATAGCTCACCATGGGGGTCTGGGGAGTGGGGGGTGGGGAGTGGGGAGTGGGGAAGGGGGGGGAAGGGGGCGTAAGGAGGGAAAACAGCAGGGTGGTCATTGGGCATGACTTTTGAGGCGCCTCAACAGCAGGGTGGTCATTGGGCATGAGGCTCCTTGCTGCTTCCACTCGCCGCACGTTCAGCACCGCGCACGTGGAGATTAAGGTAGCTCACCATGGGGGTCTGGGGAGTGGGGGGGGGGAGGGGCGTGAGGGGGGAAAGGTAGCAGGGGAGCATGAGGCTCCTAGCTGCCTCCACTCGACGCACGTTCAGCACGGAGTGGAGATTGAGGTAGCTCACCATAGGGGTCTGGGGAGTGGGGAGTGGAAGGGGGGAGTGGGGGGGGGGGGGGGGAGGGGGGAACAGCAGGGGTTTGGGGGAGAAGAGCAGGAGTTGCTGCTACTTGGTGTGCATCAAACTTGCTAGAGAGTGTTTGGCGGGATTCACACTCGCACACACACGCCCACACTCACACTCACACTCGCACACACACGCCCACACTCACACTCACAATCGCACTCGCACGCACACGCCCACACTCACACTCACACTCGCACACACACGCCCACACTCACACTCACACTCGCACACACACGCCCACACTCACACTCACACTCGCACACACACGCCCACACTCACACTCACACTCACTCACTTTATCCAACTCCCACTCACCGCCTACCTGTCAGCAGCATACATGGCATCTGGCAGTGTAGGCGACCTCCATACACACACACACACACAAGTCCCGTCCCTCCCCCCCTTCACCTACCTCTTCCCCCACGCCTCCTCTCCTCCCCCCTTTCATACCTCGTCTTCTGCATACAAGGCATCTGGCAATGCTGGCGACCCACACACACAGCAGGCCCACCGCCACCACCACAGAACCCTACCCTGCTCACTTCCCCCTCACCACCCACCTCGTCAGCAGCATACAAGTCATCGGGCAGTGCTGGCGACTCAAAGACACTACGCACACAGAGCAGTCGCTCACACACAGACAGTCGCTCACACACAAACAGTCGCTCACACACAGACAGTCGCTCACACACAAACAGTCGCTCACACACAGACAGTCGCTCACACACAGACAGTCGCTCACACACAGACAGTCGCTCACACACAGACAGTCGCTCACACACAGACAGTCGCTCACACACAGACAGTCGCTCACACACAGACAGTCGCTCACACACAGACAGTCCCCGCTACACCACACCCACCTTCTTCCTTGCTACCTGCTCCCCCTCCCCCCTCCCAATTCCCACCTCGTCTGCTGCATGCATACATGGCATTGGGCAGTGTTGACGACCCAAAGACACACACAGAGAAGTCACACACTCGCAGTCGCTCACACTCACAGTTCCATCCCCACCCCCTCTTCCCCCCTCACCTCGTCTGCAGCATACATGGCATCCGGCAGTGTTGGCGACCTGCGCACCTCCAGACCAGACTGCACCCACCCACCCACCTACCTCTTCCCCCACCCCTCCTCCCTCTCCCCCCTCCCCCACCCCTCGTCCCTCCCCCTGCTCCCCACCTCGTCAGCAGCATACATGGCATCCGGCAGTGCTGGCGACCCGCGCACTTCCAGACTGCACCCATGCCAGGTGAATACCTGTGGGGAAGGGGGGGAAGGGGGGGAAGGGGGGGAAGGGCGGAGGGGGAGAGCAGTTGTAAGAGGGTTAGAGAGAGAGGCGGGCACCCATTCCCGCACTTCCAGACTGCACTGCACCCATGCCAGGTGAACACCTGTGGGGGGAGGGGAGAAAGGGCGGGGAGGCGAGTGGAGGAGAGGAGAAGGGTTAGAGAAAAGGGGGAAAGGGGGGTAGACCAATAGACCCCGGCACTTCCGGACTGCACCTGTGCCAGGTGAATACTTTTGAGACGTCTCACAAGTAGACCCGCGCACCTCCAGACCGCACCTGTTCCAGGTGAATACCTGGCGGGAGAGGAGGTGGGTTTGGTTTGGGGAGGTGAGTGGAAGAGGGGGAAGGGGATATGCTGAGTTGCAGATACACCCGCCCGCGCACCTCCAGACTGCACCCATGCCAGGTGAACACCAGGGGGGTCCGAGGGACGAGGGAACGAAGGGAAGAAGGGAAGAAGGGAAGAGGGGAAGAGGGGTAGAGAAAGGTAAAAAGGGTAGCAGGAGAGTGTTAGAGACCTCCTGAAAGTCCTCAGGACTGCACCCCTGCGAGGTGAATACCTGGAAGCGGAAAAGAGGGGATGAAGGCTGGAAGGGAAACCGCCGCCCACCCACCCACCACCGATAGTCCACACCACACCTTGCTTTAACCTGGAAACTCGGTTTTCATTCCCTCTTTCTCCCGTTCCCAGGTTCCCCCATTCCCTCCTCCTTGTTCCCTCCGTACCCTCCTTTCACCCTCCTGTTTTCCCACTTCTCCCGTATTCCACACTTTCCCCCCCTCTCTCCCCAAAACCGGCCGATTTCCGCCTTCCCTCTGCCCTCCGCCCTCCACCCCCGCGCCCCCGCCCGCCCGCGCGCTCGCCCCTTCCACACGCACCGCAAATTTCTCGCCGCCGTCGAAGGTGACGTTTTGTCCGACCGCAATTTCCGAACCGAAGATCTCCGCCGTACCCGATACAAGCTTCACCGTCAGCTTCGCGTCCCACTCCACCTCCACGCGCAGCTCCGTCTCGCGCTCCAGCCGGAACTGCCGCACGCTCTCCGCCGCCTCCGCCGCCGCCGGCGGCGCCGACGCCGACGGCGGCGCAATTGCCGCGGCGGATGGGTTGGCGGCGGCTACAGCCGCCATTTGCCGGGGGGAGTGGGGAAGGGGGCGGTGAGATCGCCGTTGATGTGCGGGATTAGCGAGAGAATATTCTTGGCGCCTCAAAAAGCGTAGTGGCTGCAAAAACTAGGTTTTTCCCTCGATTACGGGAGGGGGAGTCGACGTATATGCAGCGGTTGTGCTTGGTGCTGCTGATTTGCGGCAGTATGGGGATAAACTCGGATTAGACTGCACCATTAGTGTACAACTATAACTATAACTACTTCCATGAACAGCATATAATATTTCGTGCCAAAAACTTTGTTTTGAGAAGAGGAGTGTACGTAATTATTTGGCTCGACATTTACAGTGAATTTTTTTTTCGAATCTATTTCTACCATCTTGTATAAGATTAACTGGATTTAGTTTAGAACATTCGGCTTTTCAATCTACTTTCAATCCATATATGCCATTTTTCAAATGCTTAGACCGATTCCTATCACATGCAGCAGCGCCTGTTTACAGGGTTTTTCACCGCTAGGGAACCCTTTATGGAGAATGATGGAACTCTCCATTTCAGATTGCAAATGTACCTCCACCAGGGAACACACAACTGTACAACAAAATCTGATCAATAAAAGGTGAAGGAGAAGCACAAACCCACAGGACTCCCTTCTATACGGTTCAGGTTTCAAACTCTCTACTCCCTAAGACTCAGTTTCTGTGCGTTTAGGATGTGAACGTTCCTCAAAGTATGAAGGGTGAAAAATGGCCAATATATGTATTAAGACTTCGAGTAGGAAAGCCAACCCACCAACACATAAAAAAGGAAAGCCCTCTCACATGGAGAGAATTGTTCACCAAGGAAGTGAACCTACACCCTGCACTTGCATACCAAGCCCCTACACATCCCAATCATCAAACCTGTTCCCTCCCCCTTCCCCTTAAAATAAAATAAAGTCAGAGCTATTCGTCAAAACATGCTAAACCGAGCTCCTTGTTGCTGTTAGCCATTCTCCTGCTCACAGGCGCTTCCACCACGGCTGGATGAAGTCAAACTCGCCCTTGGCGCAACCAGCAGGGTTCGTCGCAGTGTTGAAAATCGCGTAGTAATTCTTAGGGTTCTGCTTCATCGCGTCGATGGTGTCCTTGAGCGTGCCCGCGGCGACAGTAACGGTGCTGGCCTGGGTCCACTTGCCCTTGAACTTGTACGAGTACGGAATAAACTTCTGCAGGAACTTGAACACGAGGAGCTCGTACGTGGCGTTCTTGTACGTCTGACCCGCGCCCAGGTCGATTACGAGGCTGTTGTCGGCCGCGCTGTTGACGGTGAACGCGGTGGCATCGCGGAAAAGGTATTGCGGAAATGTGTCGAAAAAACTGCAGAAAAGTTACTTTCTGGATACCCGGCCCCGATGTTTTCCAGTGAAGGTCAAAACCATCGGAATTCCCGCAAGGGTGCACGTTGCGTAAAAGTGACCCCTTCGCCACATTTCGGACACATTTCAGGAACCTCCCAGCAACCGCGATCTTGCAAGAAAGTTGCGATAAAGTTGCCCGTCACACGTGTCACATGACACCGTACACCAAAGTGCTTGTGCATCATACCGTACGTACCCCCTTGCCACGCGGCCTTCATCGAGGCGGCTTCACGCAACGATCCCCGCCGTACACATGTGAGCACCCCGTTGGTCTAACGAGTGAATACACCCACTCTCGTCGCCCACTTACCAAACTGCGCGTGCATTTCGCCCACCAATCTGCATGCAGAGGACCCACCTCCCCACCCACAAACGCGCCGCCACCTCCCCACCCAACGACCTCTCGTTATCCCACACCTGTGCGTACTGCTCGCACACCCATCCAACGCTCTCGCGACATCTGTCTACGTCCGCTTTGCGCACACCACTCCACGCGGCGCAAATCCACACCGCGAACACCCCGCATCTCGACCGTACACCTGTGGGACCGTGAGTGGCCCCGCACCATGTAACTACACACTTCGTCAGCCACTAAAACGTAGCACGGGCCCGCCTCGCCCGTCCTACGGCAAACCTTCGCCAAATCTGACGTCCCAACGCATGCTCGCCACCTCAGCCGGTGTTACCAGGGCGTGCACCAACACCTGACGATAAAGTGAACCAAGCTTCCGCCCGCTGCATACGCGGGACGTGTCTCCACTGTCCGCCCACCATTTACACCTGGTGGATTTAGACACGTGGTCCCAAGCTTTACTACTTCCCCCTATTGGTGCGACTGGCCACGCCATTGACGCGTGAGATGCGGCCAACCACTGCAAACATATCCCACGTCAGATGTGCGGAAAACGTCCACCACATCCCTCAACAGCACCTATTCAATGTGCGTGCCACGAATGGTCTACGTTCGACGCGGCCCGAAGCGCGCCCTCAGTAATGTGCGCAGCTCGTGAAACCGGAACCACGTATCCGTACCTATTAGACACCGCAATGCTGTTATTAAGATACCAAATACGGCGTAACCATACAACGTGGTGTGTTTACATTCCCTAAGTGTTCGCGTGAGTTTGCACCGTATTTCAAAAACGCACAACCCATCCGTAATAAACCTACAGCAAAGCGACACAAAAGAAACACACACATAGCTAGGACCCACAACAAACACAAATATCCCGCCTACAGCAACAAATGCACGACAAACCCCAGCTGGGAAAACATGCCTTCAACCCCCACCATTTACGGGCCTCCAAGCGACCCAGAGATCTCGTCCGCCTGAACCTCTGCCCCATCACGGGTAGCGGCAGTCGCTGGAATTAAGTCCTCCAGCCCGCACGAGGACAGTCGAAGGCCATGGCGCCCCCAGGTCCACGAGCACGAGGCGACGTCGTACTTAGGCTTGAAGATTCTGATCGCGTTCGACACTGCCTCACGCGCAAGGATCACGAGCCCATCGACCACCTGCGCGTTTCCACAGGCAGAGTTCGACAGTCGCCCCTTCCTCGCCTCCCAGTTCACCAGCGTGTCGGTCACCTGCGACACGCAAACAGCCCCTTAGCCACCGGGGGAGGACGGGTGACCACATAGCACAAACAAACACCAAGCACGTACCACATGCTCCAGCCACGCCAGGTGGTAAAGCTTCACCGTCAGTGGCCCGACCACCTTCTTCGGCTTGAATGCCGCAACCGCGCATGCCACGAATGCGCCAGAGGCGAACGGCATCCCCTCTTGATCGTTCCCAAACTTGGACAATGCCAGGGGATCTGCGCACAAATGCACGCCCACGTAAGTCCGCGATCCACGCATCCCGCATACATCCCCTCTCCAACCACGTGACCACCGCCTTACCGTCAACGCCGAACAGCAGCCCATAATGCGATCGTATCTCCTCCAGAGTACGGTCCTTCTTCGTGGCCCATGGGCTGCGCGTATCTCGCTCGTCGCGGAAAAGCCCCATCCGTGGACACGAGATGTCCCGCGTCCTTCCTGCTGCGCCCGACTTCCACTCGCTAAGGGCCTTGTTCAAATCCGACCGTCTTGCCTTGTCCGCAGCCAGAGCAAGTGTCGCGAAATCGAAAGGCAGGCGCTCGATCACTGCACACACTCCCACCGTCTTGTCGTCGCTGCTCGGATAGAACGTGATCCGGGCGTTCTCCTTCTCAAAGAAGAGGTAATCTTTCACCAGGTCGCACGCGCGCTGCAACCATATCAAAACCACCCAGCACACACATCCGCCGTCAAAACTCCGAGAAGCACGTAGTAAGGGGTGCAAAGGCAGTTAACACATGGTGGAGGCACCTATGTTCGTCACAACGCACCTTCCACGACTTGTTTGCGGGCAGAAAATTCAGCGCCCGCTGCAGGACCGGTGACTTGGACACCCTCAGATGCCCCCTCTTGGTGGGTGGCTCATCCTCTCTCTCCTCGTCGGATGTCTCCTCATCGGCGAGTTCTTCCCGACGCTTCCGCTTCCGACCAGAAGCACCACCGCTCCCCGAGACATGCTCGTCCGGCCTGCGAGGGGGTGCACGCGCCTGCACAGCCTTAGCAGACCTCAGCTCCTCTTCAAGACGGGCCACGGTGCGCGCGCTCGCTTCTTGCGCCTTCTTCAAGGCCTCGAACTCCGCGCGACTAATCAGAATGTGTGTCTCCTCCCCGGGCGCTGTCGGGTCACGAGACGACCCAGCTACAGGCATGGCCACAAAAGGGTTGTCCGGCACACGCACGGGCGGAGGACGGGGCCTGGTGGTGGCAGTCGCCTGTGACTCTGCCATCACAGAGGCCAAGTTCTTCGACCGGGAGGGCGCCGGGCGTGCCTCGCTCTCACTCTCGATGTCCTCATCGCCCGCACCGACGCTTATCTCCACCTCTGCCTGAGGTGCCTCCGCCACTGAAGTCTCTGGCGCAGCGGATGCTGTAGCTGCGAACAAACACAACGAACACAACACTTTAAGATGGTGCCAGATGAATGGTAATCAACGGCCATGCTCGCAGTCGTCGCTTGAACAACTATTACCATTCAGAGGAACCCCCTTCGCCTTCGTCACCCTGGCGCGCTTGGCTGGCACTGCAACAATCTGCACATGGGGGGTCCGGACGCCCAGGTTAGTTGACGTATTTGACGGCGACGTGATTCACCAGCGATCTCAAGACTCACATGTTGTGAAAGTCGATTATCGCATCGGTGAGGCACTGACCATCTGCGATGGTCACAAGATCTCTGGCGGTGACGACACACGACAGTCCGGCGCGGTTGTTCAAAGACATGGATGTGAAAGAGACATCCTTACTCTTTCTGGCGACGCGGGCAACGACATCATCTGGTTCGGGGTCCACCGTATTCACTTTAACTTTCGTCTTGTACTTGGGCAGGTCGAGCTTCTTAGCGGCGCTTGCGGATTCTTGATTCGCAGATCCTTGCTGCGTGCGGGTACTACTTCGAGTGGCCCTTGTGACGGCGTTTGCGTGCGGTGCGCGCGCAGAGGCCGCCACCTCCGTGACGTCTCCATTGTCCGTGCCGCTACGTGGTTTTTTAACACCTACCTTGTCTCGCGCCATACCTTCACGACCAGGCTGCGTCATTGGAGGGCGTTACATAAGCCTGGACACCATGGGATGGAGTGTGACAAGAACTAACACAGAGCAAGACAGGTGCCCAGACTTGGCTTTCTATGCGGAATGGAACGTCATATCGCCTGGGAATATCGAGCCCGAGCAGGATGGGCGAAGCTACAAGATCTGCATGCAGCTGCGCGGGAAATCGCCAGGACGTGACATGTGTCAACGTCGGCCCGCGTTTTGCTGGCAAGAAAAATCTCGAGGCCGAGCTGTGCTGTTTTGGGCTCCAACGTGTAAACGTCATCTCTGGCGAAATCCGTTTGCTTTAAACAGGTGCACGAGTGTACTGGGACCACGTGTTCACCATGTTGTACCTAATGTTATCTCCCACGCTAAAGTTTCGATGCGTACCACATAGAGTGACGCACTTCAGTGTCGGTCCACACACACTGTCCAGTGTCACCCACATGTGTACACCATATTGTTGCGCAGAGTACTATAGGATGGGCAATTAGCAACACTAAGAACCTCTAGGCATATGTGGGGACACACGATGGTGCCAGGCAGCGCATGACGTAGCCAGCCTAGATCCGTCAAAAAGCTCTCCTGTATTGTCAAAAGTGGCACGCGGTACAAAGTCATACGTATTCTCCTTGATAGCAACATCATGTTCACGACACCAGGGTGAGGTTGAGCCAGTGACTGTGACTGGGGTGGATATGCCACCATAAACTCGTAACCCATGCTGAGAAGCTTCATTGTGACACTATATTTGTGGTTTATGACTGTTCGCAATTGTGTAGGTTGCAATGGGGCTCTGTTAGCCTTTGGCAAGATTTATGGTATGCTCTTTCTGAATGTTGTGTGCCTCGTGCACTGCGGTGTTTCGATCGCGTACGCAGGCATGCAGTGTTGTATTGAAGGGGCAGTAGTCGGGAGAGTACCTTTCTGTAGTCGCGTTTTTTTAAGGGTGTACTCCCTTTTTTTGAACTTCGCCGTGCGGTCGCTGTACAACGGTGTGCATGGGTGGGTATCGCGGTTGTGCATACCGGAGCGGATAGGCGAACCCCATTGGTGCGTGCGGGGGTCCACTGAGTTAATGCCACCTAGTGTCGGTGATGTGTACAGTATGTGGTTGCCGTTCAATGAAATCCGTGGTGGGCACCGTGTGAGGCTAGCGGTTCACGTGACATGTGGTGTGTTTTACGCAGCCAATGTTCCCCCGTACCTCCGGTAGTTCGAGATAAGGCGAGGGGGCGACGGTACGTACCTTCATCGGTTCAACCTCGGCTCTACCGTCTAAGTACTCGTCTCTTGTTTTTCGTCGTGGACCACAGCGGATATCAAGTCTGCGTTTTTCGTGCTAGACAGACGTCATACGACAGCATGGCCGCGATAGTGACTCTCCTGGAGGCTCTCAAAGCCCATCCTGACGATGTGTACTTGTTCTCCGAGTTCCCGTTCATACCTACGAGGCTCCCGGTGTCGGCGGTTATGGACGCGGAGTTCGGTATAGCGCGCGAGTGGCATATGATGGTGGGTTTGCTGGTCAACGCTTCTGGCTCCAAGTGGCGTCATCCGCTTGTGGTGTTGAGGCGGGATGATGGCAGGGCCGTACACAATGGGCGGCGTCGTGAGCATAATGTCGTGGTGCGCTACGCAAAGCACGGCCGCATGTCGTCTGAGGTGAGTCTCGGCGCGGTTTGCTTTCCTGTTTTCACAAATGCAATCTGTTACGAGGAAGGTGCTGATTGCGTAAATTGTGGGGATGTCGTCGTGTGTCAACAGCTATTCACGGAGCACATGGTGAAGTTTGACGGGGATCTCTTCGCAAAGAACGAGCGCGCAATTGTTCTGGTGTACGACCCGAAGCACGAGCTGACTGGTTGTGTGTTCGAGTCGGAAACCGTTGCCGGGTTTGCGGCGCAGAATCTCCTGAGTGTCAAGGTGGTGCAGCTTTATGGCGGGCCGCCCCGGTGCAGCATGCCGTCGACGACCGGGGTGGTTGACACGGTGAAGGCAATACACCGATACTGGTTCATGAGGGACGCTATGGACAGCAACGAGTGGAAGAAGAAGGGAGAGGTACCTCGACCGTCACTCCCAGACGTGCTGAGGAGGCTGGAACTGGCGTGCAAGTTGACGTCGGAGACGGCTATTTAGAGGAGCTGGTGGCGCGCGGGTTGTGTGCCGACGGCGTGGGTGTCGCTGATGAAACGTCTGGATGGCGCTGGCGCTGCTTTGATGTTTGAGCCCATTGTTAGCGAGCTTACAATGCTGCAGATGGCTATTGAGAATTTTAAGAGGGCCCCTGGTATGTATATGACGTCGTGGGATTTTGTGGGCTGCGACGAGGACCTGCTCATCAAGTGGGGCGTGATTAAGGCGGAGGATGAGGAGGACGAGGAGGATGATGACGAGATACCGGCGTATTTTTGTATCCCTGAAGGGCCACTGTATCGGGACGTTCGCAGCCGGCGCAGGGTCGTGCGGATGGTGGCGGGCGAGTACAGCCAGCAGGCGGGCAATTTGGGCATACCAGTGTCCCAGGTGCCCGAGGCGTTGGGCGCGCATAACGAGGAGGTGATAAGCCGCCTTCGAAGGACGCCTACTAAGCGTGCTCGTAACGGACCTGCGGTGGGCGGCCATCCTAGTGGGTTTTCCGCAGGCGCAGGAAGCTAGTGTGGTGTGCGACGATTGTTTGCCAGGCGGAAGCCTCTAGGCTGGTATTGCTGTTGGCGGTGTGTAGTTGGAGGTGGAGTAGGGTGGTTTCACGTTTTGTACGAGTAGGCGGCTTTCAGTGCTGCTGAGATGTAAGACGTGCGTGGTACTCGTATGTGTTGTTTGACGGATTGTGATTTTGTGTTCCAGATTACATGCGTTATAGTTGATGTTTTGGTGGATACCCTATTTGTTTAGTATGCGTTTAAGTGGTGTATTCACTTCGTAGGTGTGTTGGGCCGATGTTCTGCTGTTTGCCCGATTATGGTATGCAGTTGGGCATGCAATGTCGCGTATAGTGAACCCCATGTTGTCCGGGCCGCGAGTCCCCTGCATGACTGAAATGTGCGCTGCGGTGTTGGAGGATATTGGCGGGACATTCGTTGTCCCGCCAAAGAGTCGCGACGCGGCAGTGGCGAGTCCCTTGTGTGGGATTAGGGGTGCGGATTGGCCTGGGTGTTTTTTGGACACTTCTGTATACATTCCCGCAACATTCGGAAGAGTACCCCGTTTTCGGATACTCGGGCCCAAAACCTTTGCGATGGGGTTCCCCGGGCTCCTTGGATTCGGCCTCTCCGCCAAAGAGAATGTTGTAATCGTCGTCCTTTCTGGAACATTGAAACGCGAATAAATCACGTAGTCAGAATCGAGCGAATCGTAAAAAGAAAAAGACATTTTGCTTCGTTGTAAAAAGAGCGATTGTCCTGCGGGTTACATTTTTGCATGTTCGCAAATGGTAAGCCTGTTTTATGTGGAATATACTTGTAAAGTGCAGAAAGTTTTTGTAAGTTAATTTTCTCAGAAATCACTTCCTGGGAGAATGGCATGCATGAGCTTACTTGTAGATCGCCAGGTAGGCATAGCCGTCAGACATCTTGTCGGCGCCGTCCACGTGGTCCAGCTCAGCATAGAGCGACCCCTGGTACGTTCCCAGGAACAGGTCGTTCTTCTCAATCTTCGCCAGCTGAGTGCGAACGCTCGCCGGCGGGCGTGCAAAACCTGCGTAAAAAGTAACGAAATCTGTCAGCTTGTGTGCAATGAGAGAGATCACAGCGTTTGCATCCGTGATGAGCAATCTAGTTCAGTAAATACTGTATTGCTGGTGATGTCATTGGACGGTGTGACTGGGCTAAGATACGGCGAAGGATTGCTCGTCAGCTTACCCACTGCGGCGAGGCATGCCAAGGTAACGACGAAAACCGCGACCTTCTGAGCCATAGTTGCTGCTTTGTGGCGATTAAAGAAGCTGAATGCCAGCAGTAATACTTAGTAGGTAGTAGTGGTTTTGTCTAGTCGAGAGGCTCAACAATTCCTGTGCTGAATGGATTTGAGGCTGCCTCGAATTTATATCTCCCAGTGAAAGTGGTTTTCATTTTCAATGTGACACTTCGGCGCGCCGCATTTCGAACCGTGTCGTTTTGCCTGCTGCACCCAGGGTCTCGCCGCCGAACATGCGAAGTGAAATGCCACATCGTGAGAGCATTTCCTTAGGTCGGTGAAAAACTCGAGGCTGAATATGTGACAATATCGACGTCGATGCCCTAAGAAATTACTGTGCATTCCTAGTGGTTTCCACTCGCCCCTAAATCTGCTAGGGACCTACGCCTAGCCCTTGCCCCTAACCAATGGCTGGCCACCAACTCCTAGGTGGGATAAGGAACACTGCGATTCAAGCATGCACCATATTACATTTAATACTCAAACACGAAACTACTTGGTGGACATATTTGTAGAAGACTACAATTGGTGTTGATGAAATGATGCCAAGGATTTGAGTATTAACCTCACATGGAGGACTTCTGATATAGATCATATGTAGCTGCTTGTCCGTTCCCCTTTCCCATTTGCCACAATGTGTGATGTATAAAGAGTGCAATGATACGGAATAGCTAGTATGTCATACCTTCAGACGAGATAGATCGACAGCCAACTTATTTTCGGCCAAATTGCACAATAATTGGTTTCCCGTGCAACATAAGTCCAAGTGTGGCATCCTGCAGAAGGTGGATTTCAAATAACAACGATGGACCATCAATCATACACTCTAGCCTTCGACTGTCCACACTCCAGAAACAAAACATTGAAGTACTGTAGCCTCAACTAACATAAGAAGGACTTACCAATGCTTCTGCAGCAAGCTCCGGAGTGGGAAGTGTGACAAACGCTTGGCCCTTCATCCGACCTTCCTATCAAAGGGTCCCATATTCAAGCATCATGACATGAAAATAAAAATGCAAGAGGAACATGAACGTACACGCAGGACAGATATGCAAGGGAGGATGGGCCAGGGGGCTCAATGGGGGAACACAAGCAATGCCATCGAGGGATTGGTAAAAGAATCAACTGAATTTATTTAAATGGACTCGAAATGAACTGGCCATGGGTACGAGCATTAAAGCAAGCGGGGGGCTTGAAAAGCCTTACGAGTGTCACGACATATTGAAATGGCAACATACGCGACCAGCGTACATACCTGCATGAGCCGAACTCCAATTTTGGACTTCCAATCAGAGTTGCCAGGGAAGAATGCTCCTGGCGCACCAAGGAGGCATGCACGGTTGAGGGGTTGAAAAACAAGCAGGGGAGAAGGTGCTTGGAAGGTGAGCGTAGTAGACAAGTTAAGTGGAACGACCATTAGCAGCTTACTTTGGTCGGTTGTAAGTTCAATATTTTGTAGGCTCCTGAAAAGTCAATATATGTAAGAAACGAGGAATTCATGGGTAGAGGTGGGATACAATATAGTGAAATGCATAGGGTGCGTGCATTTTATGGTGCTTTCCTAGAAGGTACACAAGGGTCAAACATATAGGTACCTCAAAAGTGATTCTTGACATGTTAACCCAGGTGGACACAGACCACATGGGTGTGATGCGAGAAGATGAAGCCTTGTAACTGCATAACAGGGCATGGACTGGCTGACTGACTGACTGACTGACTGACTGACTGACTGACTGACCAACTGACTGACTGACGGAGGGTACGAAAGAAGGTGAATGACTGACTGGTTTACTGACTGACCAACTGACTGACTGACAGAGGGTACGAAAGAAGGTGAATGACTGACTGGTTTACTGACTGACTAACTGACTGACGGACTGAGAGTACGAAAGAAGGTGAATGACTGACTAAGGGTATGAATGAAGGTGAATGACCGACTGAGGGTACGAATGAAGGTGACTGACTGACTGAGAGTATGAAGGTCACTGACCGAAGATACGGAACAAGTCGGCGGTGGTGGTGGACTTGGCGATGTTCTTTATGTACAGTGTTGCACATGGCTTGCCCCTCTTGTAGTTCTGCACACACACGTGCACACACACACGCACACATGCACACACATGCACACACATGCACACACACGCGCACACATGCAGAGAAGAGAACACCTTATGTGCACCTTCTAATACACTCCACACTACCGCACTCATTTCTGCTTTTTCCATTTGGACCTTATATTCTGCACACTCCAACAGCTGCTCCCCTGTCAGCTGCTGTTGCCTCAACTCGTCTTGTCCAACATAGGATACAAGAAAAAGGACAACTCGTTAAATCACTGCCGTGTTAAATCACTCGTTAAATCAACATGGGAAAAAGAACAACTCGTTAAATCACTGCCACCCTGCCTCCTTCATTGCACGCATGTATGCACACATTCTTTTCCCACCTTCCACGCCGCACACTCCAGTAGCTGCTCCCCTGTCAACTGCTGCAGCCTCAACCCATTCAAAATGCGTGCAAAACAAATAAAGACATACAGGTTTTGCTAAACAAATGCGTGAATGAATGCATCGGATTTCCGACCTTATACACTGCACAATTCAGCAGCCCACATTGTGTGTTTATATCTACATCAGTGCCTCACCTTGTAAGCTGCACAATCCAGCAGCTGCTCCCCTGTCAGCTGCTGTCTCCTTAGCTCCTCCAAAGTAGCCCTCTCCTCCCCCTCCTCCTCTCTCAAATTCCCCTCGCACCTCTCCTCTCTCTCCTTCTCCACACCATCTGCCAAACTGCACGCCTCTCTACCACCACCCTTCTCCCCCGCGGATCTCCTCTCCCTCCCCCCGCCATCCCCTCCCTGTGCCTTTGCCTCAGCTTCCTTCTGGTCAAATCTCCGGTCTTCATTGTCCCGGCCCGACTCCAAACCTCCCTCTGCTAGAGGGAGAGCATCGCTCTCCTTTTCTCCCCCCGTCGCCGCAGCATCTTGGCCTGTCACTTCAGCACTGCTTTCAGCCGCCCTTCTCTCGTGCTCTAGACTTGTTCGCGGCTTTTTCTTCTTCTTCTCTGGACGCAGCTGGATCTGAAGACAGCAAGGAACACGACAATCAGCACGACAAAGAGGGAGGGACACACATTCTTTTACAAATGGCTTTTGAGGCGCCTGAAAAGAAAGACACTACATTGACTTGAAGAGTGTGCATTCTATCGCCTGTCGTTCCCCACAGCCTTGCTCTTTAGTTCTATCGCCTGTCGTTTCTGAGGACACGGCAGGAGCCACGTGTAAAGAGTGAATTCAAAACCACTGCTGTAAGGAGACGTCTCAAAAATTCTCTCTTTACGCGTGGCTTCCCCAACCACTCCAGCCTTGGCTCTCAGGTTCTTTCTGAGGACACAGCTGGACTGGAGCACAGCACAGCACAGGTTGCTCTGAGGCTCTCAGGTTCTTTCTGAGGACACGGCTGGACTGGAGCACAGCACAGCACAGGTTGCTCTGAGGCTCTCAGGTTCTTTCTGAGGACACGGCTGGACTGGAGCACAGCACAGCACAGGTTGCTCTGAGGCTCTCAGGTTCTTTCTGAGGACACGGCTGGACTGGAGCACAGCACAGCACAGGTTGCTCTGAGGCTCTCAGGTTCTTTCTGAGGACACGGCTGGACTGGAGCACAGCACAGCACAGGTTGCTCTGAGGCTCTCAGGTTCTTTCTGAGGACATGGCTGGACTGGAGCACAGCACAGCACAGGTTGCTCTGAGGCTCTCAGGTTCTTTCTGAGGACACGGCTGGACTGGAGCACAGCACAGCACAGGTTGCTCTGAGGCTCTCAGGTTCTTTCTGAGGACACGGCTGGACTGGAGCACAGCACAGCACAGGTTGCTCTGAGGCTCTCAGGTTCTTTCTGAGGACACGGCTGGACTGGAGCACAGCACAGCACAGCACAGGTTGCTCTGAGGCTCTCAGGTTCTTTCTGAGGACACGGCTGGACTGGAGCACAGCACAGCACAGGTTGCTCTGAGGCTCTCAGGTTCTTTCTGAGGACACGGCTGGACTGGAGCACAGCACAGCACAGGTTGCTCTGAGGCTCTCAGGTTCTTTCTTCTTTGGACGCAATCTGAATTTGAGAATACGGACAAAGGACAGCACAGCAGGGAGAGGGGACAACCACAAGAAGAACAATCTAAGAAGTAGGAATTTACCCGTAAGACAGGCGCCCTTTTCTTGACCACCAATGCTGACAATCCTACTACCCCTCCTCCACTTGCCGCAACCACCTTTCTCACTCCAGCTCTCTCAAGCCGCTTCTCCTCACCCTCCTCCCACTCAATCCCCTCCCCTCCCTCGTCCTCCTCTTCCTCCTCCTCCACCTCTCCTCCCACTCCGTTCCGCTTAAAAGCCCCGCCTCCCTCTCTTCCTTCTGTCTTGGGCGCTTTCACTCTAGAGCCCAGGACACGCGCCCCAAGACTTGCATCCGATGGGGCAGCAGCTGCTGCTGGTGCTGGCAGGGGTGATTGTGCGCTATAAGTGACTGTAAGTGGGGCTTCATATGTAGAGTTCGGAACCCACATGCCGAGACTGGCATCTGATGGGGTGGAGCATGCCGTAGCTGCTGGTGGTGCTGCTGCTGGTAGGGGCGACTGTGCTTCAAGGGGGCTTGTGGCGGGTTGAGAAGTGGAGGGCAGAGGAAGCGGGGCATTGCCATAAGCGAAGGGTGGAATGGTGTTTTCAGGGCCGTACGATTGGGTCCCAGGACTTGCATTTGATGGGGTGGAGGCGGAAAGAATAGAAGGGGGGCCAAGTGAGGGAGGGGGGGCAATCGAGGGAGGGGGGGGAAGAGATGGAGGTGGGGCAATAGAGAGAGGTGGGGCGAGAGATGGAGGTGGGGCGATAGAGGGAGGAGGGGCGAGAGAGGGAGGAGGCGTATTAGAGAGTGGGGCGAGTGGATGGTGCATGGTCGGTGGAGGTAAGAGGGAAAGTGTAGGAGAGAAGGGAATAGGGTGACGGGAAGGTGTAGGATGGGGAGGAAGAGGTGCGAGGGAGGGGGGTCTCTGGGCACAGGAGGGATGGGGAGGCAAGGGGGCGAGAGCTGGGTGACTGGACGGAGGATTCGGAGGATGCCACTGGGGGGGGTGAGATGGGTGAGATAGGTGTGATAGGTGCGATAGGTGGGGTGGTTGGGGTGGTTTGATTGGTTGAGATAACTGAGGTGTTCGGGGTGGTTGGGATGGTTGGGTAGGGCCTGTTGCTGCGCCATGGCGGGAGGATGAGTGAGAGGCAGGAGGTGGTTTGGAGGATGGTACGGGCTGAGATGGTGCGCTGGTTGGCCATGGCGGTTGTTGTGGCGCTGGTTGCGGTGCAGTGGGGTGCGGTCCGGTGAGGTGTTGTAATTCTGGCTGCAAGGACGGGGGCAGCGTGGCTGGGCCGAAAGGGGGAGGCAGGCTCATCTTGTTCATGAGATGGAGCACCTAGGGCGTGGGAAGAGAGGGGGGACGGGGAGAGGGAAGCGAGGGAGAGGAGGTAACGATTTATTTACAGCATGTCAAGACAAGAAGGGAGTGGCAGGCTCATCTTGTTCATGAGATGGAGCACCTGGGGGTTGGGAAGAGAGGGGGGAAGACAGGGAGAGGTAGAGAGGTAGGGAGTGATAAAATCAGAACAAAAAAAGGTAATGAGCAGAGTATGCAGGCTCATATTGTTCATCAAATGGAGCATTTGAGGGATGGGAAAAGAGGGGAGGGATGGAGAGGAATGTTACAGAGCATGTTTAGTCACGACGAGAGCAAGCTAGAGAGCTATCTGAGTATTCTGTAACTGCATCCCACCACACCACACCACATCACACCACACCGCACCACATCAGTGTGTCAGCAGAGTTCGACCCAGCACACCACACCACACCACATCAGTGTGTCAGCAGAGTTCGACCCAGCACACCACACCACACCACATCAGTCTGTCAGCAGAGTTCGACCCAGCACACCATACCACACCACACCACACCACATCAGTGTGTCAGCAGAGTTCGACCCAGCACACCATACCTGTGTGTAGAGGCGCGGAGTGATGATGAGTGCAAGAGCAATGTTGACGATCGTGGGAGCAGACGGAGGGGGATAGGCGTACCTGTTGGGGGGAGGATTCAAGAGGGGGAGAAAAGGGGAGGGAGGGTGGGTGGGGGGAGCGGGGGAGGGGGGAAGAGGAGAGGGGCCAGGAGTGGCCTCTGAGAAATCTTAAATAGTGCACATACAAAGCCGAACATGATGAATGGCAGACGCTGCCTTGAAGCAAAGCTGAACATGTCATGCAAGGTTGCATGGCATGGAATAAAAGACGTGTGCAAGAAGGAGCGAAAGGGGGGGATAGCTTTTGAGGCGCCTCAAAGATTGCATGGCATGGAATAAAAGACGTGTGCAAGAAGGAGCGAAAGGGGGGGACAGAACGTCTGGCACAGACCTGAAGACTTTTGAGTCGACTCAAAAGTCAACTCGGTAGAATGTCACACGGGGGGATAAAACGCGTGGCACAGACCTGAAGTGTCACACAGCTGGGGGCACAGACCTGAAGTGTCACACAGCTGGGGGCACAGACCTGAAGTGTCACACAGCTGGAGGCACAGACCTGAAGTGTCACACAGCTGGAGGCACAGACCTGAAGTGTCACACAGCTGGGGGCACAGGCCTGAAGTGTCACACAGCTGGGGGCACAGACCTGAAGTGTCACACAGCTGGGGGCACAGACCTGAAGTGTCACACAGCTGGGGGCACAAACCTGAAGTGTCACACAGCTGGGGACACAGACCTGAAGTGTCACACAGCTGGGGGCACAGACCTGAAGTGTCACACAGCTGGGGGCACAGACCTGAAGTGTCACACAGCTGGGGGCACAGACCTGAAGTGTCACACAGCTGGGGGCACAGACCTGAAGTGTGGGGGCGGAAAGGGATAGTAGCCCCCTTCCTCCACACAGCTTTCTCTCCCCCTTCCTCCTTCCGCTGCTGAATGTCCTCCCCTTTCTGGGAATGTCCTCCCCTTCAGCATGTCCTCCCCTTGCACCTCCCTGATAAGCAATGCAGCCTCGTCCCCCCTATCTTCCACTCCCTTCTTCCCTTTCGCCCCTGATCCCTGCTCTTGCCTCGCTGCTTCCAGTCCGCCTCTCGCTCCCTCCTCTTGTCCCGTCGCCTCCTCTCTCACAATCACCTTCTCCTGTCCTGCTGCTGCTGCTGCTGCTGCTGCTGCTGCTGCTACTGCTGCTGTCCTCTGATTCACGCCCTGCTGCTGCTCCCTCTCCTTCACGCCTTTGAGCAACCAAGTGCTCCTGCTCGCTGAACGCCATGAGGGCATGAACTAGGCGGCGGAGAGAGGGGTCCGAGGGGGATGGCGGATGGCAGGAGGGTGATGGCGAAGGGGGCTGCTGTGATGACGATTGTGGTAACTTTTGAGTCGACTCAAAAGTCGGGCAGGATAGCAACAGTGGAGAGGGTTGCTGTGATGATGATTGTGGTAACTTAATGCGTGGTTCTTGCTGTTGAGAGGTCGAATCATGGCTATGCAAGTTAGCGCCAGTAGCAACAGGAGCGGAGGGAAGGGTGGGCGCAGCAGCACGAGCAGGGTTGCCAGGCGTGGTGTGCGGTTCATTGTGGTTGGCGGAATGAGCGGGGGGGAAGTAATGAGCTGATAGAACGTTGCTGCCCATGCGAATGCTGTTGGGGGGGAAGAGAGACAGACAGAGGGGGAGAGTGGCAAATAGTGAGTGTACGATGCTTACCTTGTGATGCCATCACACTGTCTGAACCACTGCTTTATCAATATAAGGACCGCTTGAGAGTGGCAAATAGTGAGTGTACGAAAACAAAAAGGACGTACGGAGCGATTTTTGAGTCGACTCAAAAATCGAAAACAAAAAGGACGTACGGAAACAAAAAGGACGTACGGAAACAAAAAGGACGTACGGAAACAAAAAGGACGTACGGAAACAAAAAGGACGTACGGAGCGCCTTCACATGTGTTCGAAACCCTTCACGCAGTTGCTTCTTGGCTGCAAGGGTGCAAACGAGCAGAATGCTTACCCGTGTAGTTGCTTCTTGGCTGTAAGTGCCGCACTTTGCGCCTTGAATCGCACATATACCACTCCCTTGCTCCTGGTGGGGACGAGGCAAGCAAGAGAGAAAGCGGAAACTGTGTGGAGAGGAAAGCTACTGGATGACGTCCTTAACTGGCGCACTTTGCGGGCTGTATCACGCATACGCCATTACCTTGCTCTTTTGCTTTGGGAAACAAATGTGGAGAGAGTATGAGAGGAAAAGGTGACGTGTGGGGGAAGATTAGTGGTTTGCGTGAGTTTGAGGTTTCATCAGAAGGCTCTGCGCTGTGCTGCTTGTCTCGGCGGGTTTGGTGCTCGTTAATCATGCAATTTGTTCCCTTATGCACCAAACCGCGTGTTGACCTCAGTCACTCCCCTCCCCTGCTAACCCCCACCCCCTAGCTAACCTCTTATCTGCTAATCACGCGCACTCTAGCTATCCATTCACCTGCTAACCACTTCCACCGCTCCGAACCGCTGCAGCAGCCGATCCAGCACTTCCTGGCTCGCCGTCGCCGGCACGTGCTTCAATACAAGCACATGGTCATTGGGCTCACTCGGCCTCGATACAATCACATGGTCGTTGCGCTCGCTCTCCTTCGATACAGGCGCATGATCGCTGCTATCCATCTCACAGTCTCCCCGCTTCGGACCTAGAGAACGTAATCAACTGACAGGAACGTACTGTACAGTCTCCTGCACTTTTCCGAGGGAACGCACTGCTTTAAAATATTACTAAATCATTCAATTCCAAAACCTAGTTCGCTCGAACGCTCTAAGCTCAGCTATCATGCTGACTGTTTTCTACTGCAAGGCTTTCTGGTCATATCGATCAATGGGGTCAGGAAAAGCAGTTTTCACTGGCGGCGTGAGGCACATGCAAATTTTCACTTCGGACGGTCCCGTTTTCAGTAAGTGGACCGTCCGCTTCGTTTTAAGCGGACTGTCCGTCAAAATCACAAAATGCAAAATGGTTACGCGCCCTAAGGGCGTGTCTCTTTTTTCACTGTGACGGTTCGAACTGTGGACCGTCCGGCTCGCGAAGAAGTTACCTACTTCGCACTGTTTCGCGCCTTCTTCGCTAAGGCCTTCGCGATTTCGCCCACAGTTCGAACCGTCACATCACTTTTCCCTCCAAGCAACGGTTCACAATGTGAACATTTGTCAGTTCGATAAGCAAACGGACGGAACTCCTCCTCTGACATCTGATTGGCGCGCAAAGAACCCGAAAAAATACACCGAGCCGCATCTCCAATAGAATTTTAGGCGCGCAGCGCCAGACTGAACATTGAACCATAGACACCCCCACTACCCATGCTACACTACAAAACGCCTCCACTTCGAACCGAACCAACACAATCAGCACGCAATGGAGCAGTCTAGCGGAAATGAGCACTCTGGACCGGCAAACACCACACCCAACACCTCCGTCCCTAGTACCTCTACCCAACCTGATCCTCATGCTGCTGCTCCAGAGACACAAGAGTCACAGATCCAGAATCAGCCTCCCGCTAACGCTCAAACCCCCACCACAACCACCAACACGCAAGCTGACTGGTGGGTCTACCACATCCCGTCTCCCACAGCCTCGTACAACGCCGACGACGACTACGGACTAGGCGCAGATATGGACAATGCCGCGACGCTCGGGGAGGTTGAAGAGGAGCCCGCTGAGCAGGAGACGTCCTCGACCCGCGAGACCACCGCTCCGTCACGCAGATCTACGGGCAGGACGCAGCCGCGCTGGACCCCAGAGGAGGAGTGCGAGGTCCTCGCAGCTTTCATCACCCGCCAGGCCCAGATCCGCGCGCGTACGGGTCAGCAAGGCCGCAGCTGGTACCCGCTCATCCAGGAGGAGCTCCTGCTGCAGAATCCGACGTGGCGCCACGACGTCTCCGCTCTCAAGGCCAAGTACAATCGCATGAAGGAGCAGTGGCGCCGCATTAACGATCGCATCAAGCGCTCGGGGGCGGGACGCGCCACTGGCCTGCCCCCTTGGTACCACCTCGGCGACGCTTTATGGGGTGAGCGCCCGAGTACCATCCCCCCCGTACTTGCAGGCACGGGCGTCAATCGATCCACAGGCTCTAGGTCTGCGACGGCAACGCCACCTCGGGCCAACGCCCGTCGTCGGCCAGCTACGACGAATGCGACGCCCACGTCGCATACAATAACTGCCATCGCCAACACGGACAGTCCGCCTCCCACCATCGCGCCCCCACCGCTGGCTGCGCCACTTCCGCATCCCATACCCTCCAACCCGCCGACCGCTAATGAGACCACGCCTACTGGTGTGGTCGCGCCACCATCTCCTACTCCCAATCCCCCGCGTGCGTCACCCGCGCCTCCCCCTGCTGGAGACAATACAAATCGCCGCGGGAATGTGTCCCCTCTATCGCCAGACACCATCCCGTCGGCGTCTCCTACTGCCGCCGCGACGGAATCAGATGCGACGACGGGTGTCTCGATCCGTGGTCGTCGCCAAATCGGGGGAGCGCTCGCGTCGTCTGATGGGCAAGAGGGATGCAGCCGGCATACATGGTATCAGTATCCCCGCCAGCAGCCCGAAGGCACGGATGGCAAGGGGGGTAAGACCGGATCAAAGGGCCAAGGTCGGAAATCTGCTGGGCGATCCAGAGCACAAAGCACCGCGGATCTCGTTCGCGAGCTCCGCGACCATAACGACAAGCGTCAAGAGGAGAATTGGGGCAAGTTCGAGGCGCTTACCCGGGAGGTGCTTCGCGGCTTCGCGGATGAGCGACGCAGTAGGAGGCGTAGATCGCCGCAGTCCACCTCTTCATCCGAAGACGAGGCGTGAACCCGCGGACCTCGGCGCCGGTAAGTCGAAGCCGTGACGCGGGACCCGCGAGCCACCAACGATCCCGCTCGTTTGGTGGGCCAAGTCGATCGCGGCTACCGATCGTGAGCTCTATGTTGTGCATCGCGACGCACGCGCTCACGACCTGCGGGACGCGGTCACTATGGCACTCCATACGGGCATCTAGGATCCTCCATTTCCCCTTCGATCTCCCGTTCACTTGTTCAACCACCATCCGTTGCCTTGACTGTTGTGTGTTCCATTTGTCCTTCGCCCTTGGCAGAGCCCTTCCCGGAGTAGCCCGCCATGGGACGCATGTGTAGCTTTTCAAGGCGTACGCGGCGTCGCTGACCAGCATGTAGTTGCCTAAATCCCCTGCTTCCATGCACTCCCGGAGGGGTGAGTTGTTGAACACCCGCGAGTCATTCACACTCCCGGGGTAACCGACGTTGTAGTCCCAGATTATGCCGTTGCTATCACATGCTATCTGTAGGTGGATAGAGTAGAAACCCTTTCTGTTTTTGAAGTCTTCTTTGTCACGTCCGAACCCCCTGCATTCTATAAAAGTCCCATCCAATGCTCCAATGACACCCGGTATCCCCCCCTCGTAAGTGAACTCCGCCGCCATTTCTTCACATTGCTCAAGGGTGGGGTGTGTAACCCACAGAGGCTCCAACACGTTGACAAGGAACGCTATGAAACCGTAGATAAGGCGGAAGGCATGTTGAGGCACAACACCAAATTGCAATCCCACCTGACGGAAGGTGGCACCCGTGCCAAGATACACTAGAGTCATAGCCACCACTGTCTCGATGGGCACTACTCGTCGACGGTCTCCGTTCCGTGTTATCCACGCCTCTACTAGGTAGTCAAACACCGCCCGGTTAACTCTGAACGTTTCATGGAATATGCGCTGAGGCAAGGAGTCGAGGAGGGCATCCCACCGTGCCCGCTGATTCTCACGGTCACGCCGCATCGTGTTGCGGTCATCGTCCTCAAGCAGTAGAATAACATCCGTGATCTGGTCAAAGGCTGGACGGACGATGAACTCGTGGTAGCCTCTGTAAAGCAGGTGAAGCACTGATAGGAGCAGCCTCCTAGACATGGCGTTGCAATTTTCCTGGTTTGATAGTGCTCTGTGTGTGTGGCTCTGTTTTTGATTCTTGTGGTGTGTTGTGAATTGTGTAGAAGGTAGACGGTTGGCTTTCAGGGGGCATCGAGCCGCGACCTGGCTATGCGATGTTGGCGATGGGGTGTGACTGAGGTTACGTAGATGTACGATGCTTGGCGATGCTACAGTACTTCGGGAGTCTGATGCACTCGGAAAAGTGATGCTTTTGCCTACGGACTGTCCAGACTTTCGAATTTTTGAATCGGACAGTCCGATTCTCGCTATTGCAACTGTCCGTTTACATACAAGCGGACAGTCCGTCAAAATCCATAAAATCAAAAAAGAGACACGCCCTAATCTCACCCGACCTGATCTGATTTGACTCCTACAGACCAACTATCCATTTTCCAGTTTTGCCGAATGACGTACATTGAAGGTGCTCTCGCAGTGTACAAAGCATTCGTATAGCCCAGGATAACACAGCATATGATATTAGACTTGGTGAGAAAGGCAACGTAATGTACATACATCTGTTGTATATCACAGAGGATTTCATTCCTTCTAATTTCAACCAGAGGAATGACCACCGCTGAATGTGGCATTGCGTGACCTTAGCGCAGCAGTCAATAGCGAGTGTTTCGATGGAAGCTCAGCCTCGTCAAACTTTATCCTGAAACCCAGAGCAGAGGGGATAAGGTAGGGGTGTCAAACCATGAGGCATACTCAAAACCCTTGAAGTCCTAACCTCATGTATACTGCCAAGGCCAGGAAGGAAAGAAAGCATGCCCAAGCGCGCACACGTGCCAGCTCTTGAAATCACGCATCTATGCCTGCATGCTCTCCTCGCATGGCTGAGGCTGGAGAGGCGGTATGTGCATGTGGCATGTATGCATGAATTATCATGCGTTCATGCAAGCATGCAAGCATGTTGACCTGCATGCTCTCCTCGCATGGCTGAGGCTGGAGAGGCGGTACATGGTAACATGGTAACAGCCACAAAGGCATGCATGTGGTGTGAATGCATGACTTCATCATGCAAGCATGCAACCATGCAAGCATACTGACCTGGCATGGCTGAGGCTGGAGAGGCGGTACATGGTAACATGGTAACAGCCACAAAGGCATGCATGTGGTGTGAATGCATGAATTCATCATGCAAGCATGCAACCATGCAAGCATACTGACCTGGCATGGCTGAGGCTGGAGAGGCGGTACATGCTGAGAGCGACAAGAATATGGAGGCCGATGGAGTAGAAGAAGACAAACGTGCGCGCGTACCTGGGAAAGCGCATGGGAGGAAAGAACAAGGTAAAAAGAAGAAGAAGAAGAAGAAGAAGAAGAAGAAAAAAAAAAAAAAAAAAAAAAAAAAAAAAAAAAAAAAAAAAAAAAAAAAAAAAAAAAAACGTGCACACCCTTGGGAGAGAGCAACGGAAGGAAAATAGATATGCATACTGGCAGTGAACTTTGGAAGAACGCATGGGTGTTACCCCATATGGTGGCGGTACACACACAGAGTGAATTGTGGTATACGATTTGAGAGGCGAGGCTGGCAGGGGGTGGTTTAAATGGAGACAGGGCAGGAAGAAGGACGAAGGGAATGAGAGGAGCAAATGAATGGTATGAGAGGAGTGACTGACTTGTTGGAGAGGAGGAATTTGCCACTGGTGAGGGTGATTCTGTCTCGCAGACCCAGGTCTCTAACTCGCTGATCCCTCTCCTGTTCACATTGCAACCATACAGGAGAAGCGAAAGTTATGATATGACACTCAGAACATGGCATGTTTTGAGACGTCTCAGAAGTTATATTATGACATTCAGAACATGGGATGCAGTGAGATGGTGAGAGAAGCTGCGGGTAAAACGGTTACCATGATAATCTCCACACAACGAGGTGGCAGAAACCCATGCACTTAGTAACGCCAGGCAGGAGCAGGAGCAGCAGCAGCAGCAGCAGCAGCAGCAGCAGCAGCAGCGCCTCAAAGGTCAATTTCCTCAAAGGTGCTTGAGCAATGCACACGGTAGCACAGGCAGCAGCAGCGCACCTTGGTGGAGAAAGCAGCAAACGGGTTGATGGTCTCCTCGTATATCTTCTTGTACTTGCTCTCCACATCTGCTGCTGGGCCCGCCTCTATGTCACTCTGATATGGAAGGAGTCAGAGGGTAATGGGTGGTGGCTGAGACAGGAAGTTGGATGGAAGTTGGGCAGTGAAGGGGCGGTCGATGATCTCTCCTCGTATATCTTCTTGTACTTGCTCTCCACGTCGGCAGCTGGGCCCGCCTCCATGTCACTCTGATTTGGTGCGGATTGACAGGGGAATGGGGAGAGGATGGGGAAGAGGCAAGGGACAAAGCAAACGGGTTGACGATCTCCTCATACATCTCCTTGTACTTGCTCTCCACGTCCACTGCTGGACCCGCCTCTATGTCAGTGAGTGAAGGCAATGGAGGACAAGGTTGGGATGGGAGGCGCCTCAAAACTTGTCTCCACGTCCACTGCTGGACCCGCCTCTATGTCAGTCAGTGGGGCAATGGAGGACAAGGTTGGGATGGGATGGGAGGGTGGGTGCAGGATCCAAACAATTGGAGAACGCAATGCAGCTAAGGGGTTGAGCAGACAGAGAGACAGGTACAATGCAAAGGGAGGGCACACACCTTTCTCGATCGACTAGAGTTGGGTCTGTCCCCTCCCCTGGCACTCGTGTAGTCCTGTACGTAGCGCATGCGCTCATACAGCTTCACAATGACCGCTATCACCGTTCGAGAGACCAGCGGACAGGGAGACACGTACAGTGCACATACCTTTCTCGATCGGCTGGAGTTGGGTCTGTCCCCTCCCCCAGCGCTCGTGTAGTCCTGCACGTATCGCATGCGCTCATACAGCTTCACGTTGTCTGCTTTCAACCAGTGATAACCCCATCAGAAGACTGGTGCACTGCTCACACGCACCTTTCTTGATCGACTACTGTTCGGTCTGTCCCCGCCACCAGCGCTCGTGTAGTCCTGCACGTAGCGCATGCGCTCATACAGCTTCACGTTGTCTGCTTTCAATCGCTCCACCTCTGTCGCTAACTTGCTGCTCTTCTCCCTCTCCGCCCGCAGTTCCTGCCAGCAAAAGAGCAAGAGGGGTGACAAGGAGGAGTTAGAGAAGTGGCATGGAAATTCAGAGTGTATTCAAAGTTCTCACCCACCATGAGTTAGGGTGTTGTAACCACACACCCCTTTCCCATACCCAGCTCCTCAGCAACTCCCGTCTCCTTTCCTGCCCTCCTTCCCTACCCTTCCCCTCCCCTCCCTCACCTCTTCCAGCTCTCCCATTCGCTGCCGAAATCTATCCCGTTGCCCACACACCACCATGAGCACCGAGTCATCATCCACCAATCCGCCGCCACCATCCCCACCACCGCTGCCGCCCGCTGCTCCAGGCATCGAGACAATGCTGCCAACCGACGCCGCCCGGTGCTTGTCCCGTGCGCCATAACCCTTAAGAATATCGTCCTCCAGTTTGCCTATCAACGCCCTCTGCTCTGCAACAGTTGTTTCTAGTGCTGCTACCTTGGAATGGGCAGTCTCACTTTCCTCCTCCCTCTCACTCAGACGCATCTGGAGGATTGTTTAAGGGAGGAGGGGAGGACAGAATAAGGAAGGGGGATCCATAAGAAGGGACTCTTGAGAATGTCGTCCTCCAGTTTGCCTATCAGCGCCCTCTGCTCCCCACTGTCCCTTCCAGTGCTGCTGCTTTCGCTTTCGCCTCATCACACTCCTCTTCGCCTCATCACACTCCTCTTCCTTCTCACTCAAACGCATCTGGAGGGTTGTTTTGTTACAGGGAGGAGGGAGGAGGGAAACAAGGGATGGGGATCGATAAGAAGAGGCCCTTCAGAATGCCGACCTCCATTTTGCCTATGAGCGCCCTCTGTTCCCCACTGTCCCTTCTAGCACCGCCGAGCCAACTTAGCCTTTGCCAACACCAATTGACCAGCGTTGACTGACCTTAACTTGGGTCAACTCGTGCTCCATCCGCTTGTTCTTCTCCAGCAGCAAGGCCTCCAGCTTCCCAATGTCGGCCCCACTGCTGCTGCGCATCACCCCCATTGCACCGCCATCTCCCCCCTTTCCACTCTCCCCATCTGCGGCAGCAGAGAGATCGGAGGACGATCCTGGACCGTTGGATGACATGCCCGGTTCATCCCAGTCGTCCACTTCCACTGCATTGTAGCCCACAGCCTAGGTGGGTGGGAACAGTGTACGTGGGGTGGGGACGGGAGGGGAGGGGGAAAATTGTTGAAGCCTTGATATTTTCAACAGCATTGTAGTTGGAAGGAAAAATAACAAAAAAAAAGAGGTTGATGAACTACCTTTGTGATCAGAAGGCTTGCAAAACCCAGTGCTTGCAAAACCCAGTGCTTGCAAAACCCAGTGCTTGCAAAACCCAGTGCTTGCAAAACCCAGTGCTTGCAAAACCCAGTGCTTGCAAAACCCAGTGCTTGCAAAACCCAGTGCTTGCAAAACCCAGTGCTTGCAAAACCCAGTGCTTGCAAAACCCAGTGCTTGCAAAACCCAGTGCTTGCAAAACCCAGTGCTTGCAAAACCCAGTGCTTGCAAAACCCAGTGCTTGCAAAACCCAGTGCTTGCAAAACCCAGTGCTTGCAAAACCCAGTGCTTGCAAAACCCAGTGCTTGCAAAACCCAGTGCTTGCAAAACCCAGTGCTTGCAAAACCCAGTGCTTGCAAAACCCAGTGCTTGCAAAACCCAGTGCTTGCAAAACCCAGTGCTTGCAAAACCCAGTGCTTGCAAAACCCAGTGCTTGCAAAACCCAGTGCTTGCAAAACCCAGTGCTTGCAAAACCCAGCGCTTGCAAAACCCAGCGCTTGCAAAACCCAGCGCTTGCAAAACCCAGTGCTTGCAAAACCCAGTGCTTGCAAAACCCAGTGCTTGCAAAACCCAGTGCTTGCAAAACCCAGTGCTTGCAAAACCCAGTGCTTGCAAAACCCAGTGCTTGCAAAACCCAGTGCTTGCAAAACCCAGTGCTTGCAAAACCCAGTGCTTGCAAAACCCAGTGCTTGCAAAACCCAGTGCTTGCAAAACCCAGTGCTTGCAAAACCCAGTGCTTGCAAAACCCAGTGCTTGCAAAACCCAGTGCTTGCAAAACCCAGTGCTTGCAAAACCCAGTGCTTGCAAAACCCAGTGCTTGCAAAACCCAGTGCTTGCAAAACCCAGTGCTTGCAAAACCCAGTGCTTGCAAAACCCAGTGCTTGCAAAACCCAGTGCTTGCAAAACCCAGTGCTTGCAAACCCAGTGCTTGCAAACCCAGTGCTTGCAAACCCAGTGCTTGCAAACCCAGTGCTTGCAAAACCCAGTGCTTGCAAAACCCAGTGCTTGCAAACCCAGTGCTTGCAAACCCAGTGCTTGCAAACCCAGTGCTTGCAAACCCAGTGCTTGCAAACCCAGTGCTTGCAAAACAGAGTGCACCCAGTGCCTGTAGATAGGCCTCACCTGCAGGATCTTCACTTGCTTGCGCAGATCCTCCCACTGCCTCTGTGTGGGCCTCGTTGCCAGTTCCGCTCTCAGCGTAGATATGGACGAGTCCTGGTGATGGGCGAGACGGATGGCTTGTGTGAGGGAGACCCATTGCAGCAATGGTTGAGATGCCAGAGGACTTTTGAGGCGCCTCAAAAGTCGTCTCTCTACCCGCAATTTTTGAGGCGCCTCAAAAGTCGTCTCTCTACCCGTAATGGGCGAGTCGGATGGGTTGTGTGAGGAGACCCATTGCAGCAATGGTTGAGATGCCTGAGGACAGTGTGTGTGGGCCTAGTCGCCAGTATGACTCACATCACACCACACCAAGATAGCCCAAATTATCCTGTCCACTAATCATTCCCACCACCTGATCCAGCAGCAGCGCCTTGAGTCGCTTCACCTCCGCCCGCTGCTCCTCCCCCTCTTCCATTCCACCAACCCACCTTGTGTGACAGCACTTTACCCAGTCACTCCATGCTTCAGGGCCAAGCGAGAACCCACCTGATCCTGCAGCAGCGCCTTGAGTCGCTTCACCTCCGCCCGCTGCTCCTCCCCCTCTTCCATCCCACCAACCCACCTTGTGTGACAGCACTTTTCCCAGTCACTCCATGCTTCAGAGCCAAGCGAGAACCCACCTGATCCTGCAGCAGCGCCTTGAGTCGCTTCACCTCCGCCCTCTGCTCATCCCTCTCTGCCGCCCCTGCTGCCTCCAGTGCGTGCAGCTCCTGATGCAGCGATGCTATCACCGCCTCTTTTGCTCGTACTGCTGCTTCCCATCCCACCGCCCCACTGCTGTCCGTGCTGCATAGGAAAGGGAGTGGAGGACGGGGAGAGGGAGGTGGGGTGGGGTCCGGGAAAGAGGGACAGGAAAAACAAGGGGAATGAGTCTGGGATGGGATGGCACCGTCCCTCTCAGCCGCCCCTGCTGCCTCCAGTGTGTGCAGCTCCTGATGCAGTGATGCTATCACTGCCTCTTTTGCTCGTACTGCTGCTTCCCATCCCACCGCCCCACTGCTGTCTGTGCTGCATAAGGGAAATGAAACAAGGGAAGAGAGGGGCAGAAAACAAGGGGTATGGCATGGCCCAGGCCTATCCCAACCCGCTGCCTCCAGGGCGTGCAGCTCCTGATGCAGTGATGCTATCACCGCTTCTTTTGCTCGTACTGCTGCTTCCCATCCCACCCCACCGCCCCACTGCTATCCGTGCTGCATAAGGGAAACGAAACAAGGGAAGAAAGGGGCAGAAAACGAGGGGTATGGCATGGCCCAGGCCTATCCCAACCCTGCTGCCTCCAGGGCGTGCAGCTCCTGATGCAGCGATGCTATCACCGCTTCTTTTGCTCGTACTGCTGCCTCCCACCCTACTACTCCACTGCTGTCCGTGCTGCATAAGGAGGAGCAGGGAAGGGGGAAAGGAAAGGAAAAAGGAAGGGGAAGAGAAGGGCATCATGTCTGCCGGAGCATGCAGCTCCTGATGCATGAATAAACAGCATGAGTGCACGTGAGGTGGCAGCAGCAACGGCGCTAACAAAGGCAGAAGCAGCGTCTCACATGTCTCCATTGTCCAGCTGCTTCACTGGGTTGTGCAGTCTACCCATGTGCCAACATAATAATGGTGACAGGAAGTGCGCATGAGTGGACATGAGGTGGCGGCAGAAACAGCAGTGGATGGTGGTAGCAGCGCTTTGAGTCGACTCAAAGCAGTGGATGGTGGTAGCAGCGCTTTGAGTCCACTCAAAGCAGTGGACGGTGGTAGCAGCGCTTTGAGTCGACTCAAAGCAGTGGACGGTGGTAGCAGCGCTTCGAGTCGACTCAAAGCAGTGGACGGTGGTAGCAGCGCTTCGAGTCGACTCAAAGCAGTGGACGGTGGTAGCAGCGCTTTGAGTCGACTCAAAGCAGTGGACGGTGGTAGCAGCGCTTCGAGTCGACTCAAAGCAGTGGACGGTGGTAGCAGCGCTTTGAGTCGACTCAAAGCAGTGGACGGTGGTAGCAGCACTTTGAGTCGACTCAAAGCAGTGGACGGTGGTAGCAGCGCTTTGAGTCGACTCAAAGCAGTGGACGGTGGTAGCAGCGCTTTGAGTCGACTCAAAGCAGTGGACGGTGGTAGCAGCGCTTTGAGTCGACAGTGGACGGTGGTAGCAGCTCACCTCTCTCCATTGCCTGCAGCTTCGCTGGGCTGTGCAGTCTGCAGCTGCGCCTTGAGGGCTTTAGAGAGGTGAAACAAAGTGTGTATGAGTGAGTGCGCATGAGGTGGCAGCAGAAACAGCAGTGGACGGTGGCAGAAGCAGCATCTCACCTCTCACCATCTGCTGCTTCGCTGGGCTGTGCAGTCTGCAGCTGCGCCTTGAGAGCTTCCTGGAGAGGGATGGGATGAGAGCAGCGCGTGCAGTTGCAGGTTAGCGGAAGAAGAGACAAGCTACTGTATCCCATCCCATCCCACTGTACCGCACCTCACCTTCTCTCTCTCCACCTCATCCTATCCACCTTTCTTTCCCTCTCCTGACCCAACGCGCCCCTACCACGCACTCCAGTGCACCCCTAGCTCCCAACCCACTCACCTTCTTGTTGTCTCGTTGTCCTAAGAACCACGTGAGTTGATGGAAGTAGGGCCTCCGCAGCCCACCTGTCAGTTACTGACAACCCCACTCGCCTTCTCTCTCACTTCTCACCTTTTCTCTCTCCAAAGCAAGCAGCCGCGCCTGAGCTCGCTCCACCTCGTCTGTCAGCAATTTCACCTCACCCTGCTTTGATGCGCGCTCCTCCTCTGATGGGGGGCGGTGGAGGGAAGTGCAGGAGGGGGTGGGTAGGGAAGGAGGAGGAGGGTTAGACGTCTCACTGCCCCACCTCGTCTGTCAGCAGATTCACCTCGCCCTGCTTTAATATGTGCTCCTCCTCTGACGAATGCAAACGTAGAGCAAAGGGGAAGCGGAAGGGGGAGAGAGAGGAAAAGGTGGCAGAAGCTGACGTGCTGGGCAAGAATTGAGGACAATTGAGTGTTGAGCCCACCTGACAGACTGACTGTGCTTCGACGGCTTTTAAGTTTCACTAAAACTGCTGTTCCTCTGGTGAGATGGCTTATACACACCACCCTGAACTGAAATACTGAAGCGATTCAGCATGCAACTGCTGAATCCCTGACTGCGCTCTCGCTCCAGCTGGAAAATCCATGAATCCTTACAACTCTTTTGCTATTCAAAAGGGAGACAATTTCAGCATACCTGACTGCGCCTTGAGTTCAAACAGCTGCGACTGGCTCATCTCGTGCAGCCGCTGCATGTTGCTCACTGTCTCCCTCGCCGCCCGCAGCTGCTCCTGCAGCGCGTCCTCCCTGCCAGGGGAGATGGGGAGGAGGGGAATGGGGTTTTTTCTGAAACGCCATGCAAAGCGTTTCTGCCTTTTAGGAGTAAAAGAAAACGCGAGTGCTCACTGTCTCCCTTGCGGCCCTCAGCTGCTCCTGCAGCGCATCCTCCCTGCCAGGGGAGAGGAGGAGGAGGAGTGGGGGGAGGGGAGAGGAGGGAGGGAGAAGGAGAGTGGTGGGAGGGAGAGTGCGAGAAGCTTTTGCAGAAACAGGGGAACCAGGAGTGGAAGGGATGGTGGGATGGTGTGGGGAAGAATTTGATGCTACCAAACCAGTTGCATGCATCCCTGCATTGACCCTGCCTTTGCCCCTGTGTTGACCCTGACTTGACTGCATTGACATTGACTCTACCATGACCTGACACACCTTGGCCCTACGTTGACCAGCGTTGACTTGCCTTGACTTGAGTGTTTCCATGCTGCGTTGGCTCTCCTCCGCCAGCACATGCTGCTTCATTGCCACCATCTCCTTCACCTTCTCCTCCATCTGATGCTCCGAGAGGTCAGACAGACAGACGTACAATAGGGCATACAAAGGCAAGGAAAGGCACAGCTTGGAATGAATCAGAAGCACATGCTGCTTCATTGCCACCATCTCCTTCACCTTCTCCTCCATCTGATGTGCACAGACGTACATACGGGCACACACACACGCACACAGAGAGGCAAGGAATGTGACAGCTTTGTATGTATCAGAAGCATGTTTCTCTCCTCCAGCCGTCGCACGGTCGGCTGATGGTTCTTGAGGTGTGCTGACTCAGTCACTCAGAGGTGATATTGAGTCGACCGAAAGAAACACCTTTCCTCGCCCACCTGCTGCTCCATCTGTCTATCCCTTTAGCTGCCCTTCCCCACCCACCTGCTGCTCCAGCTGTCGGTTTCTCTCCTCCAGTCGTCGCACGGTCGCCTGCTGGTTCTTGAGGTGCGCTGACTCAGATCGGAACTCCTCCAGTTCAGCATGCATGCGCCGGTTCTCCGCCGCCAGCTCAGCAGCATTCGCTGCCACCTCCTGCAGAGATGCAAAAGTTGGGAAGGGGTTGAGAGTGGCAAGTGCTTGAGATGAGAGCGCGGAGGGGGTATAGATGAGAGTGGGGAGGGATAGAGATGAAAGTGGGAAAGGAAAATTCAATGCATGGAACGGAATCGACACTCACAGCAGCAGACGCCAGCGATGGCACAGGATCCGGGGCCTCGTAGAGCTTCTGGTAAACGCCCAGGAAGGCTGCTTCTGCAAACTTGGCGCGCTTTGTGAGATTGTCCACCTCCTCCTGGTAGGCTTTGAGCAGGGCGCCAAACAGCTTGCTCTGCTCCTCTCTGGCTGCTTTCTTGAAGTCTGCAGAAGCACCAAGAGAGGGGTTGTGGTGGGAATGCTGATGCGATACTCTATACTATAACTAAATTCGTTTGGTAAAATTTTCCACCTCCTCTTGAATACTGAAAGTTTTTTCAGAGGACGCCAAACAGCTGGCTCTGCTCTGCTCTGCTCCTCTCTGGGTACCTTCTTGAAGTCTGCAGGAGCACAAAGAGAGGGTTGGTTGGAGAGGTGCTTTATACGTAGAGCCATGTCATGACTTCTGGCAAAAATGAATGAGAGCTGACAACAAATGTAAGGTATTCGCAGCAGCTAAGCTAGATTCCCCCGATTCTCACTGCTTGGTGATTCTGGAAACAATATTAGCTCTTACTCCAGGAAAAGCATCTTCCACTTCATTCACCCAACCTGGTCTGGTGTTGCTTCTGCTAAGGTCCTCCAGCTCTCTGCACTGTAGCAGTCGGAAGCTCTTACCATCCCTACTTTCCAGTGCATCAGGTCCACTCCCTCTCGCCTACCTCGTGTTGACTCTGCTAACTTCCTCCTACCACTCCAGCCTACCTCGTGTGGACTCAGCAAGCTTTCTTCGATTCTTGGAGCTCGTCTCCTGGTTCTCAGCAATCTTCAGCCCTTGCTCGTCCAGAGACGTCCGCGCGTTCTCCAAGTCAAACTCTGGGACACAACAGAACACAGCACGGAGGGAACGTTGCACAATCAGACGTTTCAAAACACAATCTTCAGCCCTAGCTCGTCCAGACTCCAGAGACGTCCGCGCGCTCTCCAAGTCAAGCTCTGGGACACAATCGAACACAGAGAGAAGGGGGTTGCGTTGCGTTGCGTTGCGTTGCGTTGCGTTGCGTTACCAGAATCCTGAAAACTCGATCTTCAGTCTTGCTCAATCGTGTGATGAGGTTGTTTTTGAGACGTCTCAAAAACAGAGAGAAGGGGGTTGCGTTGCGTTGCGTTGCGTTGCGGTTAGCAGAATCCTGAAACTCGAGCTTCCAGTCTTGCTCAATCTCCAAGACGGACTTTGGGTTATGAAACGACACGGAGAGTTGCATGCATGCATGCATGCATAGAGGTTGAATTTCCACTTCCACTGATGTCGGGTTACTTTACCTTTGATGTCGGTCAGTACCTTTCCAGAAATTCGAGATAGAAGGCAATCCGAGAGATAATCCGAGAGTGCTGGCGTCGTTTATGTCGTTTGTATCGGAGAGTCCAATGAAGAAGGGCTTTTGGAAATGCCAATGCTACAGAATCATTCATAACGAAAGGCTACTCAAAGCTGCTGGCATCGATTATGTTATTGTCATTCCAACAGAGAGGAGGCTTTACCTCCCCGTGATTCAGATCGAAAGGCAATCCGAAGCCGCTGTTGTCTCTATGTCATTGTCAACCCAACATAAGGAGGTTTTAGGAGTTGCTATATCTTTCCAGTAATTCAGGATGAAAGTCAATCCGAAGCTGCTGGCGCCTTACATCATTGTCAACCCAAGCTAGAAGTGGTTCTGGAAATCCCTATACCTTTCCAGTAATTCAGAATGAAAGGCAATCCGAAGCTGCTTGCATCCGCAGCAACCCTCGCCTCCGTCGCCGTGCCGTCCCCACCTCCTGGGGCCGCGATCGCCGCTGCTGCATCCTTCGCCTCTGATTGGTCCATTTTCTCAAACGAAAAACCAGCGGAAAGCTTCACCCCTAAGAGATTACGATGCACTTCGCCCGAGCCGAGAGCGTGCTACACCAGACCCAAGTATCAGGAACCTCAGGAATGCGCTAAGCGGGAGCGTAGAGCATGTCTTTCCACTCACAAGCGCATCAGGATGGAACGGGTCCGAAACGTTAGAAGCAGCTAGGGAAAGGACGGGACGGCCTTGAGAACTACGGTTTGCTGGCTGACACCAACGGCGATTCAGGACACAGCAGGTGATTGTTGGAAATCTCGAAAATGGGTGAACTTTCGAAGTGCTTGACTAAGAATTTCAGGTGCTGTTTCGTAGGGGTTGGCGATGTTACAATGTTACATGATTTTCGAATGCGGATCGGCTACAACGACATTACATTTTGTAACTGAACCTTTTAGTCGCGTATTCAACTCGCACGTCTCCTGCTGAAATCTGGCGAGGAAACCCGTTCGCTGCTGACGGAGAGTTACATGTTCGCAAGATCTAGGAAGATCAACGGTCTCTCACCGAACTGTAACCACACTTATCGTCCCTAAATCCCGCGGAACTGACTCTAGCCCGCGATCCTGAGGGCGATCTAGCCTGATCCTCCTGAAATTCCCTCACTTTGGAGTCTGTCACGACCGCGTCCTCCAAACCTGACACAACAAGCCGTCCCTCCGTCATGATACCGCACCCTGATTAGACGAGGCTAATTCTTTCTGTTGGCGTAATAGCTACCATAGAAGCTCCCGAGCTTCCGTGAATTCAGTATGAAGAGTCTGTCATTCACTTAGACTTGTTCTAGGCTCTAACGGCCTCGTTCCTTGAGCATTGAAGCGAACGTGCCAAGCGGCCCGGATAGAGTGAACGGGTTTAGCTTCCAAATCCGTGTGGGACTGATACAAGCTCTTGTTAAACAGCCAGAGTATGATATAGGTCTCAGATATGCCGACACGTGGCGTTCTGGCCAACTCGCGGAAATCCGGGCCGTTCCTTCGGTATGGGCTACCGATGCTGTCGATGATGGTCGTCGGATCCGTGGGGTTAGGCTACATGGTTCAAGGCAGGTGCGGTTAGAACTTCGTGTGATAAATGGAGGTACTTTAGTACAAGGTGCAAGGCAGGTGCGGTTCAGGCTTGTGCTTAAGCCTGGAGAAGGCATGCTTGCTTGCATCCTTCGTTGCTGCTCCCTTCACTTCGATCCCAACACAAGCGAGCCATGGAGCGAATCAAGGACGATCGTGAGTGGGTTGCAACCCCCTTCCATTCTCTCCGCTGCTGCTCCCTTCGCTGCTGCTCCCCCCGCTGCTGCTCCCCCCGCTGCTGCAGACGAGACCTGGAGCGAGCCAAGGAAGTTGGTGAGTGGGTTTCAAACCCTTACATCTCCTCTTCTGCTGCTGCCTCCCCCGCTGCTCCCTTCACTGCTGACTTTATTCCTGATGATTTTATGCAGGCGAGACCTGGAGCGAGCCAAGGACGATGGGGAGTGGGCGGCGCTGGAGGCAACTCGGTCGCTGACCAGAGAGAGTGACATTGGGGATTTGAAGGCACCTGCCAAGCGGAAAGCAATTGACTTGGAGGAAGAGCTGAAGGTGAGTTGTGCGCGTTTTCTTATGTTTATTTTGTCCCGTCATACCCCCATGTCCCCGTGCGGAAATGCTGTAGCAAACGGGCTTCAAGAAGTACGGTACGACATGCAAATGCTCAGTATGTATTTTTTGGCATGTGCCATGCGCATGTGCATATGCATGTGCGTGTGCATGTGCATGTGCATGTGCATGCATGTGTCCCCCTTTGAACAACAACAACTATGAATTCAAGCCTGTGCTCAAGCCCAAGGAAGAGGAGTAATACGGAGTGCACTCCTGTGGGTCATGGTTTTTGCCCTACCCTCACACCATCCCCCCTCCCCTTTGCAGCACATGCAGCAAATGATTGACATAAACAACTATGAACTCAAGCCTGTGCCCAAGCCCAAGGAAGAGGAGTGAAGTGCACTACTGTGGGTCATTTTTTTGTCCTACCTTCACACCATCTACCCCCCCCCCCCCCCCCCTTTGCAGCGTATGCAGCAGAAGATCGACATAAACAACTATGAATTCAAGCCTGTGCCCAAGCCCAAGGAAGAGGAGTGAAAGTCAAATACACTCAAAGGCCATGCCTAAGTTGTATATGCCTGTACCCACCGTCATATCAATTCACTGTGCCCCCAAGCCCAAGGAAGAGGAATGATGTGGAGTGCACTCCTCTAGGTCCCATGTTGTGCCTCATGATTCAAAAGCCTTTTTCCCAGCCCAGGGAAGAGTAGTAAAGTGGTGTGTTTCATCACGACTTAGGTTGGATCAAGGTGGTGGTTTTGTGCCCAAGGGCACTGTGGGTTGGCAGTGCTTTCTTTCTGGTGAAATTGTCAGTTTTCATGTCACGCTGCCAGCGTTGTTTATGCCGTTCTGCTCTAGATTACCGTACCAGCCTGGTTGACGGAATTAAATGAAAGCATACGTTATAGCTAAAACAAATCATGCACTAATAAAGGAGGGCAGTAGTGCCATGCTACCGTATTGGCCTTTAGTGAAGGGAAGGGTCAATCTGGGCAGCAGCTTTTATAAGACACTGTCTAAATTAATCAGCTCTGCATGTGACAGGGTGGCATGAGAATGGAAAGAACACATAAAAGAGGCAAGTAAGAACAGCGATGCAAGATCAGAAGAAAATCAAATGAAGTATATGCGGTTATGAGTGGCAATGGCAAGTGACAGGACAAATGAGAAACGCAAGCAGCAGAAGCAGCGGCGGCGGCAGCAGCAGGAGCATAAAAAAGGCCTCCCTGAACTCACTCCATGGGTTGGCTTGTTTTGTCTGTATCTGCAGAAGGCACATTGATGTCCGATGGCAATTGGCCTGATTGCAGCGCCTGATGTGGTGCAATGGGGTGGGGTGGGGTGGAGTGGTTTGAAGTGGGATGCAATGGTGTGGGGTGGGATGAGTTAAGGTGAATGTGACTGGGCCCCCAAAAAGCGCCTTTCTGTTCGATGGTAATTGGCCTGATTGCCGCGATTGGTGAGGTGTGGAGTGGTGAAGTGCCGTGACGGGAAGAAAAAAAAAAAAAAACATTTTGTTTGGTTGGTATGACCACAAACACGCAAAAGCGCAACTGGAAGCTTTACAACACTTGATTGCACTGCATGGTGTGGTGTGGTGTGCAGTGGTGTGGCGTGGTGTGGTGTGGTGTGGTGTGGTTTGGTGTGGCGTGCTGTGCTGTGCTGTGATGTGCTGTGCTGTGCTGTGCTGTGCTGTGCTGTGCTGTGCTGTGCTGTGCTGTGCTGTGCTGTGCTGTGCTGTGCTGTGCTGTGCTGTGCTGTGCTGTGCTGTGCTGTGCTGTGCTGTGCTGTGCTGTGCTGTGCTGTGCTGTGCTGTGCTTTGCTAAGCTTTGCTGTGGTCCCACAATTGTGTGGCAACTGGGCTAGTGGGTTTGATGTGCGAAGTGCCTATGGAGACATGTAGCGTGCCTATTGTGTGAAATGCTTACCAAGACATCTCAAAATGGCAGCGCGGCGCGGTAATCTGCAGAATGAAAAAGGTATGCAACAGGTCAGAATGAAAGCAAGCAGGAGGTGCAAAAGCCTACCTTTTCCAGCCGTGCAACCTCCTCCAGCGTCTGAGCTGTGCAGATTGCAGCCTGCAGGGGCAGCAGGGGGAGCAGGGGGGCAGGGGTACGAGAAGCACAAAAGGGGCAGCATGACCAGAATGAAGCTTTTTTTTGGGAAGCCCTAAAAACCAATTGATTTAAAAACTCAGCTAAATAAGTAAAGCAACAACTCAGCTAAACGAGTAACAAGAAGAAAGGAAAGAAAGAAAATAAAAGAAAAACATGTGTGAGCTATGCTACTGGTATACAGGAAAAAAATCAAAACAAACAAACAAACAAACAAACAAAAAAAAATCCCAAAAAATCACCCATGAAGACACAATACCTAGTATGCCTTTTTCACCATGAAACCCTTCACCATGAAACCCTTCACCATGAAACCCTTCACCATGAAACCCTTCACCATGAAACCCTTCACCATGAAACCCTTCACCTTCACACATGGAAGGAACCTTCACCTTGATTGCTGTGATCTGCTCTGGTGTTGGCCCTTTCGCTGCTCCTGCTGCTGCAGCAGCACCCTCCCCTCCCTCCTTCCCACCATCACCACCAGCACCATCAGCTGCTGCTGCTCCCTCCCCTCCCCCGCCTGCACCCCCCGCCTCTGCCAGTGCCTCCCCAGGCACGAAAGTGTTGGCTGATACGCGCTTGGCTGCTGCTGCCGCCGCTCTGTCCTTGCCGAATGTTGCCTCTGCTTCTTGCCTCTCCTGGAGGAGGGGAGGGAGGAAAGCAGGAACTTAAAGGTACAGCAGGCGCATCTTGGGCAACAGATAGACTGCACAACCTTCGGCTTCTCTTTCCAAAAGTCAAGCACGAGCAGTTTTGGCGGCTCCACAACACGGCAGGTGTACGGCACTTGGGGGATTCTTTACAACGATGTTGTGGAGGAGGAGAGAGAGAGAGAGAGAGAGAGAGAGAGAGAGAGAGAGAGAGAGAGAGAGAGAGAGAGAGAGAGAGAGAGAGAGAGAGAGAGAGTGCGAGGAGAAGAGAGTGCGAGGAGAGAGAGAGAGAGTGCGAGGAGAGAGAGAGTGCAAGGAGAGAGAGAGTGCGAGGAGAGAGAGAGAGTGCGAGGAGAGAGAGAGTGCAAGGAGAGAGAAAGTGCGAGGAGAGAGAGAGTGCGAGGAGAGAGAGAGTGCGAGGAGAGAGAAAGAGGGAGTGGAGCGGCATGTGGGAGTGAGACAAGGTTGCGTGAAAGATTCACACTGAACCTACCTTGAGCTTCACTTTCCGGAAGTCGAGCAGTCGCAGCTTGGGCAGCAGGTGAATGGCGTAGAGGCGGTACTTGGGCTTTTTAACAACCGTGTTGTCGAGAAGAGAGAGCGAGGTGAGTGAGTGGGCCAGGGATGCAAGTGGGTCGAGGTCTGCGAGGTTGGTGAGACGGTTGTTGGCCAACACTAGGGTCTGCAGCTTGGGGAGTTGGGCTGGTGGGGGGTTGGGGGAGGAGGACGAGAGGGGTATAGGGGAAACGGGGGACAGCTGGTGAGACGGTTGTTGGCCAACACTAGGGTCTGCAGCTTGGGGAGTTGGACTGTTGGGTGGTGGGGAGAAGGGAAGGGGAAGAAACGGTGTGCTTGGGAGAAAAGAGGAGGGAAGGAAGGGAAGAGTGGAGAAAGAAAGAACGAAAGAAAAGGAATGAAGGGAGCAAGGGAAGACGGAAGGAAGCAGGGCATTGGTTGGTCAGCAGCAGCGCGTCTAGTCAGCTCTGCGCTTGCACATGACACGTACTACCTAGCAAGCTGGCGGCACATGACATGCTAGTCAGCCCAAGGAATGATGCCACCACCAGCACGCGCCTCAAAAAAGGTTTTTTTTGTAGGCGCCTCGATTCTTTTTTTATTTTTGAGACGCCTTTTTTTTTCTCTTTTTTTTTTTGAGGCGCCTCAAAAATTGGCACATGACATGCTAGTCAGCTCAAGCTACGATGCCACCCACAGCTGGCATCAGCATCTGATACGTACTACCTAGCTGGGGGCTGATGCAAGTGATGTGGTTGTTGCGGAGCAGAAGGGTGGAAAGGCGAGCTGGTAACGTGGTAACAGCAGCATACAGCAGCAGCACATGATACGCCCTACCAACTGATACGTACTACCTAGCTGGGGGCTGATGCGGGTGATGCGGTTGTTGCAGAGCAGCAGAGTGGAGAGCCGCCGCAGCAGCGGGAACCCCTCCAGCTTCACAATCTCGTTGTCGGACAGGTCGATGCTGTCAAACAGGTCCTGTGCGGTGGGGTGGGGTGGGTTGGGGTGGATTGACATGTGTGGTAATGCTGTCGCGGGAACCCCTCCAGCTTCACTATCTCGTTGTCGGACAGGTCGATGCTGTCGAATAGGTCCTGTGGTATGGGAAAATAAGAGGCACGAACGAGAAAGAAGGGGGTGAGGAGTATAAGGGCCAGCAGGGGAGTGGAAGGTAGGGGAAGGATGGTTGTAGCAGCGGGAATTCCTCCAACTTCACATTTCATTGTCCGACAGGTCAATTCTCTCAAACAGATCCTGGTTAGGAGAGAAGGTTGGGTAGACGGGATACACGGAGTGGAAGGGAGCATGCATTGAAATGTGTGAAGATGCAGCGAAGGGAGTTTTCCAAGCTTTCAACCAGCAACACTCTCTCTAGTTGTCTGACAGGTTGATGCTGTTGAACGGGTCCTGGGTTGTGATGAGGGGCAGGGTGCGGCCACAAGGGATCAAAGGAGATTTTTGAGGCGCCTCTTGAGTCGACTCAAAAGTCACCTTGAGGCGCCTCAAAAGTCACCTTGAGGCGCCTCAAAAATCGTCAAACGGGTCCTAGGTTGTGATGAGGGGCAGGGTGTGGCCAGATTGGAGAAAAGGGGGCCTAAAGATTAGGAGCTTTTTGAGAAGCGTGTGCAGGAAAGGGTGGAGAAGAAGGGAAGGGATGCGACGTAAGTGGCTGCAAATTGAGAGTGTAAAAAGGGTTAATTTCGGAGGAAGATGGTTCAGAGAGGAACGGCTAAGTAGATTGGTTCTGAGGGAAAGGGTCTAGGGGATAGGTTTTTTTGAAGCAACGCCTAAATATTTGATTTCCAGAAAAAAAAAGAATCCCGTTATATGATTACGAAAGAATCCCGTTGTCTGGTTCCGTGGAATTAGGTCAGAGGGAAAGGGTCTAGAAAAAATAGGTTTACATATGCAGACATTGGTAGGAATGAAGATTGATGAAGGTATACATATGTACTAATGGCTCTACTTTGGAGGGGAAGGTCGACTGAAGGAGCAGATAGAACGCTCACCTCTGTGGCTCCGAGATTCTCAATGACTGCGATCTTATTCCCTGCCAGCCAGGCATGCAGGGACATCGTACAGTCACACATCGTGCGTCAGATAATAATGTCACATTGCGTGCACAGAGGCAGTTTTGTGCTTGAAACGGAAGCACATTTGATTGAATAACAAGGTTTCCAAGGATGGTGACGGAAAAAACGGAAATCTATCTGGAAATAGTGTTAGCTTGACGACGTCAGCGTGACGGCGTTAGCATGATACGAGGTCGAACCACGTCAAGGTGGAAGACGTATCGGGAAAAGACGACTCAGGATTCGTTGGCCGTAGATTATATATTTGGAACTTTCAGCGTTCGATTGAATCATCTGGGTCAAAATGCAACGCAATAATGGGGTTTCTTTTCTGAACTGAGAATTAACAGGAAAAAAACGTCGAATCTACGGAAAGCAGACTGCTCTGGTAATATAGAAAATAGGCCCATGGCGAAATCAGTTTCCGTAGACTATAGCACACAAAACTTCAAGGCTCCTTAAAAATCGGCTATTATGCGATATGGTAGAAAGCCACAAGTTTCTCGCAATGGTGGCGCACCTCTCAAGTCGATCTCTCGTTCTCGCACCGCGTTGAAATACTGCGGCGATTCGAGGATCAGATCAGCGGTTAAACGGACCATGATGGCGCGACCTGGCGAATGCTAACGGAATCCGTGTGTCGGAAAGGCGTAAAGTTGCTAACACTAACGACTCACGCAGCGCGTGTAAAGTAGCGGATGAGCTACTACTCTCGAACAAATCGGCCGGTATAGACGTAAGTTCAAGGGGACATGGCAGATAAAGCGGTTCGAATTGAAGGGATAGCATGCTTGTTGCTGGCCGAGAGTTTTCGTCAGCTCACATGCAACGGTCTTGTATGGTGTGTTGCATTCCAAAGCAGTAACTACTTGGATTCGTTTATAACCTTGTCGAAAGCTACTGAACCGTGCTTTAAAAAACCAGCATCATTTACAACTCCGCTGTTAGCCTACCTACCCTCACTTGAAGTGCAACAAATCTGTTTACACTCTATCCCAGAATTGGCACGAGCTTGGAAACATGACGTGCCACGCTCTCGTGATTGTCCCACCACGCACTCTTTGCGCAAGCTTTCTGTGAGTAGTAGTCAGTTTCAGCAACATTTGCTCATTATCAGCCGTGAGTCACACACAAAGCGAACTATTCTTTCGCCTTTTACTAAAGAATACCGTGTGTGTTTCCCATCAAGCGGCATATTCCAATCTTTGGAGTGCCTTTTCGGAGGCACCACAAACGAATTTTGAACTGGGATTGGGTTGTTGACGAGGAGAGAACAGGAAATGTAACCTCGTGAAAATGAAATCTGGAATTCCACACCACTGTCCAAAACCCTGTGAGTCCTCATTCGAACGCACATACACCTAGCCCGCGGTAAATTCACCGCGTGAACGTTTTTCTTCGAGGCACCCTTTGTGCGTTTTCGGGTAATTCGAAGGGCACCCTGAGACTCCGAGGCTAACAGTATAGAGCTCGGATGCATTTCAGTATTTAAAACTGGCACTTAGTGACCCGAGATAAGGGCGGGATTGGCATTTGCAAAGTTTCTACATTCCTGCATCTGGCGAGGGAATGCGTGATTCTACCCTCTCCGAATCCAAACTACCTTCGTAAACTAACTTTACCGCGGGAAAGTACACCTGGGTGGCGAAGATACCGCCGGTGAATTTACCGCGGAATAGGTGTATTCCCCCCCCAGTTTCTGAACCGATGATAACGGCCATCCGCAACTCGAGAGAGGTTTGCTGTACGACGATGGTATTGTGTTGAGCAGGAAACAATCCAGTAAATTCTAGTCGAAAAACTTCCAGACCAGTCATATTGTGTGAGAGTTCCGGACCCGATTTAGTCCCGATTTGTTATTGCCACAAGTCCACCTCGTCGCCATGGCGTCAAGATCGGCTTCTGATTCGCTGCCCGTTCCGCGCACTCTGCTCCCGCGAATCCACACGGACTCCGTGTTATGTTGCCACGTGGATTCCTCAGATTGCCTCCTCGCGACTGGCAGCGAGGTGATGCTCTTCGAGACTCCCACGCCCACTTCGCCTAGCATAGTGATGAACTCATGTCGCAAATACGATTTGTCTCGCTTTGGACGCTAGCGGAACGGAATCGCGTTACTAGGGTTTGTGACACCGGTCAAGTCAACCTCACGTGGCCGTCGATCGTCAGTTGTGGAGCCGTTAGCTCGTTCAGTTCTCGACAATGCCTGTAATTTTCTTGACGCGGATGTGTTGACATCATGCATGATATCATCAGCTCATGCATGGCCGGTTCTCATCACATACCCATGATGCACCCATGATGAACCCATGATGCACCCATGATGCACCCATGATGCACCCATCGTACACGCATGCCTGCCTGCACTCAAGCGAGGTTCTCGTGAGAAGCCAGCGACGTGTCGTATGAGTCCAATCCCAAGGCTATTCTGTGTGCGCTTATCCCTGCATCCCTGCACGAGCACGTCTCTGCAAGCCTCAATGCATTCACCGCCATTCAGGATGGCAGCATGGCAGTGTGTGTGTGATCTACGCTCCCAACCGGGGTGACTTCTGAGACTACTGACAACTCATAGCGTGCTCATCCCCATCCCCGCATTCCTGCACGCGCCCGTGCATTGCACGAGCCCATGCATTCACCCTCATTCAGGATGGCAGCATGGCAATCTGTGACCTGCGCTCCCCAGCGCAAACCCCTCCCATCCACCTCACCTGCTTCGGCGGAGCCTCGGTGCCGAGCCTGCTCTTCCTCCCAGGCACGTTTCTCTCCTTGTACACCTAATTTGTTGCTCCGTATGCACTCAATATTCTATAATCTCTATACATTTGCGCCCAGTATGTTTTTCCTTTCTATATTCATTACATTGCTCCATATGCACCCAATAATGTTCGCTTACCACGTACGTAGTGTTGTCATGAACACATTAAGAAACTAATTCTCGAAAACACCTGCTTTCGTTTTCCCTGCTCAACTCTCTCCTTCTCCCCTTTTTTCCTCTTCCCGTATCGCCCTTCCCAAACCCACTTCGCTCGCCTGCTTCCCTCATCAGGTCAAGAGCATGTGCTGGCAGCTACTGCTGGGAGCTAAAGCTTCTCCTCACCGCTCCTCCCCCCCCCTCCACTCCCTGCCTTCCCATTCCCTTGTCTCCCCATCTTCCCATCAGGTCAAGAGCATGTGCTGGCAGCTGCTGCTGGGAGCTCTGTTTTCCTTGTAGACAGGCGAAAGGTGGGAAGAGAAGGGGGTGTGGGGACGTGCGCGTGAGAGCTTTTTTGATAGCTGCAGCTGGGAGCTCTGTTTTCCTTGTAGACAGGCGAAAGGTGGGAAGAGAAGGGGGTGTGGGGACGTGCGCGTGAGAGCTTTTTTGATAGCTGCAGCTGGGAGCTCTGTTTTCCTTGTAGACAGGCGAAAGGTGGGAAGAGAAGGGGGTGTGGGGACGTGCGCGTGAGAGCTTTTTTGATAGCTGCAGCTGGGAGCTCTGTTTTCCTTGTAGACAGGCGAAAGGTGGGAAGAGAAGGGGGTGTGGGGACGTGCGCGTGAGAGCTTTTTTGATAGCTGCAGCTGGGAGCTCTGTTTTCCTTGTAGACAGGCGAAAGGTGGGAAGAGAAGGGGGTGTGGGGACGTGCGCGTGAGAGCTTTTTTGATAGCTGCAGCTGGGAGCTCTGTTTTCCTTGTAGACAGGCGAAAGGTGGGGAGAGAAGGGGGGTTGGGAAGGGGAGGGGGGATTGGGGAAATACGGCTGATAGGGGCCATGGCTGCAGAAAGATTGACTTTTGAGTCGACTCAAAAGTCATCGGGAGGGGGGATTGGAAAGATACGGCTGATAGGGGCCATGGCTGCAGAAAGATTGACTTTTGAGTCGACTCAAAAGTCACCGGGAGGGGGGATTGGGGAAATACGGCTGATAGGGGCCATGGCTGCAGACAGATTGAAACAGCAGCAGGGTAGGAGGAGGCAGGGAAGTGGGGAAGGGGGGACGAAAAGGGGGCTATACTGAGGTGGAAATCAATTGAAGGGGAAGGTTATGAATAGCAAGGTGGAATAGCAAGATGATATTCATCATCACCTCTTGCCGTGATGAGAAGCAATGGGAGTATTATCCGCATCCATCATGTTTCAGGTGTCTGATCATCGTTTTTGCAGGATTGCTGACGTGGCAGGGCATGCAGTTGGTATAGCATGGCATTCGATGCACTCAAGATTGAGTTTTGGGACGCCTTGAAAGTCCTGTGCGATTTCATGGCGAGTTGACTTTTGAGTCGACTCAAAAGAGTTTTGAGACGCCTTGAAAGTCCTGTGCGATTTCATGGCATGGTCTGGTATGGCGTGGCATGTGATGGGACGGGATGGGACAAGACGAGATGGGAGGGGTTGGGACGGGACGCGGATGGGATATAATGGGATGGAATGGGATGGGATGGGATGGGATGGCATGGCATGGCATGGCATGGCATGGCTTTGCATGGCATGAGGTGAGGCGTGTTGTTTGTCAGGCAGCAGGAGGATCGTCAGATGGATCAGAGGCCATAATCAGACGGCTGTCATTCAATGCTGATGAAATTAATGCTGTAAGTATTCTCTCTCTTGCACTCACACTCCCTTTTCCCTATCTGCTCCCTCCCTTCCCTCTCCTTCCTTCTCACGCTCCCCTCCTTCCACTGATTTTATATCCTGCGCTGCCCTACTCCATTCCTCCCTCCCCCCATCCCTGCCTACCCTTCCTCTACTATACACATCATATTTTTTTTCGAGAATTCTCAAAAATACCCTGCACATCATATTTTTTCCTGTATGTTGCTCCACTCGTCCCTTCAAACAAGCGCGCGCACACACACACACACACACACACACACACACACACACACACACACACACACATTATCAATCAAGTTTAACTCACTTTCTGCTCCCCTCTCAACCCCTTTCCACCGCACTCCACCAGCTGGCAGTGGACCGTAAGGGCGACTTCCTGGCAGCTGCAGATGATTCAGGGCAAGTCAAGGTGCGTGGAGCTAATTTAGGTAGAGGGGAAGGAAGGAGGTAGGTTGTTTGTTTGATCATAGCAAGGCAACATAGTCAAGCCAGAGTGTTTGTTCATCCCCTCCTTACACCCTGACTGACATACATCCTGACCACATCGCTATTCATCTTTTCCTCGCACCCTTCATGCTTTCACATCCTCTGCTGCCCAGCCCAATTTCCTCTTTCCTCTCTTCAGGTCATCAGCCTCATCAACCACACACCGCACCGCACTGAACCGTTTTCCATCCATGCCTTGCCCCTCTTCTCCCCCCTTGTCAGGTCATCAGCCTGATCAACCACTCGCTCCACCGAACCCTCCGGGGCGTTCACAGCTCGGGAAAGACTCTCGAGGGGCCAACCACTCCCTGCACCGCACTGAACCATTCTCTTTCCTGTGTCTTGCCTCCCTCTTTTCTCCCTTGTCAGGTCATCAACCTCATCAACCACTCATTGCACCGAACCCTCCGGGGCGTTCACAGCTCGGTAATTCATATAGCTCTAGCTTTCGCTCGCTGAAAGATTGTGTCGCATGAACGAGGTGGTTTGAGAGGGGATATGAAAAGTTGGTGGCACTCTCCCCCACGCATGCCAGATCTGCAGTCCTATGCTATGCTTTCCCTTGTGTTCGTGCATGCAACTCCATTCCATGTGCTGTGTTCCCCTGTATTTCCCTGTTCCTCCCACACCATGCGTGTCCCAACCCGTCCCATGCCAGATTTGCAGCTCTGTTCTGCTTTCCCTTCGCATGTGTTCATATACGCAACTCCATGTGTTGTGTTCCCACTTCCTACTATTCCTCCCACACCATGCGTGTCCCGTCCCATGCCAGATCTGCAGCTCTGTTCTGTTCCACCCCAAGCAACCATGGCAACGTGAGTTCAGATTCATCTTCTTGTCAAGCTCAGTATTTCCCATCCCATTTTCCTCATCTCCTCCTCTCCTCCTCCCCTCCTCTCCTCCTTTCCTCCTCTCCTCCTCCCGTCCTCTCCCCCTCTCCTCCTCTCCTCTTCTCCTCCTCTCCTCCTCTTCTCTCTTCCTCTTCCTCCCACCTCTCACACACTCTGCCTCGCACCATCTCTCCACTCCATCTATCTCCAGTCATTCCACTCCATCTATCTCCAGTCATTCCACTCCATCTATCTCCAGTCATTCCACTCCATCTATCTCCAGTCATTCCACTCCATCTATCTCCAGTCATTCCACTCCATCTATCTCCAGTCATTCCACTCCATCTATCTCCAGTCATTCCACTCCATCTATCTCCAGTCATTCCACTCCATCTATCTCCAGTCATTCCACTCCATCTATCTCCAGTCATTCCACTCCATCTATCTCCAGTCATTCCACTCCATCTATCTCCAGTCATTCCACTCCATCTATCTCCAGTCATTCCACTCCATCTATCTCCAGTCATTCCACTCCATCTATCTCCAGTCATTCCACTCCATCTATCTCCAGTCATTCCACTCCATCTATCTCCAGTCATTCCACTCCATCTATCTCCAGTCATTCCACTCCATCTATCTCCAGTCATTCCACTCCATCTATCTCCAGTCATTCCACTCCATCTATCTCCAGTCATTCCACTCCATCTATCTCCAGTCATTCCACTCCATCTATCTCCAGTCATTCCACTCCATCTATCTCCAGTCATTCCACTCCATCTATCTCCAGTCATTCCACTCCATCTATCTCCAGTCATTCCACTCCATCTATCTCCAGTCATTCCACTCCATCTATCTCCAGTCATTCCACTCCATCTATCTCCAGTCATTCCACTCCATCTATCTCCAGTCATTCCACTCCATCTATCTCCAGTCATTCCACTCCATCTATCTCCAGTCATTCCACTCCATCTATCTCCAGTCATTCCACTCCATCTATCTCCAGTCATTCCACTCCATCTATCTCCAGTCATTCCACTCCATCTATCTCCAGTCATTCCACTCCATCTATCTCCAGTCATTCCACTCCATCTATCTCCAGTCATTCCACTCCATCTATCTCCAGTCATTCCACTCCATCTATCTCCAGTCATTCCACTCCATCTATCTCCAGTCATTCCACTCCATCTATCTCCAGTCATTCCACTCCATCTATCTCCAGTCATTCCACTCCATCTATCTCCAGTCATTCCACTCCATCTATCTCCAGTCATTCCACTCCATCTATCTCCAGTCATTCCACTCCATCTATCTCCAGTCATTCCACTCCATCTATCTCCAGTCATTCCACTCCATCTATCTCCAGTCATTCCACTCCATCTATCTCCAGTCATTCCACTCCATCTATCTCCAGTCATTCCACTCCATCTATCTCCAGTCATTCCACTCCATCTATCTCCAGTCATTCCACTCCATCTATCTCCAGTCATTCCACTCCATCTATCTCCAGTCATTCCACTCCATCTATCTCCAGTCATTCCACTCCATCTATCTCCAGTCATTCCACTCCATCTATCTCCAGTCATTCCACTCCATCTATCTCCAGTCATTCCACTCCATCTATCTCCAGTCATTCCACTCCATCTATCTCCAGTCATTCCACTCCATCTATCTCCAGTCATTCCACTCCATCTATCTCCAGTCATTCCACTCCATCTATCTCCAGTCATTCCACTCCATCTATCTCCAGTCATTCCACTCCATCTATCTCCAGTCATTCCACTCCATCTATCTCCAGTCATTCCACTCCATCTATCTCCAGTCATTCCACTCCATCTATCTCCAGTCATTCCACTCCATCTATCTCCAGTCATTCCACTCCATCTATCTCCAGTCATTCCACTCCATCTATCTCCAGTCATTCCACTCCATCTATCTCCAGTCATTCCACTCCATCTATCTCCAGTCATTCCACTCCATCTATCTCCAGTCATTCCACTCCATCTATCTCCAGTCATTCCACTCCATCTATCTCCAGTCATTCCACTCCATCTATCTCCAGTCATTCCACTCCATCTATCTCCAGTCATTCCACTCCATCTATCTCCAGTCATTCCACTCCATCTATCTCCAGTCATTCCACTCCATCTATCTCCAGTCATTCCACTCCATCTATCTCCAGTCATTCCACTCCATCTATCTCCAGTCATTCCACTCCATCTATCTCCAGTCATTCCACTCCATCTATCTCCAGTCATTCCACTCCATCTATCTCCAGTCATTCCACTCCATCTATCTCCAGTCATTCCACTCCATCTATCTCCAGTCATTCCACTCCATCTATCTCCAGTCATTCCACTCCATCTATCTCCAGTCATTCCACTCCATCTATCTCCAGTCATTCCACTCCATCTATCTCCAGTCATTCCACTCCATCTATCTCCAGTCATTCCACTCCATCTATCTCCAGTCATTCCACTCCATCTATCTCCAGTCATTCCACTCCATCTATCTCCAGTCATTCCACTCCATCTATCTCCAGTCATTCCACTCCATCTATCTCCAGTCATTCCACTCCATCTATCTCCAGTCATTCCACTCCATCTATCTCCAGTCATTCCACTCCATCTATCTCCAGTCATTCCACTCCATCTATCTCCAGTCATTCCACTCCATCTATCTCCAGTCATTCCACTCCATCTATCTCCAGTCATTCCACTCCATCTATCTCCAGTCATTCCACTCCATCTATCTCCAGTCATTCCACTCCATCTATCTCCAGTCATTCCACTCCATCTATCTCCAGTCATTCCACTCCATCTATCTCCAGTCATTCCACTCCATCTATCTCCAGTCATTCCACTCCATCTATCTCCAGTCATTCCACTCCATCTATCTCCAGTCATTCCACTCCATCTATCTCCAGTCATTCCACTCCATCTATCTCCAGTCATTCCACTCCATCTATCTCCAGTCATTCCACTCCATCTATCTCCAGTCATTCCACTCCATCTATCTCCAGTCATTCCACTCCATCTATTTCCACTCATTCCACTCCATCTATCTCCAGTCATTCCACTCCATCTATCTCCAGTCATTCCACTCCATCTATCTCCAGTCATTCCACTCCATCTATCTCCAGTCATTCCACTCCATCTATCTCCAGTCATTCCACTCCATCTATCTCCAGTCATTCCACTCCATCTATCTCCAGTCATTCCACTCCATCTATCTCCAGTCATTCCACTCCATCTATCTCCAGTCATTCCACTCCATCTATCTCCAGTCATTCCACTCCATCTATCTCCAGTCATTCCACTCCATCTATCTCCAGTCATTCCACTCCATCTATCTCCAGTCATTCCACTCCATCTATCTCCAGTCATTCCACTCCATCTATCTCCAGTCATTCCACTCCATCTATCTCCAGTCATTCCACTCCATCTATCTCCAGTCATTCCACTCCATCTATCTCCAGTCATTCCACTCCATCTATCTCCAGTCATTCCACTCCATCTATCTCCAGTCATTCCACTCCATCTATCTCCAGTCATTCCTCTCAATCTATCTCCACTCATTCCTCTCCATCTATCTCCACTCATTCCTCTCCATCTATCTCCACTCATTCCTCTCCAGATTTCTCCCCTCCTCTCCTCCTCTCCCCCTCGCTTCCTCTCTTCCCCTCCCTCGTCCTTCCCAGTTCTTTTTTTTCCTTCCTCTCCTCTCCCCTTTTTCCCCTCTCCTCCTCTCCTCTTCCTCTCCTCCCCTCCCCTCCTTTTCTACCGCTCCTCCTCTCCTCTCCTCCCCTGCATTGTCGCTCCTGTGTTCTCCGCCGCTCTCGACTCTCACTGGGGCTACTGGAACGTTGCCTCTTGCCAGCCCCTTCGCTTGTTTATCTCCTCTCCATATGCACCAGGACCGTCGCCCTTCCCTTTCCTCACCTCCCTTCCTCTCCCCTCCACCTCCAGTGTTCTCAGCTGCTCTCGACTGTACCTGGGCCCAATGGGACTTCGCAACAGGTCGACCCCTCCGCGCAGTCAACCTGTCGGCAGATACCACCTCCCCCGATTCACCCTCCCCCAGTGCACCCTCCTCTTCCACCGCCTCCTCTTTTTCCTCTCGCATGTGCAATCCTCCCTTCATCCACTCTCTAGCTACGTTCCGCATTCCTCCTGTCAAGGCTTCTCCTAGTGCTACCGGTGCTGGTAGTAACATTGCTGTCGCTGCTGCAAGCAATACTTCTGATGGTGATTCTTGGAGGACATGTGGCGTGACGCTATTGGCCGTGGCACAGGGCGATGGCACTGTATCAGTGTGGGATGCTGATGCTGACGTGGATGGGGAGGGGGAGAGGAGGGCAGGAGGAGGAAGAGGTGGGCAGGAGGAGAGGAGGAGGAGGAGTGGTGGGAGAGGGAGAGGAAGAGGAAGAGGTAGGAGAGGAGGAGGAGGAAGGCAAGGAAGAGGGGGGAATGAACGACCTAGTGTTAGTAGCATTGCTGCTCTTCCTGCAACGATTGCAGAGGACTCAGAATTGGGTAACGAGGAAGCTTGTAATGGGGACACTTGCGCAACAGCAAGGGAAGAGGGGGAGGAAAGGCGGGGAAGGGAGGAGGAGGCGGAGGAGGGGAAGAGGAAGGGAGGACGGCTACTCGTGTTTGGAGGGCCCATGGCAGCAACAGCAGCAGGTGGTGCTACAGCAGCTGCTACAGCCAGTGATGGTGGGGAGAGTGTGGAAGGTGTGGCAGGTGGGGGAAGTGGGGGAGGAAGTGGGGGAGGAAGTGGGGGAGGAAGTGGGGGAAATGGTGAGAGAGGGGCAGGAGCAAGAGGGGAAGGAGCAAGAGGAGGAGGGATGAGCGGCCATTGCGCATCCGTCTCTGCTGTGTGAGTGTGTTCGGAACAGTTTTCCAGGTGACCCAAGAATCGACTCAATCAGGATGGGTGGTCATTGCGACTTTTGAGGCGCCTCAAAACTCAATCAGGATGGGTGGTCATCAGGATGCGTGGTCATTGCGCATGAGACTCTCTGCTGTGCGAGCGAGTGTGTTTGGAATATCAGCAGCAGAGTGAATTCCTTTCTCCTGCTTTTTACATCACATCAGCAGCTTTTCCGCATTGGCCCTGTTTCTGCCACTCTCACTGCGTCTCCCTCTGCCCGTCTATGCCTCTGGGGGTAACGACTTCTCCCTCCTGTGTGTTTTGAGACGTCTCAAAACCCGTCTCAAAACCCGCCTCAAAACCCGTCTCAAAACCCATCTCAAAACCAGTCTCCAAACTCGTCTCAATTTTTCAAGACGTCTCCAAACCCGCCGCTGCCTCTGTGGGAAACGACTTCTCCCTCCTGTGTGTTTCCTTGCTAGCTCTCATCCTCCCCCTGCCCCTCTTCTCTCCCCCACCCCACCAGCACCTTCTGTCGCTTTGCTCCCCCCACTACACCTCTCCTCGCCTCTGGGGGCAATGACCGACTCGTTCTTCTCTGGGATGTGGCACACGCACTCTCTCCCTCCTCCTCTGCCTGCTCGTCCCAAGATAGAGAGGGCAGCAGGGCGGAAAGTGGTGATAGTGAGTCTGACACCAGCGAGGATGAAGGGAGGAGAGCGGCAGGTGGGAGGAAACCGTTGGCGCCGGCCATTCGCATACAGCACGGGCGCAAGGTGAGGAGTAGAGGTGGGGCATGAGAGAAAGGGGTGGTGTTCGCTTTTGTCATCTGCATACAGCAAGGACGGAAGGTGAGAGATGGAGGAGGGGAGGAAGGGGAGGAAGAGGGGGAAGATTGCAAGGAGGGGAATGTTGGCACCTATCGTTCGCATACACCACGGGCAGAAGGTGAGGGCGAGAGGCGGGGGAGGGAAAGGTATATGGATGAAAGGCAGGTGTGCAAGACATTAAGAATTCTCAGTTCTTGGGGGGTTTGAGGAGATTGACCTGGAGAAGTATGCTGAGGAGGAGGACAGGACGTCTCGAGCTTCTTGCAGTACCATGTAGATGTCACCTCCAATTTTTTGGTTCCCAGTCATCTTCTTTGCATGTGTCGCGCGTTGCCATGCAAGAATGGAGGCGTTTTGCCATGGTTTTCGAATCTGTGAGCCTCTTTCTTTGGCACGTGGCAGGTGAATTTTCTTTCTACATCATTTGGGGTAGGTGGTCGAAAGCTCTTTGTTGCAGACACCTCCAAGAGGGTCTCTGCTTATGACATTCCTGTATAGTTTGGATTGGCTGTTTATGTGGTGCGAACAGATAATGCCCTCTCACCAGTGTGATTCCTTCCCATCAAATGTGTTGACCATGGCGTTCAGAGATTATTTTGACGCATTTGCGTTTGTTGTCAGCTTAACTTTTTCATGTTCCATTCACTGCTTACGAAAGAGCACCGCACACTACCGAACCAATTTTGGAGCCCAACGAAGACGAAGAATGACACGTCCACTTTCTCCACGTGGAAGATACCACCTTCATCAAGTGGCCACAGCCACAGCCTCCTAAGCCGATTAGGACAACATTTGCATCTGCGCCACACATTTGACAGAATAGATTGCGAGTCCTGACGAAGAAGGGATCAACGCCAGCACGATGGGAGATTCCACCTACGCAATCAACGGTGAGTCTCGAGCCTCTGTGTTTGCGTCAGACAGACCAATCCACGTGGCGACAAATTCGGGAGTTCGCCAACTTTCCGATGCCACGTCAGCTGGATCTTCCCGCTTTGGTCGAGGTTGTGGTGGGGGGAGACTCCAATGGTTGGTTCAGCCTGGTCGCGTAACGAAACATGCTTCAAACGAGTACGGTTGCGAGAGTCCCCCTAGGAGCTTAGGCAATCCTGCCTCGGACTTTCTAAGAGCAGCTCATTTTCTCCTACCTGTCAGCTGGAGTTCCTTATTCTGCTCGTGTTTGACTTTCGCACTAAATCAACACCGAGCAGAAAACTTAACTCCTGCTTCGGTCTCCAGCAACCATGGCTTCCCTCATCGCTAAGACCCCCGTCGCAGCGCAGACGGCGACGCTGAAGTCGTCGTTCCTGGGCTCCAAGCCACAGGCGAAGGCCGCGAACGCTGCGCTGCCGGTGAAGAAGTCCGACGCGCGCGTGGTGTGCATGGCTGGAGACCGTTGGGGTGCGCTGGGCCGCGATACCTCCGACGACCAGCAGGATATCACCCGCGGCTATGGCCTGGTCGACTCCGCCTTCCAGGTGAACAGCTGGGCGTCAGCTCTTTTCGATTTCAGCTCCTATTCGTGTTAGTTGCTTCTAGAAGACTGCTCCTGGATGTGAATGCAAGTAGGTGCTGCACTGGAGGAGGAGTTGAACGGACGCTGGCAGTGAAATGCAGGAACATGCTTTGTTAACCGTGTTTTTTTCTGCTCTTTTGTTTTCATTTTTTTATTTCTCATTTTTTAAGCCTATTGAGACTTGAAACTGTGTTGTACTCATCTTCATGACCCGACCTGCTGTTGTGGTGCTGCGTGCAGGGTGCTCAAGGCATTGGGACGCACAAGGCTGTCCTGTCGTCGTACGACTACGTCAGCCAAGGCCAAAGGAGGTAATTTGTTTCAGCGAACTGCAAAATATTCGTCCGAACTGTTAGTCCGTGACATCCTACTGTTGTTTGTGAGGCAAGCACTCGCATCTCACGACATGAGAAGTTTTATGGTGCTGTTCATGATATGCAATGCTTATTCTGAGGTGTCGCTGCATGAAGCGCTGCGTGGTGCAATGCTTAATCTTACATTTCATGACTTGTAATTTTGTGTCATGGCGTGCGCATTTCTTAATACCTATCTGTCATGGCATGGTGGTGCGTGCAGCCTGCAGTGGGACAACACCAAGGATGGCTACTACATCGCTCCCGCCTTCATGGACAAGGTCGTCGTGCATCTCGCCAAGAACTTCATGAAGCTGCCCAACATCAAGGTAAACATGCCTCTCCATGCCTTCTCGGCTTTCCGTCGAATGGCTTCATGCGTAGACTTGTTTTTCCCTGTTGGGACTTCATGAAGCTGTTCAACATCAAGGTAATCAGGCCTCTCCGTGCCTCCTTAGACCTCCTTATTGCTTCATGGGTGGAGATGTTTTACAGCCTGTTGGGACTTCATGAATCTGCCAGCATCATGGTACCCCTTATCTCTCTGCATAGGTACGCCGGCATAGCCGGAATCACGGTCACATAATGGCTGCCATGTACAGCGTTCGGGACCTGTTGATTCCTAACGAGAATGCCGATGGCAATGACGAAACATCACGATGGCAATGCCGCGTGGTCTCATGAACGTCTCCCTCTCGTTTTGCTTGCAGGTGCCGCTCATTCTGGGAGTGTGGGGAGGCAAGGGGCAGGGCAAGACGTTCCAAATGGAGCTCATCTTCGCCAAGCTCGGCATCAAGTGCGTCGCTCGCCCGCCCTTCCTCTTCGTCGCTCGCCCTTCCTTTTCGCCGCTCATCCTCCCACCCTTTTCATCGCTCGCCCTTTTTTTTTCGTCGCGCGCCTGTTCCTCGTCCTCTTCGCCGGTGGCTAGTCGTTTCCAGTAACCACCCACCAACAAGAAGTGGCGGAAATGTCTTACTTAAATCCACCTCCTCACAAGTCACGGAGCGATTCTCCGAATTCCGACAAGCAATCCGTTATCGCCGTCTCTAATATGCCAATCCGTTCCTCCCTCCCGCGTCTCACCAACCTAACCACCCCTTCATCCCCCCTCCCGCTCCCCCCAGCCCGATCATGATGTCCGCGGGAGAGCTGGAGTCCGGCAACGCCGGCGAGTCGGCGGCGCTGATCCGGCAGCGGTACCGCGAGGCGTCGGACGTGATCAAGAAGGGCAAGATGTGCTGCCTCTTCATCAACGACCTCGACGCGGGCGCGGGGCGCATGGGATGGGATTCACTCCGTCCCTCCCCATTTCCTCATCCGTCTCCTTCCCTCTCTCCGCGTCTCCCCATCCCCTTCCTCTTCCGCCCCTTCCCCCTTCCCCCTCCCCCCTCCCCCCCCCCCCCCCCCTCCCCGCAGCCCGATTATGATGTCCGCGGGAGAACTTGAGTCCGGAAACGCTGGAGAGCCCGCCGCGCTGATTCGGCAGCGGTACCGCGAGGCGTCGGACGTGATCAAGAAGGGCAAGATGTGCTGTCTCTTCATCAACGACCTCGACGCGGGCGCGGGGCGCATGGGCGGCACGACGCAGTACACCGTCAACAACCAGATGGTCAACGCCACGCTCATGAACATCGCCGATAACCCCACCAACGTGCAGCTCCCCGGCATGTGAGTGGAAGCAGTTGGTTGAATCTGAATGGGATGTCATGACGTGGGGAATGTTGGGAAAGGGGGGTGGGCGTGCCTGATTGATTGACTGACGGACGTGCTTCGAAGGACCTACCTTTGAGGCTTTGCGCTGACTCATTCGTTTCTCCCCCGTGTGCTGACTGGAAAGCTCCCCTGACCCCTTTTCTTCTCTGAAATTTTGTCAGCTTTGTTTCCCCTGTGCATGACGCTCTGGTGGTTCTCCCCAGTAAATACGTTTTCTGAGGCTTCTCCAAAAGCCATCACATCTCATCCAACCCATGAATACAGCTGACTTTTGAGTTGACTCATAAATAATTGCCATTGTTTCTTCCCTTTCCTTCCCCCTTCTCCCCCTCCCTTCCCCCCCCCCCCCCCCCCAATTCTTCTTTGTCTTTTACCCTTGACCCCGCAGGTACAACAAGGACGAGATCCCGCGCGTGCCCATCATTGTGACGGGCAACGACTTCTCCACGCTGTACGCGCCGCTCATCCGCGACGGGCGCATGGAGAAGTTCTACTGGGCGCCCACGCGCGAGGACCGCATTGGCGTCGCGCAGGGCATCTTCCGTCTCGATGGCGTCCCTGAGCAGGACGTTGTCACGCTCGTTGACACCTTCCCTGGCCAGTCCATTGGTGCGTACGCGTGCGTGCTTGCATTGTGGGGACTGTGAGGTGCTGTGCGGACATGCATGTGCGCGAGGACCGCATGGCGTGGCGCAGGGCATATTCCGCCTCGACGGTGTGCCCAAGCAGGACGTCGTCATGCTTGTTGACACCTTCCCGGGCCAGTCTATTGGTACGCGCGTGCTTGCATTGTGAGGACTGAGGACTGTGAGGAGGACTGTGAGGTGCTGTGCGGGCATGCATGTGCGGGCATGCATGTGCGGGCATGCATGTGCGGGAGAGTCCACTGCATTGGTGTGGTGCAGGGTATCTTCCGCCTCGATGGCGTACACTGGCAGGACGTTGTTACCCTTGTCGACACCTTCCGCGGCCAGTCCATTGGTACGCTGATGGTACCTAATGCCTATCTCAGCGAATTAACCTGCATTGTCTGTCGTGGCATGGGGTGTCCATTGATGGTGCGCCCAGCTCGGCATGTCAAGATCTCAGCCCTCTTTCCACCACACAACTCACCTCCTGCACCCCTTTCCACCGCTTTCCACCACTTTCCGCCCCTCTCCACCACTTTCCGCCCCTCTCCACCACTTTCCGCCCCTCTCCACCACGTCCCGCCTCTCTCCACCACTTCCCGCCCCTCTCCACCACTTCCCGCCTTTCTCCACCACTTCCCGCCCTTCTCCACCACTTCCCGCCCTTCTCCACCACTTCCCGCCCTTCTCCACCACTTCCCGCCCTTCTCCACCACTTCCCGCCCTTCTCCACCACTTCCCGCCCTTCTCCACCACTTCCTGCCCTTCTCCACCACTTCCTGCCCCTCTCCACCACTTCCTGCCCCTCTCCACCACTTCCTGCCTCTCTCCACCACTTCCCGCCTCTCTTCACCACTTCCCGCCTCTCTCCACCACTTCCCGCCTCTCTCCACCACTTCCTGCCCCTCTCCACCACTTCCTGCCCCTCTTCACCTCTTCCCACCCCCCTCCACCACTCTCACTTGCAGATTTCTTTGGTACCCTGCGTGCCCGCACATACGATGACGAGGTGCGCAAGTGGGTGGGCAAGATCGGCGTGGAGCAGGTCTCAAAGCACCTGGTCACCACATGGCTCACCTCCTTCCACCTCTTTCCACCTCTTCCCGCCCCTCTCCACCGTCAGATTTCTTCGGTGCTCTCCGCGCGCGTGTGTACGACGACGAGGTCCGCAAGTGGGTGGGCAAGATCGGTGTGGAGCAGGTGTCAAAGCACCTGGTGAACTCGCGGACGGGCCCGCCCAAGTTTGACCAGCCGAACATGAATCTGGAGACGCTGCTGGCGTACGGCAACATGCTGGTGAAGGAGCAGGAGAACGTCAAGCGCGTGCAGCTCGCCGACACCTACCTTGCGTCCGCTGCCCTTGGCGACGCCAACCGTGACCAGCTGGAGCAGGGAACCTTCTTCGAAGGTGCGTCTGCTCTGTCTACAATGGGGGAGGGGGATGGTTTTTTCTCTTTATTTTTCGACTGTTTCTTCTCCCTGCAGCCGCGAGACCCCTAAAAGCGCAAGCTGGTAGTGGTACTGCTGAAGCAGTGAAGTTGTCACATCTGGCTGTGACATGGGGTTTGCCAAGGATTTGATGCACATAAGCCTATGGCTGCCGCTTCCTCCCCTGAAACCCATCCACTCCACCCCCGTCCATGCGTACTTCAATTTTGCAGATTCCTCACCTCACCCTATTTCTATGCCTCTTCCCACAGGTGGCTATGCCCAACACGTGGGAGTGCCGGCTGCTCTGATCCTACACATGCTCCAGTTCCAGTGTGGACTTCACTCCAACGTTATTTCCCTTATCAATCCCTCTTGTTTCTCTTCCCACAGGTGGCTATGCCCAACAAGTGGGAGTGCCGGTGCCCTCGGGCTGCTCTGATCCCAATGCTGTCAACTACGACCCCACCGCCCGCAGCGACGACGGCAGCTGTGTCTACGACTTTGCCCAATAAACGTCTGGTGTGGCATGAAACGAAGGGGATTGAGTTGGGATTTGGGAACTTGTGATGTGAAACTACTGTATGTCTGTCATGTTGGTTTTCTTCTCGTTATATATCCTTCATGGTAGTAGTTTGATTGTTTCGGTAGATTAGTTTGACATATCTAAGAGGAGCACCTGGCTGAGCATTGTGATCTACTTATGGTTACAACCTACATTCTAAACCTGCTAGTAACACGTGACCGTCCTACCATACCGGTACATAGTGGCTGGTGGTGGCATTGCGAGAAGTGAAGAATAATTCATAGACAACTCTTGGCAAGGTCAAGTTTCACCCACATGGATATACAAGCCATGGAACAGGCACATCCCTGTCAACCTCCAGGCAACCCCTCAATGTTTTTTATCCACTAATTTCAATCATTGCATTATATCATTTAGAGTACACCAGGCTCTCATGAATGAAGCTGATCTCAGTACAGCACTCTGGGTGCTGAGCATTCTGCTCCACATGGAAAATCCGGTACCCCATCTTTTCTAGATGGTACACCATGAACAGTGTCTTGCTGGGATTGCCCACACTGCCAAGATTAAGGAAAAGCACAGTCGAGAAAGGGAGGGGGTTGTGAGGGGGGGGGGGGGGGCTGGGTTGGGGGAGCGGAAGAACATGCGATACCCTGTCATTTCCAAATGATACACCATGAGCAGTGTCTTGCTGGGATTGCCCACACTGCCAAGACCAAGAAGATGCAGAGCACAGGAAGAGAGGGGTTGTGAGTGGGAGGCTGGGGCTTGGGGGAGAGGCGAGGGAGCTTGGGGGAGAGGCGAGGGAGCTTGGGGGAGAGGCGAGAATATCTGGTACCCGATCTGTTCCAAAAAGTACACCATCTATTCCAAAAGGTACACCATGAACAGTGTCTTTCCTCCTCAGCCAATGAGCCACTGAGCCAATGAGCCAATGAGCCAATGAGCCACTGAGCCAATGAGCCACTGAGCCAATGAGCCAATGAGCCACTGAGCCACTGAGCCACTGAGCCAATGAGCCACTGAGCCACTGAGCCACTGAGCCACTGAGCCACCCAGCAGTGCAGAGCAGAAACACTCACTCGTGGAACTCGAGGCTCAGCTCAGCTGCTTGATAGGGGGGCTCCCAAGGGGCACTTTTGAGACCTCTCAAAACAACTCCCAAGGGGCAGATGCACATCACAAGGCTGTCGTTGAGACAAGGGGCGTGTGGCCTCTTCCACTCCTCCACTCATCCACTCTTCCACTCCTCCACTCATCCACTCTTCCACTCATCCACTCATCCATTCATCCGATGAACCACTCAGTCACCAACCAACCAGTGCTAAGCTGAAGCACTCACTCATGGAACTCCATGATCACCTGGCCGATGGGCGGCGTCCCTAGCGGCAAGGGGCGCGTGCCCTCTGGCATGCCAACAGCCGGCAGAACGTCAAACAGCACCACCGCCTCACAGCCCTGGCATGCTCTCGCCTATGCCTCCTCTCCTCGCCTCTCAGCCAATCGACCGCCCACCAGGGCAATGCAATGCGAGCACTCACTCGTGGAACTCAATGATCAGCTGTCCTATGGGAGGCGATCCTAATGGCAAAGGGCGAGTGCCCTCTGGCACGCCAACAGCAGGCAGAATGTCAAACAGCACCACCGCCTCGCAGCCCTCGCAGTCGATCTTGAACACGTCTATATGCGTGTGGTTGTGCTTTCGCATGACCTGAGGGAAGGGGGAGTGAGGAGGGGGGAAGGGGAGTGAGGAGGGGGGAAGGGGAGTGAGGAGGGGGGAAGGGGAGTGAGGAGGGGGGAAGGGTGAGGTAGTGCAGAGAAGGCAGAAGCAAATTAAAATGTCAAACAGCACCACCGCCTAGCAGCCCTCGCAGTCGATCTTGAACACGTCTATATGCGTGTGGTTGTGCTTTGCCATTACCTTGGGGGGACAGAGCGGGGAGAGAGAGAGAGAGGGGGGAAGGAGGGCACCCGCGGTGAGAATGCAACCAAAGGGCGAGGGTGGGCGGCACGGGAGGCAGCAGATAAGAGACACGGCCTTTACAAGGACCGCCCAGAGTGGGTGAAGTTTTTCTCACTCGCGGTCGAGACATACGGGTACCCATGCCCCGAGACAGTAGTCTTCCTAAAGCTGCTCGCTGAGACGGCTGCACGGCGGTCTTTTAACGCCGAGCCATCCTCCTACCAAGCTGCCAAACTCTTACATCATTTCCGGCAGCGGTGGTCGGTGGCCCTACAAAGAGGGCAGTCGATTGGATATCTTGAAAAATGCAGCATAGCGGCAGCGGTAGAAAACCCGCTACTAGAGCGGGTGGGCGAGGCCCCGTCCCTTGGGAACTACCTCTCGGTGCTTGATCCTGCACTGGATCTCGCTTAGAGGGCGCGGAACCGACGAGTGGGTAGGACGGGGATTATGCACTAGCTCTACAAACACAGATGCCCATACCTTGCATGCCTGTACACTTGGACATTCAATGAAAGGGCCCTTTGAGAGAGGGGTGGGGGGAAGGAGGGGAGGGGTAGTGGTGGAGAGCAAGGCAGCAGCCAGCTGAATGTCAAACAGAACCACGTAGGTGATTTTTGAGGCGCCTAAAAAATCACCTCAATGCAGGAGGGGAGGGGTGGTGGTGGAGAGCAAGTCCTGAATGTCAAGGCAGCAGCCAGCTGGATGTCAAACAGAACCACCACCTCACACTTCTTGCAGTCGATCTTGCCATCACCTGAGGGGATGAGGCAAGGGGGGAGAGGGGCGGGGAGGGGGGGAGGGAGAGAGGGGCGGGGAGGGGGGAGTAATAGAGAGAAGGCAGGCGTGGGGCAGGACTAAACGATTCACCTCACCTGCTCTAGCTGACTTTTGAGTCGACTCAAAAGTCTAGAGTCATGAACGCTTTCCCCTTGGTCTCCTCCTTCCACTGCTCCCCTTCAACCCCCTACGTTGCGTAACCCAACGTAGGGCCGCAAAGGCTCTTTTTTTTTTTTTTAGGCGACTCACAAATAAACCAACTCACCTGTTCTAGAGTCATGAACGCTTTCCCCTTGGTCTCCCGCTTCCACTGCTCCACCGTTGATTTCGCCGCCAATCCGACGGCCTCAAACGACAGGAAGGGAAGGCGCATCATGGTGTGCTCCATCGCAGGATCAAGAAACGGGTCGAAGGTGAAGGGGCATGTGTGCAGGCGAGCAGCAATGTCCCTCTCAAATGTGTACTCCCCATTAGACCCTATGCTGGTGAGTTGGAATGGGGTGAATCAGGAAGAATGTGGGGGAGAGGGCTGGAGTGTCAGTGGGGCAAGCACAGGAAGGGCAGACGCATCATGGTGTGCTCCATCGCAGGGTCTAGAAACGGATCGAATGTGAAGGGGCGTGTGTTCCATCATTTCCCACCACCACCAGCATGGTGTGTGTGTTCCATCATTTCCCACCACCACCAGCATGGTGTGTGTGTTCCATCATTTCCCACCACCACCAGCATGGTGTGTGTGTTGCATCATTTCCCACCACCACCAGCATGGTGTGTGTGTTGCATCATTTCCCACCACCACCAGCATGGTGTGTGTGTTCCATCATTTCCCACCACCACCAGCATGGTGTGTGTGTTCCATCATTTCCCACCACCACCAGCATGGTGTGTGTGTTGCATCATTTCCCACCACCACCAGCATGGTGTGTGTGTTCCATCATTTCCCACCACCACCAGCATGGTGTGTGTGTTCCATCATTTCCCACCACCACCAGCATGGTATATGGAAATCACTTTTGAGAATTCTCAAGAGGGGGAAGGTTGTGTTGTGCAGCAGAGCAGTAGTGCAGTGGAAGCGAGAGTTTCTGCTCCGAACGGGTTAAGGCTGAACAGGTTGAGGGGGACTACGTAAAAAAATGCTGGTCATACCTGTAGACGATTGGTTTTTCCGGCATGAAAGACTTCATATTGCATATCCACTGCTCAGAGAGAGAGTGGAGAACACAGGAGGGAGGGTGAAAGGAGGCAGAGGAAGAAGAAAAGGAGAGGACTTGTGAGGCAGTTCTGGCATGAAAGACTTCATGTTGCATATCCATTGTGCACGGGGTAGGCACGTCCTGTGATCACATAGCCACAAGGTACAAGCCCTGCTCCTCCTCCTCCTCCTCCTCCTCCTCACCTTTCATCCGTCCGCCCAGATGCCCAGGCGTTCCTCCATGGGGCAGGGGTAGACCGCCGCCAGCACACTCTCCAGCTGTCTCGCATTCTTCCTGCTACCATCCCAAACCACTTGCCTTATCGAACCCAAGGCCTCACGAACCCAAGGCCTCACGAACCCAAGGCCTCACGAACCCAAGGCTTCATGAACCCAAGGCCTCACGAACCCAAGGCTTCATGAACCCAAGGCCTCACGAACCCAAGGCTTCATGAACCCAAGGCCTCACGAACCTGAACCACTGCAACCCCTCACCTTCCCTCCGTCCGCCCAGACGCCCAGGCGTTCCTCCATGGGGCAGGGATAGACCGCCGCCATCACACTCTCCAGCTCCCAACAATCATCCTATGCCCACTACATACCGTATTCCTCAACCTACATACCTTCCCTCCGTCCGCCCAGATGCCCAGGCGCTCCTCCATGGGGCAGGGGTAGGTTGCCATGCCACCATCACACTCTCCAGCTCCCAACAATCATCCTATGCCCACTACATACCGTATTCCTCAACCTACGTACCTTCCCTCCGTCCGCCCAGATGTCCAAGCGCTTCTCCATGGGGCAGGGGTAGGTTGCCATGACACCATCACACTCTCCAGCTCCTGCTGCATCTCATGCCCCCTACCAGCTGACAAACGCCGAAGCCCCTGAACCACTCAAACTCTAGCTTCGTGTGTTTTGAGTCGACTCAAATCGCATCTCATGCCCCCTACCAGCTGACCAACGCCGAAGCCCCTGAACCCCTCAAACTCTAGCTTCCAACCTTCACTTCCGCCGCCGCCAGCACACTCGCCAGCTCCACTTCCACCTCTCTCCACCTCCCTGCACCCCTCACTCCCATGGAGCAGGCAGATAGGCACGGCACGGCCTGCTATGCAACCGCAAACTTTCCAGGCGCGCACACTCACCTTTCCCCCGTCCGCCCAGATCCCTAGGCGCTCCTCCATGGGGCAGGGATAGGCCGCCGCCAGCACACTCTCCAGCTCCTGCCGCATCTCCAGATCCAACGGCTGAGATCGCCCGCCGAAGAACTCTGATCTACGGCGCATGTTGTCCTGGAGGTTGGAAAGGTGGGGGGAGAGGGGGGAGGGGTTGGGTGGGGGAGGAGGAAGGGGGGGTGTATGGGTGTGGCGGGAGGAGGGGGGAGGGAGGCGGAAAGTTTGTGTGTGTGTGTGTGTGTGTGTGTGTGTGTGTGTGTGTGTGTGTGTGTGTGTGTGTGTGTGTGTGTGTGTGTGTGTGTGTGTGTGTTGGCGAAATGGAAGCGAGGGGGGGGCTGCGGTTGGGGGGGTGGGGGGTTTGTGGGTCGACCGGGTGCGACCAGGATATAAAATTCTAACTTGCGGATTGAAGGGTTTTTTCTTACCTGATAAACAGTTTCGGCATGTTCCCAACCTAGGCCACAGCTTCGGCGATCCCCGTACCTGGTACGCGGTCTCTGCATGTAGCAGCATCTCTCGCTCCACCCACAAGTCCACTTTAAACTCCCCCCCTCCCCCCACGCCGCCATTCACGCCGCGATTCACGCCGCCAATCACGCCGCCACTCCCCAACGCTCCTCCACGGCGACTAATTCCATTGCCGGCGATCGAGTCGCGACTGGGAATGCTACCGCCTCTTAAAGCCAGCAGCGATGCGAGGCAGATAATCATGACGCAGGCACCCGCTAAAAGCGCCGGGAGAACCGGACGAAGCCACACGAAGATACGGAACGACGCGAAGGCGTTAAGGAGGGAGAGCAGCGCGCGGCCCGCATTTGTGAAAGAAGAAACGAACGAGCGGTCTTCGGGAACCCATCGCGATTCGAGCGCTCGAAGCGCGTCGACTATGTGGTACGGGTCGGGATAGGGACGCGGCTCGGACTCAGGGGGTGGGCTGTTGGCCGGCATTGCTGGTTTAGGGATGTCTCAAACCAGCGTTGCTGCTTCAACTCTATTTTGTAGGAGCGATGTTTGAACAATAATAGTTGTTCCTGTCAATTCTACAGTCTGAGCCCAGACCTTCAGCCTGGATCAGCATTCAATTTAAACTCAAAGAATGGGTGGGGTCCCCTTGGCCACTCTATCGCGAGCCGCGGACAAAAAGGCTGAATCCACTATGTTCAGGGCGCCATGGTGAAAACTTGCGTGTCAGCTCTACGGCTGGCTACTTGTTCCTGCCACCTACCATTCCTGATTTCACGCACGAGCGCTACTCCATTACGAACACACAACACACAAAAAAAAGAAGCGTGAAATCGCGACCCTGTTGAAAGTAGTACCGAGTGCCGCCATTTACGGAGAACCAATCACGGAGATCATTAGGAAATGAGGAGGTGCTGTACAGTACAGTATCAGGTGGGCGCCGCTGCTGCTGGTGCCTGTGGTTCCACATGGGATGATGGGATCAGTGTACTAAAGCTTGCGAGTTATTAGCTATACGCGTTGTGGTGTGGTTGTCTTTTCCGTGAATTAAGGTTGACTGCAAATCTACATATCGAAAACATATGGAAATTCTGTTGTCTTATCCTCCACACTAATTCTTAGTACGGTAGTTCCACTCTTTTCTGCGTGATTTCAGTATACAAAAGCATTTTCATATTAAGTCCCAGAAACTGGCTTCACGCTTTTGAAAGAGGAAAAGGGAAAGAGGGAGAAGGAAAAGGGAAAGAAAGACACCAGAAACAACTCAAACGCAACACCCATAAAAAGCCCCATAAAAATACTCCATAAAGAAAAAACCCAACCAGGATCCCCTACCAGACGTCCCATCTCGCACCCCATTCCCCCCCCCCCCCTCCCCCCCAAGTCACATCTGCACATCCACCATGTAGGGGGCCTCCACCCAAAGAGGCCCGCCCTCCACCTCGACATCGTCCCTCTCCCGATCCACCAAGTCCACATTCAACCCCCCCATGGAAGACGCCGCCCGAAGCAGGATGACACGAGCTTGCGCCCGTTGTAACGCCACTCCGATGAGCGCCTTCAGAGACCCCAAAAGGTAAGCCGAGAACGAAGTGTCATCCTCCCGACAAGCCCCCCGTGACACAGCTAGCCCCACGTGCGCGTCCCCCTGCTGTCGAAGCCACCGCCGGAAGCGACCGCCGAGACACCCCCACGTCTCCACTATCAAAGGGGTGAACTGCACGCCTCGGTTCCGTGCAAGAAGAGGCGCGTAATCCCCCGTTTTGCGACGCTCCCACTCCTTTGCCGCCACGCCTATAGACCGCCCGCACTGCCCTAGCAGAGATGGAGACAGTGATAGCGGGTCCGCGACACTAATCTCTAAAGCATGAGCCTCCCCAGCCATTGGTCGTCGCACCGCTACGTCAACCCGCTTCCCCGGCAGCACCGCACTATCCTCCATCGTCACCACCCCCCCTGACGCCTTAGCGATCTTTGCCACCGCAAACTTCACCTCATCATGCACCCGAGATGGACCGTGTTGGTGCTTGCATCTCAGCGCATGATGCGGGTCTGCTGGGTCATCATACGCTGTGCCACAAACACACTTCCCCGCCACTTGCAGCTGCTGGATTGGGAGACCAAGCCGTATAGCAGCAGCAATGCCCCACTCCGCTGCAGTGAATGTGAGATCTGAATGAGCCGGAACTGCCGAAACTCTTGGTCGAAAGGATTGACTTCAAAATCAAGCGAATGTAGACACATGGTGAGTTGGAAACTCTCGGGTATTTCTTATTTCTAGGCCAATAGTCGTAATTGGGGGAGTGTAACGTCCTACATACCGTATTGCACAGAATGTGTCGCTCGTATGCCTGGATGATGAAACGTATCATAGAAGTTATCGAGTCAAACTGTGGAGAGCTTGTGCTCCCGCAGCTGCCAAGCCGCACCAAAATCTGCCACGGAAAGATCTCCAAACCTGACGCCACTGGTTGGCCACGTTAGCGAGAGCGGCTTGGCGGGCGACGATGAGACCTGTTTCTTACGCCACGTCGTGCAAGCAATCTGAAATATCGTTACACAACAAAAAGGTATTGTGCTTCGCCGATAAGCTGTGGCATGCATTCTTATCGCTGATTGGCTTGCTCTTTTTGGTCGGTCGACTGCGTCAGTCAACTCACTCCTGGGCGATGGCGCTTCGATGGTGAAAGGCGGCTGCCCTGTCAGTTGCCTTTTCGAGTGTTTCGCACACTCCCAAGCGAGCTTCGCACACCATCTCAACGAGCTGCCCTCCAGCATGGATAAACCCAGGTGGAACCATCTGGTAGGGGGCGAGAAACCAGGAGACACCGCTGCTGTTGTTCGAGACCATGAGGTGAGGGGGATTCTGTTGTGGACAAAGGGGAAGAACACTGGAATTGCCTGTTTCCTTTCAGTAATTCTCAGCGCTGTCTAGTAGGTAAATATTTTGCTGATACGTGCACCCGCTTTACAATATCCTCCGTTGAATATTCCCGCCGCTGTCGTATGCACTCCAGCAGGCGAAAGTCGTGATTAGCTTAGATATGGTGGTCTCCGACCTCTCGTCTGTCCATGTCCCAGACAAGAGCGCGCTCATGAGAGACGACGCTCCCTGTGATTGCGCTGGCTGTACAAGAGAAGGAGAGACGCCTGGCGGCCTTGTGGCGAAGGCTCTAGAGGTATTTAGTTCGCATTCATGTCTCTTGACTATCTCCGCCATGTTCGCGTCATTCCGGTCGTAACCAAGTTATCCCTCGTCAACTGTGCGCAGGTGAATGGCTTCCCGAAGGACCTTATGCCTGCTCATCACATACAACACTGTTACGGCGATGCGACTGGGCCCTTCCGTATATACCTGGACCAAATTGTTGAGAAGGAGATTTGCGGATACCCCATTCGCTTCGAAACCGAAATTAGCGGGACCATTGAGAATGGCTGGATCCGAAAGCTGCAGGTAAGAGGCGCCCCGCTGAAATGCCATGTTGTAAGGGTTTTATTCTCGAAACTGACAGGGTGTGGCCACTGGATGTATGTCTGTCCCAATGCAGGGTATTCGTGTAAGACCTTTGATCACGTGGAAGGCAGTAGATACGCTACAAACAGGGGCGTCCTGCTACGGAAGAGTTTATTTCTACGTGGGGTATTTATTCAGAAGCTTTTTAGCTTCGGAATTCAATGGGATTTGGTCTGTGGATGTCGAGGGGGATGATGGCGACAAGGAAGGATGCAGAGATGAGGAAGGGAGCCCTAAGATTGGAAGGTTCTAATACCGGTAATTAGAAGCTGAACAGTACGTGGCACGAGAATATTTCTAGCCTAGTTTGTCAATAACCTGGCTATGCATGTTCTCCTGCTACAAGTTATGTATATTCTAAACTTACAACTTGAAAAATCTTGCGGCATCAGTAACAAAAACAGACGAGCAGAATAAAGACTAAATCAAGTCGGCATACCACCTTCATCTTGCTAACGTCTCACTCCTCCATCCTCATTGTACTCCTCTCCAACTCCTTAATTCTTTTCTTAGCTTCCTCGAGTTGCTGTGCAAGAGCTGCTTTATGTTGTCTTTCGCCATCCAGAAGATTCTGAACCAGCAGGCAAAGGCCTAGCGTTGGAACTTTCATCCTGCCATCACATGTACTCCATCAGAGGTCAAAGATTATAACAGAGATTACCAACATTGCACCCTCCTATCTTGGACGTACCAAACATCAGGAGATTGGAGCTTCGAATTTGTGGTAGGAAAAACATCCTGCAAGGCCCATGTCCATGTCATGATGTATGACAAAACTGAGGAACCAGAAAGAAGCTGTATGGGATAACAAAGGTGAACCCACCTCACGCATGTTTCCGAGAAAGGCAAGGGTCTGCAACAGAATGGAGGTTGCACAGTATTAGTGCGTGTGAACAAGTTCTGAACAAGTTTCTACCATACTGACCCAAGGCCTACCTCAAGCATGCTTCCTGCAGAGATGTCGTCAAGGTCCAGGACACCATTTACAGTTCGCTGCTCTATCTCCTGCATGTAAGACGGAGCGGGGGGTTTAATGCTTCATACGATAACAGCAGGTGTCACGGTTTAGCCAGTTGAGCTTACAGCATAAAACTGTCGCTTCCTTCGTTTGAAAGCGCTGATAGCATTTGAAACATCAGTGCCAGATTTGTGCTTCTTCGCCTCTTCATAGTCAAGATCCGTATAATCCAGTCTCTTTCTCTTAGTGACAAAGTCACCCTCCAGTGTTTGTGCCAACACAAACTGCATCCAACAAAAGCAGTCAGAACAAAACCATGCACCAAAAGGGCCAATCATAGCAATACATACCTCAACATCTCCTTCCTCGGTTTCCTTGAATCCAGCAACAATAGCATCTGCAGAGAACAGGTTAGAAAAGCTGACAAGTGCAAGGCGGAATGGACATAAGACTTCCATGTCACACCTGATATGGACGATGCTAAGGCCGGATCAGGATTGTCTGCCATGCTAGATGGACTGACTTCAATATCATCAGTTGCATTTGCGGCACTCATGTACTTCCGCCTCTCTTCAAAGCCCAACTGTTCCCACTCCTTGGAAAGCTCTTGTTGAATATCTGCCAAAGTAGCTCCTTCCCCCAGTCCCTCCTCAACTCGGCTCCGATTTTCAAGGCAGAAGACAATAGATCCTGAAATAAAAATAAGCTGAACAAGCTTGTTTCATTTGTGGTTGCATGCAGTGCCGTGTGAGACATACCATCTTGAAGGATTCCTTTAGCAGGCTTTGAGTTTGGTTGACCATGTCTTCCCAAACGAGGCTTATCATTGTCATTTCTGGATTTAGACTTAGTTGTAGCTTTAGCATTCATTTTTGTTCCTGCAAAGGAAACCCAGACACAGGCTTTGTGTAAATAAAATACAGCACAAATCATTCAGCTTGAAAAGTAACAACAAGCCCTTGTCGGTTGTACCTTTGTGTGCGGAGGCTGGCCCATCCGTGTTACCCTTTTCTAGTCCAAGCTTGGCCTTCTCCGCCTCTGCCTTATCCTCGTAGGTCTGGAAGTGACAGTTGTAAGAACGTATGATATATGATTTTCTCACATGCCCATCATAGTTAGCCACCTCACCTTCTTTTCCTCTTTGGGCAGGTTCCGCCATTGTTCACCGATTGCCTGCAAAAGGGAAAAAAGATGTGAAGCAGTTTCACAACTCTCACTCCCAACCTTGAATGGTCGATATTCTTTCCACAAAGAGGCCCTGCAACTGCTCACCTTCATAATGTCTGTTGGCTTCATGTCAGGATTCCTCTGTTTGATAGACTCGCGGATGTCATTGCTGCACAAATTCACATGAGTTGAGTTGAGAGGGTCTGTTATGGAAAGAAACCATCAACTAAGCATGGGGAATCCTCAATACGTACGAGAATATAATATAGGGCGTAGGAGTCCTTGGTGGTTTGCTATCTCCTTGGCGTTTGTGGGACTTTCCCAATGATGACCCCTTCTTGGATGACTTCTTCGCACTTGAATTCTTGGCTTCTTCACCAAGGTCACTGTCTTCCTCGGGTGCATTCTTATCCTCGTCTCCAACCTCCGCACGTTTGACAGGTTCAGCGAAACTGTCATCTTTCTGTGCGTCAGCGTCAGAACCCTTCACGACTGCTGCAGCCACTGTTGTTTCTGCCATAACAAATCTTAATGAGGCTCTATGCAGGAGCACTAGCGTTCAGATCGGGATTTTTTTACCAGGGTAATACTTACCTTCATTTGTTGGTCCAGCAGCATCACTGGCTGATTTGACAGCATCATTTCTCTCAACCTTTGAGCTTTGGTCGGGTTGCTTTGGTTTATGACTCATCGGTACTTCAGGAATTCTGAAACAATCAATGCGCTGGTCAAGTGCTCAAAAAAGGCTTACTCTGCATACTACGTGTGCTCTTGTCACAAGACTTACTTTGGCTCTTCGTCAGTGTGCGCCTTCTCCATCGATACAGTGGCCGCTCCTGCAAATTCCATGGACTGTGAGTAGGACATTGTCAAATCAGACTTTCATATGTCAACGTCGCATATTAGTCATACCCGTCTTCGACTGGCTCTGTGAGCCACGTGGACTTTTGACATTTTCAGCACCATCAGGGTTTGAAGTCAGGGCATCCACTGACTTCAGTGCGTCATTAACCTCCTGCAGGGACCTTGAGTCATCGTTCTTTGGATCCACCTTGTCATTCAGCTCCTCAAGGGTGGGGTTGGTTGGGTTGGTGCCCTGTGCAGTGCCTTCTGGTTGGGCCTTCGCCAATTTTTTTTTCTCGGACTGAACTTCGATGTTAGTGTCTGCCGCCTTGGTTTCTTTCCCGTTCTCAGTCGTGCTAGAACCCGACGAGCTTGATGAGCTGAAGCATGCAGACAGTGATGAGAATTGGAAAACAAATTAGGCGTTCAACGCGCAAATCATACTTACGCAGCAGGGGACTTCGCTTTTCCCTGATCTTCACCCTTAGCAGCATCTGGGTGAATGGAGTAGCGGAATGAACTTAGCCGTTATGATTTTAGTCTAGACAAATGCGTGTAATCATGAGCGTCGAGCATACCAGGAGTCGAGCATTTTGATGGCTCTGGAGCCTGATTTGTCGCAGCATCTACAGAAGGAGGTCGTGGCACGGATGTAACTTCGTCTCCCTTGCATTCCTTTGTCACAGCTGCTGTTGTGTCGGAGCTTGAGCTAGAGGAGCCTGAGCTGGATGAACTGCAAAAATCGACAACAATAGTGGCCGTTCAGCATCGCCAAAACGTTGTTTACTATGGATGTTCAGGAATGCAGGATTCTTGCAAAGAAAACCAGACCTAGAAGAGCCGCTAGGTACTTTCGTCGGCGTCTTCTTCTCGTCAGCTCGCTTCTCCTGCGGAGGAGGCGATTTCAGCGTCGCAACCTGGAAGCCCGTGCGTTTCTTCATAGTGTTAGCAGAACCGATTAGAACTTCCCTTCAGTCAATGGCATACAAGAAGCGAAACCTGGACAATTGTCCGTGCGACGAGCTTTTGTTTATGAGTTGGAGCCTTGAGTGTAAAGCTCATGGAATTTGTCCCAAGAAACTGCGGGACTGTCGAACGCATTTTTGTTCGAATTCGGCTATTTGAATCTTGGCTTGCGAAAGTGAACGCTTTGATAAAACACGTCGTTCACTTACAAGAAATACTATCTTATAATGTATTAGAAGGCAGATGGGAGTATCATCCCAGCACTACTCCTTCGTTAGCATCTGAATTCTGCAGTTATCATGTAGTTCTCAACAGATGATGTAGTTTTCGTGAATATTCAATACTTCTTTGGTCATGTTGGATTGATATAATATCGGTGGTGATGTTGTGGGTGGGAGTACACTAGACTCATACCAACAGATTGTGCTATGCACTAAAAGTGCACATTAGCAAGAAACACTTCTGAAAATCGAATTCCACAGTCCAGTCCAGGCTATTCTTGCCAAGGCAAGCCATTTAGGGCAGTGTTGCTGGAGACAAACGTGTGTGCGTGCCTTGCAACCCTTTCCTCTGCTAGAGCTTCTGCCATTATATCAGACCCACTCAGAGCAAACCCACCTGTTCGAAAAGTGAGCAATGAAAGGGAGGGAGTCTGACTGGACAATTATGGTTGAGTGGATGAACAGATGGGCAGTCACAGGGTAAATTTCAGTGAGATAAAAACGGAAAAAATATCAATGTAGATGAGGTATTGTTATATGTGCAGTCTACATTGAACCTCCCACGACTTCAGGCTAGCAGTAAGGGAAACAAAGGAAATGCTTACCTTTCTTTCGAGGGAGCAAACCGGCTGCAGCAGCAGAGATGGGCAACACCCATGGAGGCAAATCATTGCCACCCGGTGACCCTGCTCCTGGTGCTCCTGCCACTCCTCCGAATGTTGCCACCCTTCCTGGCCCGGCTGCCTCTGCTGCCCCGGCTGCCCCTGCTGCCCCTGCTGCCCCTGCTGCCCCTGCTGCCCCTGCTGCCCCTGAAGCTGCGGCAGCAGAAGCTTCAGCTACAGCAGCCGCTACAGAGGGAGACACGGGTCTGGGGTAGTCTAGGGGTGGGAAGCCCACGGGTGAATGTGGTGTAAGGTGAGAGGAGCCTAGTGTGGCATGGGAATTTGTGGGGTGTAGTGCTGATGAAGGGTATGTGTTGGGTGCGGATGGCATGTACGTTGCAGCATGTGTGTGTGATGCATGGGGAGGATGTGATGCATTGGGTGCATGGGGCGCATGTGCAGCCTGGGGAGCATGGGGTGCATGTGCAGCATCGGGTGCATGTGATGCATGGGGTGTATGGGGTGCATGTGCAGCATGGGGAGCAGGTGACATGTGCAGCAGGCTGACTCCCGAGTTCAGCTGGTGCCGAATGGCCTGCAGCTGTGCCATCGCCTGCTGCACCTCCTGCTGCAACTGCATTCAAACAGCCAAGAGAAATGAGAGAGACGATGGGCACAAATCCGCTTGGTCAGTGCAGCTGTGCCCTTGCCTGCTGCACCTCTTGCTGCAACTGCAATTAACACAGCAAGGGAAGAAAGAAAAAAAGGGGAAAAGGGGAAGGGAGGGGCTCAAACGCGTTTCAGTCAGTGTAACACTGCTTCTGTGCCATTGCCTGCGGCACCACCCAATGCCACTCCTGCTGTTCCTCCTGATGCCCCTCCTGCTTCCCTTCCTGCTGCATCTCCTGCTGCCGACTCCTGCTGGAAAGAGCGACAGGACGTCAAACTTCTGAGTCTGAGAAATCGCCTCCTGCACTTGCTTCAGAAAAGAAACGATACATCAAATTTTAGTTGGACAAACCTTATCCGAGGTAGCAACCTCAAATATTTCTCGAAACCTATCAAACTTCGTACCTCGGATAGTTGCGTCTGATCGGCGAAAGAGCTGAATTTGGTTCGGGCAGCATGAACAAATCCCATGGCTCGTCCCGTGAGCCGTCCAGCTGCCCGAGCTATCACAGGGATGTCTTTTGGCACTGACCGGGCAGCAATGCAAGAAACGGGCGAACAAAAAAAGGGGGGGGGGGGGGGGGGGGGGGGGGGGGGGGGGGGGGGGGGGGAAGAAAAATGAGGAGGGAAATGGAAGGGGTTGAGTGCAGCGGGGAATGTGTCAGAATGGAAAGAAAAAGTCGAAGGGAGGCGGCTCAGAGAGAGGAAATATGTGATGCTATGGCCTTCTGGGGAACAGTATCAAATGCATACAGAGGGGTTGGATGCAGTGCTATGTTAAGGACAACCATTCGGGTTGACGACAGGAGTAAGGGAATTCATTACGTAATCTTGGGAGTACGGTACAAGAGACGGAAGCAGCGACGATCAATGTTTTCAAGTAGAACAGAAGAGGAATGAGGGATCAAACCTCTGAGCACAGGACCAAGTTAGCAGCGAGGGAAGAGGGGAGAGTGGAGGGAAGATACGTGGCAGGAATGGGAAGAGACAGGAGCATCGAGAAGGTTCGGAGCACGGATAAATGAGGGGACGTATTACCAAAGGCGACGATTCCCAGAAAAACTTTTGAGTCGACTCAAAAGTCACCTCGGAGCACGGATAAATGAGGGGACGTATTACCAAAGGCGACGATTCCAAGAAAAACGAGCAGTCCGATTTCGCCATTCGATAGACCAAGCATCGTCTCCAAGCACTAGACGAGGAACTATCTAATGTGAAATCGACTGGCCACTGAGAGGGAAATTGCGAAAAATCGGATAACGGTATGATGTCGCAAATACTCGCGCGCCGACGCTCAGTGGGTTGCGCGCCGACGATCAATGGGTTGCGCGCTTTGCCATGCTTTGCGCGAATCGTGTCGCCTGTTGGATCAAGGTCATAAATGCGCGACGTGCTGAAGGAGAGCTGGTGACGGAGTTTTGAGGCGCCTCAAAAGTTTGCGCGAATCGTGTCGCCTGTTGGATCAAGGTCATAAATGCGCGACGTGCTGAAGGAGAGCTGGTGACGGAGTTTCTACATAGGGTGGAGCTCGACAACTGAAGCGAACCAGACGAAATTGGCTCGTAGCGTGTCGAATCGTACTAAAATATGACATACCTTTCAGTACCGTATAGATCGCCAGCGCAAATTCACTGTGGTGCCCTGCTGGAAGTCCTTCGACTCTTGACACGCCATGCTGTCAATCCCCGCACGACTATCCCACGACGCACTCTTTGTCAAAGGGTTCATGAGTGTAGTAGTCTCATCGAGCTATATTTGATACGGTATCAGCCGTGAGTCACACACATAGCGAACTATTCTTTCGCCTTTTACTAAAGAATACCGTGTGTGTTTCTCAGCAAGCGGCATACCATAATTTTTTGAGTGCCTTTCGAAGGCACCACAAACCAAAATCGAAATGGGATGGAGATGGCAAATGATAACAAATGTAAATCAGAAAAAGGTGGTGGCTCTGGCTTTATGTAAAGTGTAGGTTCGTCTGAAAGCTTTGTCAAATTAGGATTACCAGTAATAGCTGGATTGTGCAACAAAGGGAACATTGTGGACAAAAGAGACAACTATTGACTGCTTGTGATCTATGAAAGTGCAACTCAGTTCGTTCTCCTACCAAGTCGAAAATTAACGTCCTCCATTATCACTCTGTCCCTTGCCTGAACCTTTTCAGCTATGCCAGGCGTTGCTTCTAGCAGCACAGCACAACCAGCAGCCATCACTGCCAGTGCTGCAGTGAAGCCTGCTATGTACCGGGCAGTGCGGGCAGGGCGATAATGTATCACTGCCCTGATCTCATCCCAGCTGGCTGGCTGATGCGACATTTGAAATGAATGGGAGACGAGAGGACCCAGATTACACCTGCAGACACAAGAATGGGTGCAGTGTATGATGGTTGGAGATGGGATAATTAGAGCCTCGGAGGGCGGGAGCACAAGAGGGTGAGAGCAGCAGAGGGTGAGAGCAACAGAGGGTGAGAGCAACAGAGGGGGGGAGGAGCAGAGGGTGAGAGCAACAGAAAGTGAGAGAAGCAAAGGGTGGGACCAGCAGAGGGTGAGAGCAGCAGAGGGTGAGAGCAACAGAGGGGGGGAGGTGCAGAGGGTGAGAGCAACAGAAAGTGAGAGAAGCAGAGAGTTGGACCAGCAGAGGGTGAAAGCAGCAGAGGGTGAGGGCAGTAGAGGATGGGAGACATTCTCATGAGAGGAACGCCTGTGAAAAGAACTCACTTCAGAGGAATTAATGTGAACGGAATGCGGTCCAAGGCAGGGAATGCGGAGCAGAGGCATGGGGAGAGCGGAGGAGTAAAGTGGAAAGAAGTGGAGGAGGAGGGTGGTGAAACGAGAGGCAGGGGAAAGGGACCAGCAATACCTGTGTGGACAGGTAGTGTGGAAAGGCAGAAAGGGGAGTGGGGGCGAAGGGCGTAAACGGGGGTGGATTCGAAGGTCGAGGAGGGAGTGGGGGCGAAGGCGCTGTGGGCAGTGAGTTGGCGAAGGAAGCAATGGGCGAACGCGAGTTGATTGTTCAAAGTTCGAAAACGAAAGGACAAGACAAAAAGATGGCGGAACGTGAACAGGGTCGGAATGTGAACAGGGGCGGAACGTGAACAGGGTCGGAAGGAACGTGAACAGGGTCGGAACGTGAACAGGGGCGGAACGTGAACAGGGGCGGAACGTGAACAGGGGCGGAACGTGAACAGGGACGGAACGTGAACTGGGGCGGACATGAACAGGGGCGGAACGTGAACAGGGGCGGAATGTGAACAGGGGCGGAACGTGAACAGGGGCGGAACGTGAACAGGGACGGAACGTGAACAGGGGCGGAACGTGAACAGGGGCGGAACGTGAACAGGGGCGGAACGTGAACAGGGGCGGACGTTAACAGGGGCGGAACGTTAGCAGGGGCGGAACGTGAACAGGGGCAGAACGTGAACAGGGGCGGAACGTGAACAGGGGCGGAACGTGAACAGGGGCAGAGCAGGCCAAAGGTACTGTGGTAACAAAACAATCATGTTGAGAAGCAACACCTGGTGTTCAAGTGTCACGGGAGTGGCTGCGATCTCACCTGACGCTGGTCTTACCTGATTATTGAAGGGTCGCTTCGACGAACAGGGACGGAACGTGAACAGGGGCGGAACGTGAACAGGGGCGGAATGTGAACAGGGGCGGAACGTGAACAGGGGCGGACGTTAACAGGGGCGGAACGTTAGCAGGGGCGGAACGTGAACAGGGGCAGAACGTGAACAGGGGCGGAACGTGAACAGGGGCGGAACGTGAACAGGGGCAGAGCAGGCCAAAGGTACTGTGGTAACAAAACAATCATGTTGAGAAGCAACACCTGTTGTTCAAGTGTCACGGGAGTGGCTGCGATCTCACCTGACGCTGGTCTTACCTGATTATTGAAGGGTCGCTTCGACGAATGGATGGATGCAAAGATCGAAGAGGTTCTGATGGGTTTTGGCCTGAACAAGCGAGGACGAAATTTGATTTCCGGATTGGATTCGCCGCATTGAGAGATTCCGAAATGAGATTATTAACGAGTTTGCGATTAGCAAGGAATGTGGAGCTACGAAATAGTGTTACAATGTAGCGCGAGAAGGAACGGCTGAAGAAGCAAAAAACGACAAGAGACTAAAAGGTGGATGCGAAGCGTTCCACTATTACTTCCAAGCCGGAACGCTTCTCATCGGCCTGAGTATTGCACCATCTAAACAGGTTGCTTTCCAAAGACCGGCTTGCGCCACGGCCCGTTGTCACTGAAATCTGTCTCCCGGACCCACGGTGCTCGCGGTCCACGCAAGGTACCTTGACTCACGGGGAGAGTAAGTCGGAATGGAAGGGACCTTTTAGTGGGTCCTGAGAAGTGACCTTCCTAAGCTTGAAAGCTGCGCGGGCCACAGCGAAAGGAGGCAGTCGCTGGTCGCGGAAAGGCAACGAGGGGAGGCGAGGTGAAGCCCCTCACGCAGGTTAGAGGAGGCCGCGCGGGGAGGCGAGAGGAGGCCGCGAGGAGAGGCGAGAGCAGGCCGCGCGGAGAGGTGAGAGGAGCACGCACGCGGAGGGGAGAGGAGCACGCGCGGGGAGGGGAGAGGAACACGCACGCGGAGGGGAGAGGAGCACACACGCGGAGGGGAGAGGAGCACGCGCGGGGAGGGGAGAGGAGCACGCGCGGGGAGGGGAGAGGAGCACGCACGGGGAGGGGAGAGGAGCACGCGCGGGGAGGGGAGAGGAGCACGCACGGGGAGGGGAGAGGAGCACGCACGCGGAGGGGAGAGGAGCACGCACGCGGAGGGGAGAGGAGCACGCGCGGGGAGGGGAGAGGAGCACGCACGGGGAGGGGAGAGGAGCACGCGCGGGGAGGGGAGAGGAGCACGCACGGGGAGGGGAGAGGAGCACGCATGCGGAGGGGAGAGGAGCACGCACGCGGAGGGGAGAGGAGCACGCGCGGGGAGGGGAGAGGAGCACGCACGCGGAGGGGAGAGGAGCACACACGCGGAGGGGAGAGGAGCACGCACGCGGAGGGGAGAGGAGCACGCACGGGGAGGGGAGAGGAGCACACACGCGGAGGGGAGAGGAGCACGCACGCGGAGGGGAGAGGAGCACGCGCGGGGAGGGGAGAGGAGCACGCGCGGAGGCGAGAGGAGCACGCGCGGGGAGGCGAGAGGAGGCGAAAAGGGGATATCGGGCGGCAGAAATGGGAGATCAGGCCGCGGGAAGGGGAGCTCGGGCGGCGAGCACGGGAGATCGGTCGGCGAGCAGGGGATATGGGGTGGCGGGGAAGCGGAGGTCGGGTGGCGGGAAGGTGATGGCTATAACCTAACCATAAGCATAGGCAAAGGGGAGCGCTATTGCTGCTCACCCCTGTTACGGGATTTATTTTCTCTTTACTGATGGAGTGGTAATGCTTCTACTACGTGTTAGGATGTGGGGGAATGTGAACCTTACCACTTAATTTTTCCCTATCACTTCACTCCCTCGCACAATCTGTGTTTCCGTCGTCAGTGTTGGTCGCACAAAGTGCAAACTTCCCAAACCTGCCCCGAAAGAGGTTTGGGTGTGACCCAAACCTGCCCTTGAGCTCTTGTTTTGACCTCAACACTATGGAACTTCGCCCATATGTTTTCCCCGCTCGTGAAAAATTTCGTCCCTCGTAAACCAATCAGGATCTTACTTTCCCAACCAAGTGTATGAGACGCGAGCTTTAATAGCTGTAAGTCATGCGGATACAACAATTTCTTGATTCACCTAATTTGTGTTTTGTTTGTACTTTTCCCCATGGCTGATGGAAGTTGTGGATGGTACACCCTGTTTCTCGAAGTTCGGACAACCGGGAGCACAGGCTACAGTGCGCACGTGTGCTTGGATTCAGCGGGCTGGTGCTTGTAGCCGAAATGCACTTCGGGAGAACGGTAAACAACGGTTCATGGAAAACAACGTGCCTTTGCGTTCGGTTGCATACGGTAAACGTGCATATATTGTATGTTCTGGGACCAATTTGGACGCATTCATGTCAGTACATCCGGCTTGTCAGTATGGCGAATGTCAGTGTGGCGCGAAACAGGGTGTAACAGACGCTTGATGTCGCAAATTACGCCGCGATTCGGTTGGAGTCGCAGTATTCGCATACGATGTCTTGCGAAGTCTAGTTCCTGTCAACGTCCCTGACCTCACTCGCAGCACAGCATTCTTCACAGCGAGATATGGAAACAGCAGAAAGCTGCGACACCCACGCATCATGCACTATGGAGGATGCATTTTGCTACTTCATTACGGTATGATGCATTCTATCTGAATGCTGCCTAACACATGGGCTTCAACATGAGCTGTACACGGTTTTGTGCGACTCAGAACGTTACAGTGCGCTTCTATATGGTGGAATAAAGCCGAAGAGATGGACTGTACCACGCTGGGCAGAGGTGGCTTCTTGTGGTGAACGGATATGGCGTCACCAAAGCCGTTTTCCGCATGTCCAGCCAGCTGTTTTCTGGGACAGGTGAGAAGGTCCTCCCTCCCTTTCGCGAATGCCATACAGTGCACATAAGCGCGAACCACGCTTCTTGTGCGCATTAGTGCTGTAGTACCACCTGTCAGTCACCTGCCGACGGAATACCAAACAACCTGACTGCCACCTGAGGCTCTACCTGTCTGTCACCTGACCGCATTTTCCTCCAGCCAATCACAGACCTAAGATGGCGGCTCGGGGTCTTTCTTACCACAGCAGCCGGCCCTCGCTCATTGACAAACCTTCGCGACCTGCTAGAAATCGCAGCTCTGCAGTCGACCCTCTAGGTCGAACGTACGTTCGGAACCTTCAAGTAGAGCCTGTCGCGCACCATAGTTTCCGACCACCAACACGTGTGACGAGGCGATTTTCGAGGTGTCTCGAAAATATACTTTCGCGCGCGATCGTTTTTCGCCACCATCTCTGAAACAGCTGTTTCACAGAGCTGCTGTATCTCCGTATTTCGCTCTGTACTTCGTAATCTGCCTTCTCGCGTTACTCTCGCTTCTCTAGTATCGCCGCCTCTATGATGGCCGCGGCACGCGGCGCGCATCCGCAAATTGTTCCTCTCTCGCTCCTCGTCTGTCTCTCCGTCGCGCTCGCGCTCTCTCCCCCTGCCCTCGCGTTCACGCCCTCAGGTAATACTATAAGAGACCCCTAAACATCGCTCTTTTGTGAGTGTGCTCTCCAAGGCCTGATGTGACAGTCACATGCGTGTGCTTCCATGAGTGTGCTTTCAAGTCGACGACTTGTTGCGAAGAAGGTATTTCGTGCTTTCACGCAGCACTGTTTCAATAGAGTCATCTCGCCCTCTCACGTTCCTGTTTATTACTACTGGGCTTCCTCCCATCCGGGTTTCCGTGTGCTTGATCTACTCGCTCCTCTACACCTCAAAATGATGCTGCTGCTTTTCCCACCTTGCCCTCCTCCCGTTTCGCCCCCTCCGCCCACTTCTTCCCCACACCCCCCTGCTTTCTCTCCCGCTTCCCCCACCCCACCTTCTTCCGATTTTTTCTCCCCCGCCTCCTCTCCCCCTCTTCCTCTCTCCCGCCTCCTCTTCCCCCCTTCCTCTCCCCCGCCTCCTCTCCGCCTCTCCCCCCTCTCCCCCCTCTCCTCTCCCCCACCATCTTCCCACAGACGTACTCAATTACCGCGGGCTTGTCTGGCGCCTCCTGGACCAATGGCCGTCCTCCGCGCGTCCACGTCTGCACTCGTCTGACCTAGCGGCGATATCGTCGCCGTCCGCTTCTCTGTTCGCCTCGGGCAACGAGACGTGGGAGGAATCTTTTGAGACGTCTGAAGACTCGCCCAATGCGACGTGGGAAACTGCTGACTCGGAGATGTCTCACGATTCGGCGCGAACAGCGTGGGAGACTCGGACCGTCTCGGAAACGAGGGGGGAGTCGAGCAGAGACGAACAAGCTGCGACGTCGGATGGCCAGGAAGAGGCATCAGACCGCGCCGAAGGCGTTGCTGTTGGGATGAGTCGTGGGTGGAGGAAGTGGAGGGGACACGTGGCGCGCGAGGAGAGGCCCATGGGGCAGCGCAGGCAGATGGGTGAGTGCTGCAGAATCTGTGTTGCTCTGTTTAGGTAAAACCCCCTGCGCTCACTCTCACCCGATTCACCTAAAGCCCAATGTACAGTGCCTAATTTTATTCTGTTTCTCCGTTCCCTTGTCGCTCTTTTTCTTACATTCCGTCAGCCGATGCGTGGCTGGATGGTCCCTGCTCCGACTACCTGAAAGCGCCCGTCATCAAGATATCTTCTCTCGCGGATTTCAACAAGCGACTGGATTACGGTCCCGTTACGACGGTCATCCTCGAACTACAGAGAAACCTCGTTATAAGCAAGGGGATTCTTTTTGACAGCAATTTCTCCTGCACGATTCTGCGATCCGCGAAAACCGCCGCGAACCCGTTTCAGATCACTCACGTGGGAGCGAACGAACCGGTGTTGCGCATATGGAACACGAGCAACGTGCTTGTATTGAAGGTCGATTTCAAGCTCAGCGTTCGCTCTTCATCACCGCCTTGCACAACTGTTCCCGAAATAACAATCAAAGCGCAGTGCCCGACGATTTCCGTTATCCGTTCGTACGGAATTCAAATCACGAAGGGGAGTGTTTTCGGGAGAATCGATCTACACCGCTCGGCATCCTCTCGGGTGGACTCCATGCGTGTAACGGGGATTCCGACCTTCAATCAGTCGCCCGGCGTGATTCAAGTGACGTACAGTGGACACGGGCCTACACTCGCGAAATCATTTATCGCTATAACAAACAATGAAGTGTATGGTAAGTGAAATTTCTCAGGCTCCTTTCTTCTCCACTCGGCTTTCAAGCGCGTGAAATGTGCAAAATCTTCTCATGTGGCAGCAGCTACATGCACGGCTTCATCTCTCCACTTTCTCTGTCCCCCCACCTCCCCCCTCTCCCCCCCCCTCCCCCCCCCCCCCCCCAACTGTACCATGCCCCGCTCCCCCCGTATTTTACCAGGTGTGAACACTCCCATCGTCGTGCACAGGGGATCAGTCGGTGTCATCGTGCGAAACAACTACGTGCACGATTTTATATTCGCCGGTATCCGCTGTGGCTCCGATGTGCACTATGCGGGCGACTGCATGCTCACTCAGATCGACCGCAACCTCGTCGTGGCTTCTGGGAGGAACCGGTCGGGAGACCAGGATGCTGCTGGAATCTACTACTGCGTTCATTGGTTCAGCCCAGGTAAGGGTTGATTGAGCTCCGGTGGGTCATGCTGGTTCAGCCCTGGTAAAGCATGTGCTGACTTAGCAGGCGACTGTGTGCTCACTCAGATCGACCGCAACCTCGTGGTGGCTTCTGGGAGGAACCGGTCGGGAGACCAGGATGCTGCTGGGATCTACTACTGTGTGCACTGGTTCAGGTATGGTAAAGTATGTGCCGGCCCATTGAAGACTGCAGTAAGGACCAGGATGCAGCATGGATCTACTATTGTGTTCATTGGTTCAGCCCTGGGGAGGGTGTTGGTGGGTTCTTCCCTGTTAAGGATATGTTCAGCCCTGGGGGGGATTGCAAATAACACACTGGTGACCACTGGTACCTGTTACTCATAGCACTCAGCCCTTCACTTCCCCATCTCTCATCTCTCTGCCCTTGTGTCCTTTCCCCTCCTTTCTTGTTCCTTCTGTGCAGATAACACAGCAGAGTGCAACTACGTGTTCAACGGGGATCACTGTTACTACCTTGATTTCGTCACACACCTTTCCCCCCACCCCGTCCCTTATCCTTCCACCTTTCCCCTCCGCCTGTCAAATCAGATAACACCGCAGAATGCAACTACGTGTTCAATGGGGATCATTGCTACTACCTCGATTTCGTGACGTCAGGAGTGGCGATCAAGGGAGGTGCTTGCATAAACACATATGATGGGATCAAAGTCAACAATGGCAAATGGTACGTCTGCTGCTCTTCTCCTCACCTTCTCCTCACCTTCTCCTGACCTCTCTAAATGGAAAATATATGTTTTCCTCACCTCTCTGCCCCTCCTTTTTTCCTCCCCTCCCTCCCCTCTCTCCTCCTCCCCCCGTTCCTCCTCTCTCGCTCTCTCTCCGTTCTGTTTCTTTCACAGCACGCAGAACAAGTTTTCATGAATCATTTTCTGATCATACCCAACTCCACATCCCCCTTCTGTTCCAATCTTCAGGAACAGGGCAGAGGATGTGATTATAAAGAAGGTGCCAGGGTCCCCGGGGTGGAGTGCGTGTTTGACTCCTCTGGTGCTCAATTGTGACAAGAACCCAGGCACGTTCTGGGAGCTCATGAGGAAACAATACTACGACACGCCGGTGTTCAGAGAGGTGAGAAGCGGTAGCTAAGATGCCCTGAGGAGCGTGAGTGTGAGGTTTGGTGTGGCATAGAGGCAGGCAGGCAAGTAGTGGGTGAGTGGGTTCCGGGGTCACTGGGGTGGACCATCACATCCCTGCTCTTCAAAAGGCGAGACTTGAATACAGAGCACCTGAGCAGCACGTGAGAGTTTAAGAGCCTGAGTCTGCTTTGATGTTGATGAGAGCGTCAGGTGAAACAAAGCAAGAGCATGGCGCTTTGCATGCAAACTCACCCCTCCTTTTCTCTGTTAAACCTACCCCTGCATGCTCCCCCTTCCCCTTCCCAGAAATACCCCTTCTGGCCAGACGTTTGCGGGCAGAAAACCATTAATGGCAAGCCGTGCAACGTGAAGAGGAAAGGAACACTACCAGCTGAAAAAACGGGTGCATGCAGCGGTCTTCCAACAGAAAACACCCTAAATGTCGTCCTTGTGGAAACAGAAGGGAGGGATGTTGGGTATAAATACTGTGAGAATCTACCGGCTGTGGAGGAGGGACCACTGAACAATCAGCGGCAGGTCAATATTACGAACATCCCGGCTGCGAAGTTCTTGGATTACGCGAATGACGATCTGGGGGTGAATACGGGGTCGTCACTGTACAGCAGCATAAAAGATTTTAAGAGCTGCCCGAGGAAAGACGTGGGGCCCCGGCGGATCGACGACGGGTTTTATTTCCTGAGTTTCAACCGGCCCGAGCCGGAAGTGCATAAGGTGGTCGTGGAGATGAGCATCAAGCACGTGCATGACACTGATATTGTGAAGCTGAGCAAGCTGCCTAAAAAGAAGGGGAAGAAGTAGAGAATCAAGCTTGTGGATAACACTGAAATCGTGAAGCTGCGCAAGGGGAGAAGGGTTGTTAGCATCCGACGTACTACGGTAAGTTGGCTGTTTTCCACCATGTACCATATACAGTACTATACTAATAGATTCCTACTGATTGATTTGTGCTTGCCCTGTATATCCTTGCGGCTATCTCTTGGTGATGGAATGATGTGTTGAGGAATGGAGGGTAATAAGGTGTGATGGAGCAGATAGCTTAGAACGTGCCAGGGGGATCCCTGGCCTCGAGATCACTGCATGATGGAATGGATACAGCCCTAGCAGAAGTCGAATTACAAAACCACAACTCAGTTATTCGTTCATGCTCATTATATAAAATAAGGGTACCAAGCCCTGGTACCATAATAAATTATGTACACCAGATAACTACTGATGTCTACTGTCCTGTTGTTGCGCATGTCTAGAGTGCACACACAACACATAACAATGACTACATAGTGCTGTCTACACTACAGTATCCTCCAAAGGCACACACTTCTTCAGCTCACGGTCATACATAAATCCCGGCGTGTTTTGAGTCGACTCAAAACACGGTATCTTCCGAAGGAACACACTTCTTCAGCTCACGGTCGTACATGAACCCCGGAGCACACACCGGCACGCACGCCGTCGTGTTAGGGTCGTAGTAAAACCCGGCCGGGCAGCTGTTGTCATCCGTCTTCAAAACTTTTCCTGCTGCCCAAGCCACTGCCTGCTGCCACCATGTACGCTTGGGCTCATGGAAAGAACCCTGGAGGCACAAGAGGACCATGGGCAGTCATGACAACAAAAACGGAGAGACAGCAGGCAGAGAAATGAAATGAGGCAGGATGTTACTCAAGGAAGAGAGATGATGCAGGATTGGACAAGGTGAAGGGATCTCTTTAGAGCAGGGTAAAGAGCAGTAAATCATAACCTTTAGATGATGGGATGATGGGATCATGGGATCGCAAGAGCGTTGCAAAGGTGCCGTCAAGAGCAAGACGCTGACATGACCTTTCAAGAGTACCATGGTGATACTCCTTCCTTGTGACCTGTATAATGACCCTCCCCAATCCAAGCTCCACTCCGCACCTGAGGAATCCACAAGAGACGCTCATCTGAAGGGCACAGGCCAAACGCTCACATGGGGCAGCTCACGGATACTAAGCGATGCATCATCCGAGTCCCACCTGGTCGCACTCGTGGTTGGGCACGCAGCGCCTGCCCTTGAGCACAAAGCCCTCCCCGCACGCTACTCCCAACCCAACCATGACAAGGTCGCCCCATACAAGCACCACTCCACAACCAAGGTGCCTTTTAAATTCTGAAGACACTCGAATGCTCACCTGGGGAAGCACACAGGCGTCCAGTGACGCGTCATACGAGTAGCCCTGGTCGCACTCGTGGTTGGGCACACAGCGGCCCCCTTTGAGCACATAACCCTCACCGCACGCTGGCATGATGCGCACGCACGACTTGGTGTCGTAGTCGTATGAGTACCCCGGCTTGCAGATGTACACACATGCTTGGGCGTTGGGGTCCAGGTACTTGCCGGGCCCACAGGGGTTCGAGGGGTACACGCGTTCTGCAAGGACTTTAACCAGCCTGGAGGGGAGGAGACGGGTGGGAAGGGAAGGGGATGAACATGCACGGCTTGCAGATGTACACACACGCTTGCGCGTTCGGGTCCAGGTACTTGCCGGGCCCACAGGGGTTCGAGGGGTACACGCGTTCTGCCAGGACCTTGACCAGCCTGGAAAGGCGCATGGCAGGGGAATGAAGGGGGTCAACACAAACGGTTCGCAGATGTACACACATGCTTGGGCGTTGGGGTCCAGGTACTTGCCGGGGCCACAGAGATTGGAGGGATACACCCGTTCTGCCAGGACCTTGACCAGCCTGGAAAGGAGAGAGCGATGGGGATAAGTGGACGGTTGAGATGTCTCAAAGCGTGCCGGGGCCTGCACGGGCTGGAGGGGAACACGCACTCCGCCAGGACCTTAACGGGTCAATGCTTGTCAGTGCCACATGGGTTTGAGAGGTACACGCGCTCCGCCAGGACCTTCCAGCCTAAACAGGGGAGAGGGACGGGAATGGTGAATAAGCTGAAAATCGGTGCTGTGTTGGGAAAAGTACGAGGTACTTGGAGGAGGTTGCAGGTACACGCATCAGGCTCGTAAAGCACGTCCCAGGCCCGCTGAGGTGAAGACGTACACGCAATATGCCAGGAACTTGACGAGCATATGGGGAAGAAAAGACGAACAGGAGTGAGCGGACGGATAGGTGGTGGGGAATGCCCGGATGTTCCCAGAGAGAGCAGAGCACAAGGGAGAATGGATGCGTGGCGGACGAATGACTTTTGAGTCGACTCACAAAGCTTCTAGGGAGAGCACAGCATGAGGACAAATGGATGCGTGGCAGGCGACAGAACGAGCGAAGCTGGAAAATTTTGTTGTTTCTTTTTGTTTAGATCCATTGAAGACGTACCACGCTGGAACGGCAGTCCAGTCAATGAAAGCTTGAGCAGTAACGGCGCCGCCGCGTTGCCGACCTCTTTGGTCTGACTTTCGCGCAGCACCGCGCTTCGGTTTCGACTGCAATGAATTCTGAGGAAGGCGAAACGGCGCTAGACTAACTCGGCAGGAAGCTGTTCCGGTTACAAAGATAGATTCAAAGTATCTGGAGGAACGGCTAGGGGGTGTTCGCATGAATGCGACGGTCGTAGCAGCCATGGATGAGAACAGAGAGGAAGCGCGAGGGTTTTTTTTTCGTAAAAAACTGGGATTACGCGGGGAGACAACGCACGAGCCAATGCCTTGCGTGCATAATCTTATGGATGGACGGAAAAATGGATGCAGGGGGGAATGCAAGCTGGAGAACTGAGAACGGTGATGCAGAAGAGAGGAAGGATGAAGAGATCGATTGGTTTGGAGAGGATTGCAGAGGAAGTGAAGGGCAACTGCAGGAATATAAAGGAGTAAAAAAGGAAATGAAGGGCGGGGGAGGGAATGGACGGAGGGTGTGGTTCTGCCCTGCCCGGCCCTGGTCCGTTTGGTTGGCGGAGGTTAGGGACGGGCGAAAACGAGACGAACGGGTTACAAAATGAAGTTGTCGCCCTCGTGTCGATTTCCGACCTGGAGTCACGGGGATGCTGGTCAGGCTTACGACTGGACTCTGTAACAACCAATTGAAGCAAGAAGTACGTACCGGCTTGACAAATCTGCACAGGTTTCAAACCAGCACATTCTCTCCTGTAGGTCCTAGAGCCGAATGTTTGACAAGCAAGGTGTGCATTCATTCACACCTATTCTAGGTATTCTAGGTCAAGTTGTTTGGCTGCTGGATTTCAAAGTTTGATCATCCCCACTGAGTAGTTGTCATAGCAGCGGCCTAGGACCTTGCTGGGGAGGGAAGCATAAGGTCGACGGGTTCTCGACTATTTTTTTCGTTGGACATTTCAGCACTCTGCCAGCATGTCGCAAGGTCAGCGGCTGAGTGTTGTGCCTACGGTGACTGTTTTGACGGTCATCAAGGCCCGGCTTATTGGTGCAACGAAAGGACACCAGCTGCTTAAGAAGAAGAGCGATGCATTGACGATGCAGTTCAGGCAAATATTGAAGAAGATCATGGAGACGAAGGAGAGTATGGGTGACATAATGAAGTCTTCAGCCTTCGCACTGACTGAAGCAAAGTACGCTGCTGGGGACAGGGTGAAGCACGTCGTTTTCGAGAACGTGGATCAGGCCATTATCAAGGTTCGCGCGAAGCAGGACAACGTCGCTGGCGTGAAGCTGCCAAAATTCGAGCATTTCGCCGAGGCAGGCGACAGCAAGAACGATCTGACTGGTCTGGGTCGAGGAGGACAGCAGATCCAGCTCGCGAGGTCGGCATTCGTCCGTGCTATTGAGTTGCTGGTTGAACTGGCATCTCTGCAGACATCCTTCTTGACGCTGGACGAGGCCATTAAGACGACGAACCGCCGTGTCAATGCGCTTGAGAATGTGGTGGTGCCTCGCCTGGAGAACACGATTTCGTACATCAAGGGAGAGCTTGATGAGTTGGAGCGTGAGGATTTTTTCCGCCTGAAAAAGGTGCAGGCCTACAAGAAGAGGGAGGTTGACAAGCAGAAGAAGTTGAAGGAAGAAAGAGAAGCTGAAGAGGCCAAGGGTTCCAAGGCAGGTGCTGACAAGTCCTGGTCTGCAACAGCCACCGAAGAGGATGTTATTTTCTAGTATGGTGCTCATGTGCACTGCTCTGTTTGATGCTCCTCAGGCTGTTCCCTCAATATTGGATTGCCTGTAGCATTAGTGAGTTGCAACTTGCAATGCGCAGCATTTGCGGAGGCCTTCGGGAGTTAGCAATTTACATAATCGCTCAACGAGTTCGTTCTCATCATGTTTCCGTCTTGTATTAGTGTAACCTACTTGCAGCTGCTTTCAAATCAGCACTTAGCGAGGTCCGTAGATTCTTTCAGACCTGCTCCTCGCAGCACACACTCTGGAAGTGCCGAGGCTAACCACAGCTTGCGATTGGTCAACTCGACTCACAAACACGTCAGCCTTGACTCAAGACAGCAAAACTGTCCCCGTTTGTATCAGCTCCAGCAGGAACCAATAGCCTCTCCCCGTCAGCCTAGATTCTAGCACACGTGGCAATCTCGGAATGCATGTCTGAAACCCAATTCCGAGAGAATTTCTCCAGACCCGTGTTTGGTGATTTGCCGTTGCACACGTGGCCTCAAATTGCTACCTTGGTCAGACAATTTGATGATAATTGCTCGAGTGGTCTTGCCAGAGGTTTCCTCTGGCCTTTTTTTATACGGCACATAACCCAGAAAGGGTTTCTAGACCTGAAATTCTTACATCGAAAGTGTTTTTTCCCGCGAAAACGTGGCGTACAATTTTCCGCCCGAAAATTTCGGCTGGGTGACGTACCTTTATGAGCGAAGCACTTTTTGACCTTGCGCGTCCAATCAGACGCGGTCATGTAAGATCGCGTTCATATAGAACCGCGCTAATCCCGGTCAAGCGAGCGTGATTTTACATGACCACGGCTGATTGGACGCGCAAGGTCAAAAAGTGCTTCGCGCATAAAGTTGACGAATCAGGCGCACTCTGTATATTGTTCCCTGTATGGATAGCCGTGCAACTGAGTATATGATCGGGGAATCATATCACTATGCGCGGATTGGTCACGATTAGGACCGAAAATGAGCGCGACTGTTCGCCAAAATGATCGTGAAGTGGCCGCCCTCGCGCACGTCACCCAGCCGAAAATTTTGGGCGGAAAACTGTACGCCACGTTTTCGCGGGAAAAAACACTTTCGATATATGAATTTCAGGGCTAGAAACCCTTTCTGGGTTATGTGCCGTATAAAAAAAAGGCCAGAGGAAACCTCTGGCAAGACCACTCGAGCAATTATCATCAAATTGTCTGACCACGGTAGCAATTCGAGGCCAACGGCAAATCACCAAACACGGGTCTGGATAAATTCTCTCCCCAATTCCACTACTCAGCCAAACATGCCTCATGTTAGACCTCGTGTTGCGCTCTTTGTCCTAGCTTCTTAGTCAAGTCTCTCATTCTGGAAATCCGCGTCATTTGCGTTATCCTCGTCATCCTCGAATTTCTCGAAGCGCTAGACGCGTCGCCCTGCTCGTCGCCTCGCCACTACCTCTGTTTCCCAAGACCTCTCCAACAGTGTTGGTTGCCGAGTTCCCGGCGAATTTGCGTGATTCGGGTGGAAACTCAGTATTGTAGAAAACGATGAATTCGATCATAGCTCGAGTGTAAGAACCACAGAAGCTGGGACTGAACCTCTGCCGACCTTGGTGCATCATATATACGCCGTGCCACCGCTATCCGCCATCCCACCGCCGTCTCCGTGTTTCGTAGTCTTAGTCTCCTCAGCTCGTGCCGTCGCCGTCGTCATCTGCTCACGAGCTGGGATATCGCGGTCATCCCTGCCATTCCAGTATCCTTGTTTTTCCCGGGTCTCTCTTGGTATCCTTTCTCCTCAGTCGTCTGAGCGAGCGCCGGCACGATGGCGACGGCATCGATGACGACAGCCTTCGCCTCGCCTTTCGCCACTTTCGCTGGAACCCCCGCGTCCGCATCCCTTCGCCCGTCCACGCAGCAGAAGTTCCGCTCCAGCTTTAGCTTGTCTCCCCTCGCACCTATCCTTCGACGACACGTGGACCTGCGCCAGGTGGACGACGCCAGTGCAGCACGCGTCGGCAGACTGACCGGCGGCGCGGCCCTCGTATGCACGGCCATGTCGAAGCGCCACCACCACCACCGTCAGAGGCAGCGGGAGGGAGCGGACGCAGAGCCGCGTTTCGCGGCGGAAAGAGCGGAGGCGGAGGGTGAGGAAGAGAGGAAGCGGCCGGTTGAGGCGGGAGCGTCTGGTGGAGTGGTGGAGACGACGAGAGCAGCGACGGCTGTGAGGGGAACAGCTGTGGCTCAGAGGACGAGGCTCGTCAATCTAACGTGAGTCGCAACAGACGGTGACGTGAGTCCCCCTTTCTGGGTTGGATGAGATGAGGCGGGAGCGTCTGAATGGGTAGTGGAGACGATGAGAGCAGCGACGGCTGTTGCTCAGAAGAGGACGCTCGTCAATATATCGTGAGTCGCAACCGACAGTGACGTGAGTCCCCCTTTCTGGGTTGGATGAGATGAGGCGGGAGCGTCTGGTGGAGTGGTGGAGACAACGAGAGCAGCGACGGCCGTGGCTCGGAAGACGAGACTCGTCAATTTAACGTGAGCCACAGGAGCCGTGCCTTGTGACCTCCGTTTTACTTTGGAGTCGACTCAAAAGTCACCCAGATTCGTCAATCTAACGTGAGCCACAGGAGTTGTGCCTTGTAGCTCCGTTTTGGGATGCCTCCTGAAAGTTTGGATGAAAGGGTCGAGGATTTGGTGTAGCTGTAAAGGTTGATCGATAGGTTGTTTCTGGCTCATACGCGTTTGAGTCTGTTTGCTGTTTACGTTGGAGAGTTTGTTGCTAAAAAAAAAAAAAATACTGTTTCTTTGTTTTCACTTCTTTTTCCTCGCTCTCGGCACCCGTCTCTCATCACTTATCATATCTCCTCTCTTCACTTCCCTCCCTTGGGCTCACTTCCTCTCTCCCCTTTGTCATCTCGTCGTGCAGCGTGCATGGAGTGACGGATAAATCAGACCTCCCATGGTGAGTCCGTGACCCCATGGCATGGCGTGGCACGGCATAGCACGGGATGGGAGTGGAGGAAACGGGACGGGAGGGGACGGGATGGCATGGCATGGCATGGCATGGCACGGCACGGCATGGCACGGCATGGCATGGCATGGCATGGCACGGCATGGTATAATCTGCTTGTTCACCACACTCACGCTTCGTAGAGTGATCTCATATAAGACATTAGGATGGATTCTTATTATCTGAAGTCATGGAACTCTAGGACTTACATATCTGATGCCGTGGCATGGCATGGCATGGCATGGCATGGCATGGTTGGTTTGTGCCTGTGTGGTACTCTCCTCTCTCTCATTTCCCCCACTTACCCTCCACGTCCTACCCTCCCTGTTCACGCCCGCCTTCCAGGCTGGAAGATCAGCTGCTACAGCTGTCAGGGGTCACGTCCGTCCAAACCCTGCCGCCCACCCTGCGCACGGGCGGGCTGAGGGGCGGGCGGGTGGGGGTGGTGGTGGAGGCGGAGAGGGGAGTGGCAGTGAGGGACCTCGTCGCTGCAGTGCATGGGGTGGAGGAGAGGCTGCTGGCACTCCCGTTTAGATCACACTCGTGGATGTGGAGGTGAGTATAGCAGTGCTACAGACCGAAAGTGGAAGAGAGAGGAGAAATGAGGGAGGTGGTGGGGCAGTCAGGCAGAAAAAAGGGGGTGGGAGGGGAGGTGGTGGTGGAGGCGGAGAGGGGAGTGGCAGTGAGAGACCTCGTCGCTGCAGTGCAGTGCATGGTGTGGCGTGGCGTGGTCTTGGGCCCTTGTCTTGTTTTGATTCGTTTTGAGGCGCCTCAAAACGAGACCTCGTCGCTGCAGTGCATGGGGTGGCGTGGTCTTGGGCCTTTGTCTTGTTTTGAGTCCACGTTATAGTCTGAAAGAGAAGAGAGAGGAGAAATTGGGGTGGTGGTGGAGGCGGAGAGGGGGGTGGCATTGAGGGATTTGGTCGCTGCAGTGCATGGGGTGGAGTGGAGGAACGGCTATTGGCTCTCCCGTTTGGATCACACTCGTGGATGTGGAGGTGAGTTTGGGTGGTTTTTTTGGATTCATGCTGGAGATTGAAAGAGGAGAGAGGAGAAATTTAGGAGGTGGTGGTGCTTCTATGTATCTCTTTCGCTCTCACCCATTCTCATGTCTATCTCTCTCGTTCCCCTCCGTCTCCTCTCCCCCAGGGGTCATCGCATTCACTATGCCGTGGCAGGGTGTGGCAAACCCGTCATTCTCGTGCATGGTTTTGGTAAGCTTTCGTCCGAACCCTCCCCATTTCCCCCACTGAACCCTTCCTCCTTCCTCCCTTCTCCCAACCATCATCCACATTCATGGCTTCGGTAAGTTCTCCCAGTTCTCGATCACACTCTTCCGCCCCTCCTGTTTCCCCTTCTTCCCAGAATGAGACTACCGAGCCTTCCTACTCCAAGGCGGTTCTTGAAAGTTCTCAAGTATACATATTAGATCTGTTGTTTATCTGGTGTAGAAACGTGTATATCTGATCTGATGTGCTTATCTCTGTGTTCCATGGATTGCCCCCAGGTGCAGGTTCATAAACTCACCATGGGAGGACTAACTCACGAGTGAACATGAGAGCTGGTTCCAGGTTAAAGTTCAAAGAACCAGCTCCCATGTTCACTTACTCGTTCCCGGTGTTTTTTCTCTCCTTTTTCTCTCCTTTTTCCTCCTCCCCACCTTCCCTTCCCTCCCTTCTTCGTAAACTTCTCCTTCGCAACCTTGTAGCGCATCTTGCAGACCACCATAAGGTGTACAAAGTGGACCCCTTTTCTCACCCCCTCCCTCCCCTTCCGCTCTTCCTCCTCCTTCCAACCACACAGGAGGCAGTGCAGGGCACTTTCACAACCTTATAGCGCATCTTGCAGACCACCATAAGGTGTATGCTGATGACTTTCAATGGCTTGTCCCTCCCACCTCTTTTTCGCAACCCCTGCCTCCTCTCTCCCTCTTGCTCCTTCTCCCAACACCACAGGAGGCAGCGCAGGGCACTTCCGCAACCTTATAGCACATCTCGCAGACCACCATAAGGTGTACGCCGTTGACCTGCTAGGGTTTGGGGACTCTGACAAGCCGAGCGGCATAGAGTACAGGCCAGAATTGTGGGCTGATATCATCAACGGTGGGTGCTGACATCATTGGTAAGTGCTGACATGATTGATTGATTGTAGGTGCTGACAATAAGAACGGTAGGTGCTGATCCCCATGTGCTCCCCATTTCCTCCCCATCCACCCCTCCCTCCCTCCCTCCTATCTGTGGATTTCATGCTTGAGTTCACAGACGAGCCTGCTCTGCTGATAGGCGACTCCATCACCTCACTCACTACTTCCGCATCCTCTGCTGCGCCTCTCTTCCCTCTCCCTCTCCCCTCTCTCTCCCCACTCCTATCTGTGGATTTCATGCTCGAGTTCACAGACGAGCCTGCAGTGCTGATAGGCAGGCAACTCCATCGGCTCTCTCACCTCTCTCACTGCTGCCTCACTGCTGCCTCACTGCTGTACCCTGCTCCCCCCATTCCTACCCCCTTTCCTTTGCCCCACTCCCCCCCCTTCTCATGCAGATTTCATGCTTGAGTTCACGGACGAGCTGCCGTGCTGATTGGCAACTCTATCGGCTCCTTCACCTCCCTCACTGCCACCGCCTCACAACTCCCCTCTCTCTTCTCTTTCCCCCTTCCCCACCTACAGATTTCATGCTCGAATTCACGGACGAACCTGCTGTGCTCATTGGCAATTCTATCGGTTCCCTCACCTCTCTCACCTCTCTCACCTCTCTCACCTCTCTCACCTCTCTCTCCTCTCTCACCTCTCTCACCTCTCTCTCCTCTCTCACCTCTCTCGCCTTCCTCCGCCACCCCCCCTGCCCCTCCTCCCCACCCTTCCTAACAAGCAGACTTCATGCTCGAATTCACGGATGAACCCGCTGTGCTGATTGGCAACTCCATCGGCTCTCTCACCTCCCTCACTGCTGCCGCGTCCTCTTCTGCGCCTCTCTCCCTCTCGGATGGGGAAGGCCAGAGCGAAGGCGAGGGGGAGGGGAGTATAGTGCGGAGGGCAGAGAAGGGGAAGATCAGGTGAGTGAGTTTGGGGGAGTGGGATTATTTGTCATGAGGCATTTCATTCGGCTTCTGAGGTGCTTTAACAGCCAGAGCGAAGGCGAGGGGGAGGGGAGTAGAGTGTGGAGGGCAGAGAAGGGGAAGATCAGGGGCGCTGGTGACTGGCTGGTCACGGCTCGCGTCCAATTAGCATCATGCTTCGCATCATGCCTCTCATCATGCCTCTCATCATGCCTCTCATCATGCCTCTCCTCATGCCCTCCATCCCCCACCCTCACCAGGGGTCTGGTGCTGCTGAACGTGGCAGGAGCCATGAACAGGAAGGGGCTCATGCGCGACGATGCAGTGCTGACAGCATTGTCACCCATGTTTGTGGCCATTGAATACCTGCTGCAGAAACCTAAGATTGCCTCGTTCCTCTTTGAACGGTGAGTGAGATGGTTCGGATGTGAGTGGAATATGCTCAAAGATATGTTCCTTAGTCTTTAACGTTTTTTTTAATCATATCCTCGTTATTGCAGGTTTCGCAACAAGGCCAATGTGCGCAAGATACTCAGTGAGCAGGTGTACCGAGACGGCTCACAAGTCTGCGATCGGCTGGTATGTGCTGGCCTTTTCCTTTTTTCCTGTTATCTTTTTTTATGGGAATGAGTCCAATTCATGTTCATCAAAAGACCACACATTTTTTATTTTTTTTTTCATCGGATTGAGTTCTTATTCATCTATTTTCTTTTCCTCGAAACTTTCTCCAGGTGGACTTTTTCTACGAGTCATCCACGCATGGCAGTGCTCTAGACGTCTTTGTCTTGTTGCCTGCAGTTACACGTCTCCTCTGAGACTTCTCCCTTCTTCCCTTCTTTCATTTCTTTCGTTTCCTCCCTTCTAACTTTCCTCTGCAGGTGGACATTCTCTATGAGCCATCTACACATGACGGTGCTCTAGACGTCTTTGTCAAGGTCTTCACAGGCGATCCAGGTCAGCATTGAGAGTGTCAACGTTAGCATTGGGAGGGTCCAGGTCAGCATTGGGGGGGTTCAGGTCAGCATTAAGAGGGACCACGTCATCATTGGGAGGGTCCGAACTAGCATGCTGCTGCTTTGCTGCTGCTTCAATATGCTACCCTCTCCCTCTTCCTTCATGTTTTACCTCTCTCCTGCCACTCGCTTGCCACTGTCTTGACACTCGCTTTCTCCTCTTGTTGTACCCTTACTTCTCAAAATTTCACTGTATACACGTGGATGTGTCCATGCTCGTGTTGTACCCGTGCTTTTCCCCTCGTTCTTTGCCACAACAGGACCACTAGCTTCCCCTCTTCTCCTTTCTTTAATTACCCCAGGCCGCCATCCAGAGCAGCTAGTGGAAATGGTGGATGTGCCCATGCTCGTGCTGCTCCTGCTGTGCGGATGCTTCACCGTTCCACCCTCTCTTGCCTCTGTGTTTCATCTCCCCCCGCCCTCCAACCATCGTGTTTTGAGACGTCTCAAAACACCCTCTCTTGCCTCTGTGTTTCATCTCCCCCCACCGTCCAACCACCTCCGCAGGCCGCCATCCAGAGGAGCTCGTGGAGATGGTGGACGTGCCCATGCTCGTGCTGTGGGGCGACAAGGACCCCTGGACGCCCATCGATGGCAAGGTATGTCGTGATGGGTGTTGTGCGGTGCTGTGCAGTGCTGTGCGGTGCATGTCGGTGCGCTTACGATGGTATTCTGGGGGAACAAGGACCGCTGGACGCCCATCGATGGCAAGGTGCGTGCGTGCTTTGAATGGTGACGTTGATCAGGTCCGGAGCGTTTGTGTTGAGTGGCAGTGGGTTGCTTGTGTAAAGCCTTCAATTGATTTGAGAATGCATGATGCGAGCTTTAGCAGCTGGATGCACTATGAAGTGAAGCAGTTGTGCCGTTTTCTTCCTTTCACTTGTGCATGGTATGTTAACATGAAAATACCTGTTTCCGAATCCTGTGCTTGACCAGGTGGCCCAGCTGTTTAAGCGATTAGAGGAGCAAAGGGGAAATGACAAGGTGGCAGTGGTGCCGCTTCCTGATGTTGGTCATTGCCCTCATGATGACAGGCCCGAGATTGCTGCCTCCCATATTTTGCCATGGCTTGAGAAACTGGACGATGTTAGTTCAGAGTAGATAAAACGGAAGGGCATGGTTGTACCTTTTGATGTTAATGACATCGTAGTGGTTTGTAAGTGTAGGTTTTTCTCTGCTGTTCACATTCATTGGACTACCGGTGGTAACAGTGCATGGCTTTTCAGATTATTCCTTCATCATTACGTGACAGTATAGCTTCACAAGCTCGTGACAGAATCAACTTTATTACCCCAACAGTTTTATGCAACAGAAGCTCTGAGCAGGTATCAAACCCCTCGAAATCAGGCTACAGTACTGACCTCAATACTCAGTTTCTTAAACTAATGCCACAGCTGAAGCAGGGCATTGGTCATCACACCAAGGCCTGCAACAAACCACTTGGCAAAGACTATCCACCAAGCATCTTTGGGTCCTGGCTTCATTCCCTTGGCGAGAAGATGGCCAAGAGCGATAAAGATGAAGACACCAGCGGCCATGCCATTTCCGAAACCCTTGATCCACTCCCTTGCCACCTTGCCGCTGGCGGAGTCAAGAGCCAAGCCAATGGCAATGCCAGTAGGAGCAACAAGGGAAGCCCCTAAGGCATAAAAGAAGTGGTTGAGGCCACTGCGGCGAGTGTCCTGAACACGAAGAGTGACACCAAGGGCCATACCCTCGAAAAACTGCAAACACACAGGGGGTTCGAGAATTAGTTTCTCGCAGAAAGAGCTCGCGAACCACGCTGACACTCGAACCAAAGTATCGTGATCGGATCAAGCAAACAACAGGGTTTGAGCTACCAACTTTCAGTTCCCAGCTTACCTCATTCACACCGATTTGTGCAGTCATGGACCAGACTTTGGAGACAGTCTGCGCAAGTCCGACAGCAATGCCCTCAAAGAAAGCGTGGAAGCAGAGGCCGAAGAGGACGAGGACGACGTCGACGATGGTGAGAGCCTGAATGTCAACCTTGGCGACAGCAGTCTCAGCATCTGAATCAACCACCTTCTTCTCTCCCACTCCCATTGCGCCAGCAATGGTGGGCCCCAGTTCGTCCTCCTGCAAACAAAACTCGAGCGTTCAGCGAACCAAGAATCCAAAAACCACGGCCATGCGGCGCGCTGGCATTGAATATTCCAAGACTTCACTGGCAATGTGTATTGGAAATGACGCTTACCTTATCATCAAAAGAGCCCGTGCGCTTTATCCACACAGACTTGACGATGAGGTCGCACACCCACGTCAGGTAAATGCCCATCACGATGACAAGCATGCCGTACGGATAGTCTGCAACAGAAAAACAACTAAGCGTTTTTTAGTTCAGAGCCTCTTGTGCCAAGTGATTGATAATATCGGAAGATTTTACGGTTACGTTCAAAACCTACAGATAGCTGCGCACTTACCGTCTCCTGCGAGCTCCTCGAACTCCTCGAACGTCTCCACAGCGAGGTAGAGGAGGGACATGCCGATGAAGAGGCCAGTGGAGAAGAGAATACCGAACTTGAGAAACAGCGGGTGCACGGGGATGAAGTACGGAACCCACACGCCCATGAAACTACACGCGAAGAAGACGAAGATGGCGCCGGCCTTGTTGGCATTGAGAGTCTTCGTGTCATCAGGTTTCTGTCAAGCGCAAAGACAAGGCAAGAAGGAAAAGAAGTACATACGACGAACGTTAGGCTCCTTGTCGATCCACAACTGTCAAAAACTGGACGGAAGGCATGAGTCGGGAAGCTTACTTCATTTGGGTCGGATTTAGGCGTGGCAAACGCGACGGAAGCAAATGCTGCGACGCAAACGAGAACGAGCAGAAGTCTCTTCCAGGAAGCCATGGCTGACTGGTGCTTGTGAAGGTGGCTAAGACGAGTCGGAAGGAATGAGGAGGGTCGTGATAGTGGAGCGGAGAATGAAATCAAGGCGAAAGGGGTGACAATGGTTTCGTTCTAACGATAGACAGGTCGGATTAGCAGATATAAAATCTGCAGGGAGATGCAAGATTAACCAAATGGCGCTGCTTTTGTATCACGACAGAGGGGACTAGGGTCGGCGCTTAGGGGGTCAGAAGGTCTCTCTCTCATCCCGCATACTTTGGCGGCCGAAGTAGGGTATAGGGGAGGTTGCATTCGGTGTGGATCACTACTTCTGAACGCAAGGCTGTACAAGAGGATTGGTGACATGGCTGCATCGCTGGAGATAATTGGCGATTGCCTTTCCTGGAGCGCGTCCACTTTACTCGACGAGCTTGTTGGATGTCATTGCTAGGGAACTCTAGTGCTCCAGTCACGCTGTAAGAGCGTGTAGAAAGCATGGATCAAATGTGGGTCACAACTGGATGCATTACTGCTGACGAGGCAGGCAGAAGCTTTGGTGCAGTTGAGACAAGACCGAAAAGTCGGCCTTATACGGATTTGCTCAGCGTTGGAAGGTATGAAAGGTGGAAACCCGGTTGCGCAACGGTGAATAGCGGTGGAAAGCTCAAACCGCGTCAAACGAACACTTCAAGAGCGGTAGGAACCGTGCCCGAAACCTTTGATCGGACGGTTGATATCGGAAACCTGGCTGGCGGCGCCCGATGTTTTAATCCCAGCTGTTCCCGCTAAGGGCGTGTCACCTCGGACGTTCAAACGGGCCTGTTCGAACCGGCACCGTACTAAACCAGACGGATTGCTTTTTAAACGTACTGTACCTTTTTGGTTTGAGGCTCACGAATGGCATGCCTTCCGATTCCTTTTCAAACCAGACCTCAAATCCCCCACATCACCGCCACCTTCTCCTGCTAAGGGATTCCAACAGATCCCATGAAACGACAGAACCGTAGCAAACCTGTGAGTCTCCATCCCGAGCCGAACATCTCCAAGCTCCCATGATTTCCGAACCTGACCGAGCATGAGCTGGCGTTGTTGAGTGCTGCTGACTTCGGCGTTATCTTCAGGGAGCGTGTTCGAGGTGTGCTCGCCTCGTTTCTCAGCGGTGACTTGTCCTAAGTAGAGTGGCTGTTTACCTTGCAATAACGTGCTTAGTTCGCCGTGTTCGCCGTGTTCTTTCCACGTTTTTGCGGCGTGATCCCCTCCCTCGCAAAGGACCTGGACATAAAAATTTGTGCCTGCCTAGATCGCCATGGCGTTGCACTCGTCGGTACAGCCTTTCGTTCAAACTGGGTGTCAGAGAACCTCCCACCAGACCTCCCCCAGATGCCGACTTTCCGGTCGTGTCTGAACCTACGCATCTGCCTGCCTTGTCAGCGTTACGACCTGACTGGAGGGCATGCATGATGAAGTGCAGCAGCAAGCTCACGGAAATGTGATCTAGGAAAGACAGTCGCCGATTATCGCCAGCAATGCAGCCATGTCACCACCCCGTGATCACAGGCTTGCCTTGGGAACTAGGAGTGATGCAACCTTCCCTATACCCTACTTCTGCCGCCATCTACGAGAGAAAGAGAGCGAGAGAGCGCAGGACCTTCTCTGACCCCCTGAGCTGTACTAGTGCCTTCTTTCGTGGTACAAAAGCAGCGCCATTTGCGTTTATACATGCCGATTCCATATCTGCTTGTCCTAGCAATTTGACGTTAGGACTTCCATCGTCTCCCCCATTCTGCTGGACTCCATTTTCCGCTCCTCTCTCTCGCCCTTTTCGTTCCTACCGACTCGCCTTAGCCGCCCTCACGATCACCCCAGCCGACAATGGCTTCCTGGAAGAGACAGCTGCTCGTCCTCATCTGCGTCGCGGCTTTAGCTTCCGTCGCATTTGCCACTCCAAAATCTGATCCTAACGAAGTAAGTTTTTTTTCTCTTCTTTTCTTTTTTTTTTTCTACTCATCCCTTCTGACAGTTGATGTTGATCAAGAAGCGGGCTGACGTAACTCGTCTTTGTTTCCTAATCGTTGTGCCTAACAGAAACCCGATGACACCAAGACTCTCAATGCCAACAAGGCCGGCGCCATCTTCGTCTTCTTCGCGTGCAGTTTCATGGGCGTGTGGGTTCCGTACTTCATCCCCGTGCACCCGCTGTTTCTCAAGTTCGGTATTCTCTTCTCCACTGGCCTCTTCATCGGCATGTCCCTCCTCTACCTCGCTGTGGAGACGTTCGAGGAGTTCGAGGAGCTCGCAGGAGACGGTAAGTGCGCAGCTATCTGTAGGTTTTGAACGTAACCGTAAATTATCAATCACTTGTCACAAGAGGCTTTGAACTAAATAGCACTTAGTTGTTTTTCTGATGCAGACTATCCGTACGGCATGCTTGTCATTGTGATGGGCATTTACCTGACGTGGGTGTGCGACCTCATCGTCAAGTCTGTGTGGATAAAGCGCACGGGCTCTTTCGATGATAACGTAAGCGTCATTTCCAATACACTCATTGCAAGTGAAGTCTTGGAATATTCAATGCCAGCGCGCCGCATGGCCGTGGTTGTTGGATTCTTGATTCGCTGAACGCTCGAGTTTTGTTTGCAGGAGGACGAACTGGGGCCCACCATTGCTGGCGCAATGGGAGTGGGAGAGAAGAAGGTGGTTGATTCAGATGCTGAGACTGCTGTCGCCAAGGTTGACATTCAGGCTCTCACCATCGTCGACGTCGTCCTCGTCCTCTTCGGCCTCTGCTTCCACGCTTTCTTTGAGGGCATTGCTGTCGGACTTGCGCAGACTGTCTCCAAAGTCTGGTCCATGACTGCACAAATCGGTGTGAATGAGGTAAGCTGGGAACTGAAAGTTGGTAGCTCAAACCCTGTTGTTTGCTTGATCCGATCACGATACTTTGGTTCGAGTGTCAGCGTGGTTCGCAAGCTCTTTCTGCGTGAAACTAATTCTCGAACCCCCTGTGTGTTTGCAGTTTTTCGAGGGCATGGCCCTTGGTGTCACTCTTCGTGTTCAGGACACTCGCCGCAGTGGCCTTAACCACTTCTTTTATGCCTTAGGGGCTTCCCTTGTTGCTCCTATTGGCATTGCCATTGGCTTGGCTCTTGACTCCGCTAGCGGCAAGGTGGCAAGGGAGTGGATCAAGGGTTTCGGAAATGGCATGGCCGCTGGTGTCTTCATCTTTATCGCTCTTGGCCATCTTCTCGCCAAGGGAATGAAGCCAGGACCCAAAGATGCTTGGTGGATAGTCTTTGCCAAGTGGTTTGTTGCAGGCCTTGGTGTGATGACCAATGCCCTGCTTCAGCTGTGGCATTAGTTTAAGAAACTGAGTATTGAGGTCAGTACTGTAGCCTGATTTTGAGGGGTTTGTTACCTGCTCAGAGCTTCTGTTGCAAAAAATCCGTTGGGGCAATAAAGTTGGTTGCGTCATGAGCTTGTGAAGCTGTACTATCATGTCATGTCATAAAGTTGGTTGTGACATGAGCTTGTGAAGCTGGTTCAGTCCCTCCCTGACAATGTCAAAATTTGTTGTGTAGGCTGTAGTGGGGCAGCCCATAAAGGGTACAACCCAAGTTAGCCATATTTGTACCACATTCTCATAATCTATCTCGACATGGTATAGAGCGGGTCCTTCCTAAGGACAGTTTTTTCAAGGGCCCACCACTTAGTTTCGTTCCTGCTTATCGTTTCTGCCCTGCCCTGCCCAGCGATTTTGCGCTGCCCTGCCCTGCCCTGCCGCGCGCAGCCCGTACAGCCCGCGCGCACCTGCTCTGCCGCGAGTGCATTAGCCCTGCCCCACGCATCAGCCCTGCGCCGCCCGCGAGCGCCTGCCCTGCGCTTCGCCGGCGACCCGCGAGCTGCCCGCGCACTGTCCCTGCTGCCCTGCTGCCGCCTGTGCTGCTGTTGCTGCCCTGCTGCTGCTGCTGTTAAGCTGCTGCTGCTGTTAAGTTGCTGCTGCCGCCTGCGCTGCTGCTGCTGTTAAGCTGCTGCTGCCGCATGCGCTGCTGCTGCTGCTGCTGCACTGCTGCTACTGCCCTGCGCCGTGTTGTGCCCGCACGCGCGGCTGCCCCGCCCTGCTCCGCGCTGTTGCACGCGCGGCTGCCCTGCCCTGCTCCGTGCTGTTGCCCTGCACGCGCGGCTGCCCTGCCCGCGTGCGTGAGCCCTGCCCCGTGCGTCTGCTTCTGCTATCATTGCTACTGGTACTGCTCCCGTTCCTGCTGCCATGGCGACTCCCACTGTTCTAGCCTTTGACGCAGTGGGGCGACCTTTAGGGTTCGACTCCTGGCTAGAGGGGCTGCACCTGTACCTCCAGAGTGTCACTACTAGCCACGACGTCTCGCTGTTCGAGCACACGTCGGGGTCTCTTCCGGCCCCCTAGGCTCTTGCTGAGCCTGCTGCTGACGCTGGGGAGGAGGAGCGGACGCTGTTCCGCGCAGCTCACCTTGCCTACAACCGGTGGATGGCGCGAGACGCTGCCGCCACACTTGCAATCCGTCTTCACCTCTCGTTCGACCAGAGAGCCAACTTCCCCAGGAGTCAGGTGCAGTCGGCCCATGCCTTATATACCGCTGTGGTTAGGCGCTACTCCCTCCCCCCTCCTGCCACCCTAGGCTGTCTTGAGCTGCCTCTTACCTTCCCTGCGCTTTCAGACCTAGCCAATGTAGCTGCCGAGGGTGGTTGTAGTGGAGCTGGCGAGAGTGGCGGGGATGGGCAGCCGCAATTAGAGTCCTCGTGTGTCGCTGCTTGTGCACATACTAGCATAGGTGCAGTTCCCGCGGAGGCGTTGCTCTCGGTCCCTGACACTCTGGCCGACCCCACCTATGGACTAGTCTCTGCGCACCCCTCTGATTCCTTTGGCTCGACTGAGGGGGGTGACCCTGCTGCTGCCGCCACAGCGACCTGTCGCCGCTTGCCGCGCTTGGCGACACCTCCAGGTTTTCCGCCTCGGACTCTTCGCCTCCTCTGCAGCCTGTCGCTGT